AGCTATGTCCGTCTTGCTTGACGCCTAGTTCTCAGAGACAATACGAGCTAGGTCAACGAAATTTTGTATTCAGACTTCTGTGAGGGCGGAGGGGAGCCATGCTGACTGAGTATGAGGTATAAATGGAGAGTTTCGGCTGTAGCAGCGACTCGCAACGTTCCGCCTAGCTTCATATCGAGTAATGGTTTTATTTGTATTTTCAGTACAATTAATTATTGCGACCCCTGGACGAATATTGGATTTGATGGATAAGAAAGTTGCTGATATGTCGCATTGCAGGATATTAGTTTTGGATGAAGCCGATAAACTACTGTCGCTTGATTTTCAAGGCATGCTGGATCATGTTATATTAAAATTGCCAAAGGATCCACAGATACTGCTATTTTCTGCAACATTTCCACTGACTGTGAAAAATTTTATGGAGAAGCATTTACGCGAGCCATACGAAATAAACCTTATGGAGGAACTGACGTTAAAAGGTGTCACTCAGTACTATGCATTTGTACAAGAACGTCAAAAAGTACACTGCTTAAACACGTTATTTTCAAAGTTGCAAATTAACCAATCTATAATATTTTGCAATTCTACGCAACGTGTCGAGTTATTAGCTAAAAAAATTACAGAGCTTGGCTATTGTTGCTATTATATACATGCAAAAATGGCGCAAGCACATAGAAACAGAGTGTTTCATGACTTTCGTCAAGGTCTCTGTAGGAATTTAGTTTGCTCTGATTTATTTACTCGAGGAATTGATGTACAGGCCGTTAATGTTGTAATTAATTTTGATTTTCCTCGAATGGCTGAGACATACTTGCATCGTATTGGGCGTTCTGGTCGATTCGGTCATTTGGGTAAGTAATAATCCTAAAATACGAGTTTAAGTTAAAAAATATTTCAAAACCCTGTGTTGACTTTTTCGGCATAAGACAAAAAAACGTCGGTCTATAAACTTTTTATAACCGATACGAAAAAGAGTATAGCGTCATATTAGATTTTTCTGAAAGTGGATGTGTTTAACACCCAGCAGAAACCGTTTTCCGACCCCATAAACCCCAAATGTTTATTCTTGATCAGCATCAGTAGCAGAGTCGATATAACCATGTCCAATGGTCCAAATGATCACAGAGACTATAAAAGCTAGAGCAACCAAATTCAGACTTCCTGACTCCTGACACTGTCAAACTTGTATTACAAAATTTTTGCACGACCCTTCCCGCCCCCGAAAAGAACAGAAATCCACAATTCCGAAGATCAAATCAAATCAATCATAGAATCGTATTTACATCTTGTTGTAATGAACTATGATTCTAAAATGATCACTAAAAGATCTAAAAAGAGCACTTTGTAGTCCTCAGCTAACCGTCTGAAAAATTGATTATATTTTTTAGGTTTTTGTTTACAAAATTTTCACTTTAAAAACTTGAGAAAAGTGAAAATGTTTCCTTGTGTTTTTATATTTTATTTTTGAATTTTGAATCAACCAAATTAGTTAAGAAACTCATTTTAATCTTCAATCTTTTTTCAATTAATATTTTAGGAATTGCTATAAATCTAATAACTTACGAGGATCGCTTTGATCTTCATCGGATTGAAAAGGAACTTGGTACCGAAATAAAACCCATACCGAAGGTAATCGACCCTGCATTATATGTCGCAAATGTTAGCGGATCGTCTGGAGAAATTTGCAACAACAGTGATCTTAATACTTCTGCAAACGAGGAAGGCAATGTTAGCAAATAGAATTCAGATAAAATTGTAATTGTAGGTTTTTTAGTAGAATATAATACATGAAATCAATAAAGAGAATGAAATATTTCGGAAAACTAACAACGACCTAGATAAATACACTAGATATAAGCCCAGTAAAGGTATTTTGCAAATTTAATCAACAAAAATTGGTAAAAAAAAAATGAAACAAAAGTTGTATTTCCCCTGTGGATCCAGGAGGATTCTGTGAGGGGGCATCGGTAGCACGTCATCGCCAGGGTTTTGTTTGCCCTCAGACGTCTCGACAAGGGACTCCCACGAGTGCGTATGTTCTTGGGCGACTCGGGCCAATCCAATTAGCACAGAACGAATTTTTGTTTAGTTTGGAGCTTCTATTTGGTTTCAGGTAACTAATCTTATCACTTATACAATTTATCAAATTAAAGCAATCTTATTTATATATTCCAGAACTATTACGGATCAAAAATGTGTGGCCCTTGTGGATCGTGCTGTCCCATGTGCTGTGGAGGCTTCTGTGGTGGCTGTTACTGAGCAATAACGAAAGGGGCCAAGCCTTCCATTACAAATCGTGTGACACCATTACAAATAAAACATTTACAAATGAAATATTTACAAACAAATCATTACAAATAAAAATTTTTAACAAATCTTATTTATTGATGTCCTGGCTCATGTGGATTGTGCCAATATGTATTTTTATGGTTAAATTTGCTAAGACTGTTGGAAAATCCTTGATCCTTAACAAGGAATCCATAAAATCAGGGTATTTTTCTGATCACAGGAAGCCATGGCATGTCCTTATCGGCTCACAAATAACGGAGAAAATTAAATATTTTTGATCCTTGATATCCTTGGTCCTTGAAAAGGACTTCATCAAATCAGGGCATTTTTCCGATCACATGAAGATATCGCACGTCCTGATTGCCCCATAAATAACGGAAAGAACAAAATATATGCGACTGTAAAAATTTCCTAGATTCTTGGTCCTTGATAAGGACTCCATCAGATCAAGGATTTTCTTCCGATCACATGAAGCCATCGCACGTGCCGATCGGACCACAAAGAACGGAGAAAACAAGATATATATGTCTTGGAAAATTATCCTTGATCCTTCGTCCTTGATAAGGACGCCATAAAATCAGGGACATTTTTCCGATCACAGGAAGCCGTCGCACGCCCAGATCGTCCCATAAATAGCGGAGAAAATCAAACTGGCTTATAACTGGCTTTGAAAAAAAAAAACAAAAACTCGCGTCAAATGGTCAAAATCTGGATGGGACACCAGGCCAACAGAAATCAGCAGAAGGTCGCTGAATTTTTTAAAAAATTTTTGGTCCCCCAAAAGTATGCACCATTTTTTTGCACTCGCTACAGTTGCTTGCTGCTGATTTCTGTTTGCCTGGTGTCCCATCCAGATTTTGACCATTTGACGCGAGTTTTTGTTTTTTGTACAGTGGCGCCCCTATAGAGGATTTCGTGAACTACATTTTCAAAAACAACAAATTACAAGCCAGTTTTGTTTTCTCCCTTATTTATGGGCCGATCGGGACGTGCGACGGCTTCCTGTGATCGGAAAAATGTCCCTGATTTGATGAAGTCCTTTTCAAGGACCAAGGATATCAAGGATCAAAAATATTTAATTTTCTCCGTTATTTGTGAGGCGATCAGGTCATGTCATGTGATCAGAAAAACACCCTGGTTTGATGCAGTCCTTGTTAAGGATCAAAGATTTTCCCCCAGTCTAAGTCAATTTAACCATAAAAATACATATTGGCACAATCCACATGAGCCAGCCCACCAATTAATAAGATTTGTGAAAAGCTTGTATTTGTAAATGTTTTATTCGTAAATACTACACGATTGCTTCAAGCTTTCTGCAGGAGTCACAGGATTTGTAATGGAAGGCTTAGCCCCTGTCGTTATTGCTCAGTAACAGCCACCATAGAAGCCTCCACAGCACATGGGACAGCACGATCCACAAGGGCCATACATTTTTGACCCGTAATAGTTCTGGAATATATAAAAAAGATTGCTTTAATTTGATTAATTTTATAAGAAATGTTAGAGTAGTTACCTGAAACCAAACAGAAGCTCGAAACTAAACGAAAATTCGTTCTCTGCTAATTGGATTGGCCCGAGTCGCCAAAGAACATACGCTCTCGTGGTAATCCCTTGTCAAGAAAAACCCTGGCCGATGTCGTGCTACCGATGCCTCATCACAGAATCCTTCTGGACCCAAAGGGGGATATGACTACGGTTGGGCAAAACATTCAGCATCTGAAAGGCATAATGCAGCAGAAAAGTAAGATTTCGAAGAGCCACTGGTAAAGAGAAATTAAAAGTTTAAAAAAGAAAGAAACTTAACTGCTCAACTTAACTAGAAGGAAGGAATTTTCATAAATTTGTTCGTTTTCCAGCCCTAATATTTTTCAGCACCGATTTTCGTGTAATCTAAAATTTTAATTTTACATGAACCTGTTTGAAGGTGGCGACCCCTATGAGAAAATTAGTGAGATGTGAGCTTAAATGTATAGGAAAATTACGCCATAAACGCCATTTGTGGTGTAGTAGTTTAATTTTATTTTGTGCAGAGTGCGCTGGTCGTCATACCGTAATTACCGAATTAGGATTAAAACACATCTCCCGCACTTTTAACAATATAAATTAAAAATCTAGGCAGGCTTACACAAAAAAAAAAATGTATAATGCAAGAAATAATTCATATCTGTTATTTCACAGAAGTTATTACAATTTGAGCTGTCATAAAACCAGTGTCATAATTCAATTAAAATTTGAATCACCATCCTCTAACTCCGCGGTACAAACCGCGTAGCAAACTGAATGCTCTTTAGACAGTTACTTTAATTTAAACGGATCATCTACGGTCAATATTCAGTCTCAATATGAGTACAGTGATCGCCAGATCGCTTGAATTGAGAAAAATAAGAGGTAAGAAAAAGAGCTGCCAAACATTTGCTGGGTAATTTTTAAAATTTTTGCTTTTGATACTGTCATCCTTCTAATGTAATAAGTAATAAAAATAATGTAATAAGAAGTAATAAATAAGTGAAAAAAATTGTACACGTAAATTCACGATAAGTCGCAGTCCATCGAGGGATTTTTTGTTGCTTAAACAAGGGCGACGGTTTCAGGGCCTTGCCCTTAGCACACCCCTATTTGTAAAGGAAATTTGGCTTTTGCACACTTTCATAGCGATCAAGTAGAGATCAAAGTCCCCGAAGTATTTTTTACACTGTAAATACAATTTATTTTTTAGTATCTATAATTTGAAGCTTTTCCAATAATATGTACAATAAATTTACAATGTTAAAAAATCAAATACACATAGTCAACAATTTACTTTAAATATTATAGAAGTTCGATGAGGAGGAAGATGAGTCGGATTGATCGAAATCTATTTTTGCATATGCATTCCCTGCTTCTAAAGTCAATGCAACAGGCGGCGATTCACATGAGCCTCTTTTTAAAAATGCTCCAGTGTTTTTCCCGCTAAAATGGGGAAGATCAAGACTTGCGTAGTAAAGTTCAGGCTGGGATATGCGTGAAGGATGACCCGATGGGAAATTTACATTTTTGCTTGGAAGAATTCTGGATATTGTACTGGCCTCTGTTCTTTTTAAACCAGTTATTTTGAGCTGTAAATTGCATTTCGTGCTTGAGCTGGGATCTTTGTCGGCTATCAGAATAGAATTTTCTGTTAGTCTATGCTCCGAATCGTCTTTAGGAATGGCTTTTTGATTGTTCTTTAATGAGATAAGTGAGCTATCACTTTTTATTTGAACAATTTTATAGCCAACATCGTTTTGTTTAGCGAAATTACTGATTTTTCCTGTAACTTGGGTATAATCTTCATTGCTTATTGAATGTACTAACTTCTTTTCATCAAAGACTGGGGAGCTTAGGTCTCTTGCCCCGTCGTCTAGTTTTGTTTTCTTGTTGCTTTCAATTTCTTGACTCACGTGGGTTCGTTGTCTTATTAATCCAGGATTCTCATTACTTTCGGGTGAGGGCAATTCCACAGTTTTTTGACATCCTACATCCATTTCATTTAAACTAGAGTTCTGCAATTCTTCGACAATTACGGATGGTTCTTCTTTTTTCCTCATATCATTTGAATCCTGTATATGTGTTTCCGAAAAGTCTTTTAGCTTGAGCTTTTCCATTTTATTTGGAAGGAAAGACACATTTGACTCACAGAACGCTTTACCAACAGGTTTCATTTCCAAATATCCACCATCTGAAGTGCGTGCATTATTAATTTGATGCCTCCCAAAAAAGTTTTGATCGGTAGTAACATTTAAATCCGATCGAAAGGTAGGGTTTCTAATGCTTGTTGAAAGTACATTTTCGATATGTTTGGGAATGTCAATGTTTTTAGTGAGCTGTGGTTTTTCCCATTTCGCTGTTTGTGAAAAGTCAATTTCCATCAAATCACTCATACGATCAGTGTTTATTGGATGTTTAAGGCTTAATAGAGGAGCACTTGTGGATTTTTTTTCTCGGATTGTACTAGAACGAATGACTTCATTTGAATTAGAATCGCCTGTAAAAATGTTATTATGGCTTCCGTTCGTTCCAGATTGGTTTTTATCCTTTTCCACAAGAACAATACGTTGCAAATCACATCGAGGTATCTTGGACTTTGACCCAACGGAATACGCTCGTACACGATGCGAGTTCTTTCCAGTTTCATTTATGTATCCAATGCGTTTTAGTTTTGAGTACTCAACTTTATTCCCTATTGAGTAAGCACGAATAGGACGATCACACCTGAAACAAAATTTGAGATACAAATTACAAAAAGTTTAAAATTAAGCTAAAATAGCTAAAAATAGCAGCTGGTCTGAGCAAACGATCCATTGCGACGCACAATAACGCACAGCACTACTCGGTTCAAAATCGAGCTGTTCTTGCGGTAGCTCTCTCGCTTTCGTACATCGGTCCTTATATTATAGACATACATGTCTCTCCAACTTTTACTATAGTTTTCGGCCGCTAAACTCCACATAATAGATCACAATAAACCGTACATATGATATTAAACTGAAATAACTAAACTTATTAATTACATATTTCGCAACAGCTGGTAAAAAGCTTACTAGCTTAATATTCGTCTTTTCATACAGATCTTCGTAAAAACAAACAAAAATATAGCCATTACAAAATCCAAGGTACACTTGCCTGCCGATGGTATTTCTACGAGTACGTGTCTCACTAAAAAATAACTAACGTGCGGGAGAGAGAGAAGTGCTCCGTTGCCTTTTAGTATATTCTGGACATAAAAATATCCTCAACTTCTAAGATCGGACTGGAAAATAGAGAGAGGGAGACCGACGAAGAGCTCCGAAAACCAGACATTACCTAAAACCAGTTTTCTTCATTTTGGCTATAATAGTGAACAGCAGTTTTCTGGTATCTTTAATATTCTGTTTTAACGGTCTTTTTGAGACTTTAGTGGACGGAAGGAGAGTTTTTGATTGAAATACGCTTCAGTTGCTCCATCCCGTCTAGTCTCTGATCAAAAATTCCTTTAACATATATACATGTATATTTCTATGAATTGATTATACCCCTGTACTCTTTGTGCACCGGTTATAAGTACGTCTTTTCAAAATAAATAAGAAGGAACAATGGTGTGACGCTAAGAAAGTATGCGAAGCAGCCGTGGAGAGATACATGGGAAGACACGCCTTCCCAACCAATCTCGTGCAATCATGAATATCTATAACTAAATGGGGGCAAAATTTAATTGTTCTGTGCTTTAGAAAGAATGTTGTGGTGCCCTTCAAGGGTATGATTATGTGTATAGAGCACGTTATTTAAACGAGAATATATACTTACTGACTATCCGAATCTCCATCCAGATCTTTAACAAGTTTTTCGGATATATGCTCAGGAAAGTTAAAATGTAAATTTTCAGCGCCTGCACTTTTCAACAACATATGATTAGACTCCACCATTTCATTAACATGAACAGTATCACTTATGGGCTTAATAGGCGTCATCGGAATATAGTTGTCAACTCTCTCTAAATTCGTAAAAAATAAAATTAGTCGATTATTATGAAATGTATATTTTTATATGTAATTACCATTTTTTACAGTGGTTGAACTGAGCTCAGCACTTGCAAAATCGTCAATATTTTCTTCGGGAATAGCTCCTTTGGAAGACCTAGTGCTGGAAAAAAATTATGTAAGTCAAAATTAATGTAAGTCAGGCTTCACGGGGCAAGTGGACTATGACTCCATTGACTAGCCTCTTCCCGCCCGCCCGTGGGACCAAGCGTGCCAAACAATTTAAACAATGAAACTTCCTCATAAGAGCTCAGTGCTCCTCATAGAGTGCCGGTCACTTAGTGCCGATTCACTTACTTTCGTCGATAAGGCGTAAAACTTCCGTTATCATCGGATTCGTCGACACTAATTGATGATTCTTCAGATTCCGAGCATCGTAAAGGTGTGTTAAACGGTGGACTATTATTAGGCTTGTTAGTTGAGTGTGGACGGTTCCCAGAAATCGTGTTAGATCGGAACCCGTGACTTGATCCAAGGTTTATTTGATTGCTGCAGTCGCTTATAGTTCGATTTCTTGTTGGCAAACTATCACACCTTTCTCTTCCATAAGCTGCAAAAAAACAATTTTTTTAGTCAAAAATTTGTATATACTTGAATAGGTATTTATAAAACTGGTTTAGATTAACAATCAAAATCTAAAAATGTTTTACGAACAACAAAATTATCTTTTTGATTGTATCTTTATACCTTTAAAACCAAGGGACTAGTCTACATATAGACGGATACACATAGCTAGTGTAGGACACATGAACATGTACACATGAACATCAGAACCGCTAGATCAGATCGAGGGAGCATGCAACATTGCAGTATGGATAAATCGGCGGCATGGGAAACTTATGTTCGCATTGACGCAGATTCTCAGATTCTCGGACATGGGCCCCGACGGGGCTATGCTATGGCTATGCGCCTGCTTTGGAATAGCGGAGAACGCCGAGCACGACCACCTGCGTCAGATTCGAAGTAGCCCGCGGGGACGAGCAAAAAGCATCGTAGGTGTGCCCCTCACAGAGGTTTGGAGCCACGTATGCTGGAAAGCCAAGCAAATTGGACGGCGATACGCAGCCTTGCGACGGTCTGTATATACATATATTCAAAATACTTTCATTCTACATTTGAACTTTCATAGGTCGAACCAATATTATCTGAAGAGTAGGATGTACAGAATAGGATGTACAGGCAACGCTGTTGCCACCCATTTTAGTTCGACATATAGAAAATGCAAGCTATAGACGTTCGAGTTATAGAGTTTCAACTTTATGTTGATCTACCTAACTTTTCTGTGAAGTCTTATCTTCTGTGATTTCTTATCTGACAATATGTTTAATCATATTGGAAGACGATAAGCTTAATTTTAGCCAGAGGTCGAGTTCTGGCAGCTATAGCAAGTTCCCCTTTCGCAATCTATAAATAAGGCCGCAAATCTTTCGAAAAATAATGTAAGTAATTTAAAATGTATAACCGTATTTTGTACTTACTGTTATTATGTAAGAAACTGCTATTTCGCAATTCGACAGCGCTTTGACGAGTTTGAATAACGTTCATTGGTTTGGAGGATTCGTTTGCCGATGATGAACGTTTTCTCATTGGTTCATGACTAATTTCAGGTCTTCCTTGATACACATTTAAAAAGTTCATGTTAGTCTCAGTTTTGGCTGACATAGCGCTAGAAATATACAGATAAAATAGCCAAGGAACAATTAAATTGTAGCTTTCACATTTCAGTATGGGAAACTGAATTAATATCGGGAAATAAAATGAAAACCGCAACTAAAATTAAAATTTTAAATATAGTTGTTGAGCCACTGCACTTTTTTAGCAGCGTATGTTTGCGATCTATTTATTAAAAGTCGATGATTGTTCGTTCTTTCGCTTTCACTATCTCTCTCTCAATCTGTCTCGCTTTGGTTAGGTTTTGCTTGAATTGGGTCGCGGACAATTCAGTGCGCCTTCCCCTGGATAGTCTGGACCATCTGGAGCATCTTACGATAGTTCTTTAATTCAACACCGTCTTGGATCGACATCCGTCTTGAAACGAGCTCACTCAAACCTAACTCGAACCTTTTTTTATCTCTTCGTTGCTGTATTAACTAAACAATATCTACCGTCAATATTTCGTACCTATGGCAGTTATATAACAATTTTCACCAAAAGATGCAATCTCAAAAAAGAGAACTTTTGTCGACACCATACCAAAAACGCTTGCCATTAGTCGTGAATAAGTCGTCAACTGACATTGTCTTCGTGAAAATATGTACATACATACATAAATATCGAAGCTTTCTCTGTCCTTTGGCCGTTATTCACAGCATAATGCTAAGAAATAAACCGTACATACATTAAACTAAAACAACTCGCTTTAATAGCTTAAAAATTTCACAACAGCGAGTAAAAAGCTTATTAGCTAAACACCTTTCGTATCGCAATAATAAAAACTTAAAGTAAAATGCATGCTATATTTTAGCATTATACATATGAATACCAATTTAATAATTACCTCAATATTATATTATGCATATTTGTAGCTACAGCAGCATTATCTGTTTCCATCCATAATTCCCCACAGCCTAAAACACTCTGACGGCCAAGTTCCATGTAGAAAATGCATTGAGGAGATGCATGGCCGCACCTAGAAAAAAATATACATGTTTTTTGTAGACAGTGAGTTTATGATTTATGTAACTTATACAATATATTTTAAACGCTTTTTGCTAAAGGGACGAATTAATTATTTTTTTGGCTTAAGGGGTTTGAGGTGTGAAGGGAGCTCTCTCCGCCAGCTCTCTTAATTTTGCTCGCACTTGTCATTAGAGATATAAAAACATTGAGGAAAAGACCGCTAGTTATGTTCTAATGTCAATTTTTGCACTGAGTTTATACTCTTTCCATCTAATGACTGTCTTTCATTCCGCTATATCTGTCTTTCTCTACTAACACAAGCCCTTATCTCATTCTCCTCCGCCAGGGGACGCACACTGCACGACGTTTCAGGTTTTTAGCTCAAGACGGTTTTGTACGCCGACAACAAAGTCACCTGAATAGAGCAGACTAGAGGGAATGACTAAGTGCGTGAAAGGCGTTGCGTAGCCAGTGTCAATTGATTCGTTCATTCTGGCTGTAATATAAGTCAGAGGTAATCCAGATTCCGTAGATATGGTCATTCTCTACGACACCAGAATCATTTTGGTTGTCTTAATTATTTGGGTTGTGTTTTCTCGGATACAAACTTTTTTCGATACGGCGCTGGATGTGGGAATGCTATAAGATACTAAATAAAGTTCGGCGGGCCGAAAATACAAATTTTTTGATTAAAATAAAAGTATTTACCGACGTATTGTTGTCAAAAGAATCTCAATACTAGAGACTCGCGCATCGCCATTTGCTGTTTTTTCCGGACCTATGCATACGAATGTTAGGGATTTTGAGGTTAGGCAGCAGTGATAGGTTCCAGTAATTCCAACTTTTTCAGACATTCCTTTTTTTTGAATACAAACTTCCCACACATGTTCTGTAAAAACAAAATATCTCTATTAAAGTTTTTGTCTTATCAAGCAAAGCAAAGAAAATGTAGCGTGGTATAAAAGAATGAATAAACACGTCGAGCCTGTCCAAACCTATGAATGGATATACATACTTACGTACAACTAACTGATCAGCTAGCTAGCTTAAAACGGCTCTACGATAACGAATGTCTGATCTTCAATGACTTCACAAATGACATAACTATCAGCATCGTCTCTAAGGAACATAATCGTAGCCGCGTCATCTATATCTGGTTCATTTCTGTCTATAGGCGACGATAAAAAGATTTCAAGTGCGATGCTTACTCATCTCGTCTTGAATAGAGTCGATTCAGTGACAACTTTGGACTGATTGCGAAAAATGTTGTACAATTCACGGTGCTATGAGCTTATTGTAAGCATTCAGCGAGTTCTAGGGAAATTACGAGATACGTTCTTGCTACATTCACTATTAACTATTAACGATTGAAGTTGATTGAATTTGCCTACAGTAAGTCAGGTCGAAAAAAATGATATAACTTAAAATAAAATGATTTGAATTTAACATACCATATGTTGATTGCATTAGACCATTTATATTTGCCTGATGCCGTTGTAAGAATAATAATTTTTCTAACCATTTGCGTAAATCATTTTCAGTTTCGAGCACAATTCCAAATCCACCTTCTCTTGAGGATAATACAATAACAAACCTGTGTTTTGTATCAAAACGAGGATTTATATTAAAGCAGCTACTTAAATAAATAACTCTTTTTGGTTCTGCTCTTTGCATAAATTTTTTTTCTGTATCGTAATATTCTAAACGTGCGGCTGCATTGTTCGTTTCTTCATACAGAACAAAAAATTTCTTTTTCATTGTTTTCAGTTTTTTTTGGTAGCCGCTTAGGACTAATCCATCATCCGATGTTGAAGCCATTTTTTCAATATTTATAACCTGAAAGGTACAAAGTTAGAAATAAGTACATTAGTAGGACAAATTTTCTTTTTATCTTTACTTTTGGAAACTTCGGTTTCCGAGTTTTCACTTTTATTTTAATTACACATTATTAGCCACATTCTTACCAAACCCACTCGTTGTAATACCATTCGAAATTATTTTCATGTATTAAGCAAACATTAAGCAAAGTTAAGTATTTAAAAGTTCGTATTCAACTAAAAAATTGTTTAATTGTTAGAATATACATATATACTGGAACAAAACCTACTTGTTATCCATGCCGGATGGAATGACCGTGTGCAAAAAATGAATTGAAGACAATAGTACTATGAAAAACTAGACATCGATATGGTATATCGGAAATAGACATTGCCACAAAATCAGTATAAAAGACGGTTTAAGGCAGCTGGTATGGTAGCAGAATTTATGTCCAATTGAAAACTTTTGAATATCCCAATTTTTGTATTCCTATCTTTTAACAATATTGCAATTATCATATTAATACGACTTATAATTTGGTTTAAGGCATATTTTTACAGCTGTATGCTTTCAAAGTTGACGCTCCTATTAGCACCTGCACCAAATTACAGTGCAACTGCTGCGAGGTGTGTTTTGTTATCGCAAGAAACTTTAAATACGTCAAACAAAAAACCAAGTTAATGAGCCTTTTTTTAAAATAAAAAGTCAATTATATTTCGTTTGGTACAGGTTATTGGTTCATGTGTTATGCGGTAACGATAGCAAATTGTTTTGGTAATAAGATGTGTTTCTACATATGTAGAGGGCGATAGTTCACCCCGATTTAGGTGTTTAAAGACTTTGACAAGGTGACTAAAATAAGTCATAATTTCAGCCGAGGGCTTACAAAGACCGTCTTCACTCAAATTATCGAACGAATTCCTTTTGGACGATTCTGCAGATAAGCCTTGAACCTATGGCAAATATATCTTCAGGTTCTAGGTTCTTCAGAGACGATTGGCAATAAAGGTTTAATTGAATTGACGATGATTCCTAATAAGAACAAGTTCTTTTAAGTCGTATCTAATGCAGAAATCAATATTTCAATTAACAATCTATCATCGACTTAAGATTACGATCCAAGTGTGGAATGTTATCTTCCCTTGAATTTCCTTCTCTAAATAAATACGATCGAAGTCTGTATTTATATTCTTGCCGATCTATAGGATCATGCTAGCCACCTCTCGACCTTACAATCTGGATGGCACAGCTGTTGACATCAGATCTCACGACGTAGAAAAAAGGAGATCCCAAGCGGTACCACAACGGGCCAAAACCGGTCTAGCTGCGACTGGATCCTAGCGAGCCTGGAATCCGCCTCTACCTACCTACAAAACAAAAGCAAAACACTATTCTCAGTTCTAGCCGCCTACAAATACGCTGGAACAGAAACAAAACAAATCAGTTCAAGCGCTGAAAAATAAAAAAATGCATTCAATCACAAATTAAATTTTGTGTATTGCACACCCACGGAAGTGCGCTGGCATCATAAGATGAAGCGGCACGAGCCAAGCGCCGGAACCGAAGACCCGGGTCCGGTCCGAACGCCAGAGCCGAAGAACTGGGTTCCAAATCTGGATCAAAGCAAATCATTATGATAGGAAGAAGGAACAAATTTAATTGAAATGACTACCAAGCGTATCCCCGTGCTTACTCATTCGCTCTCTTCACCGTGCAGTGTGCGCCCTATGGAGGAGGGTGTTTGTACTGAGTATCGAGTAAAAATGTAGAGCCGAGGCCCTAGCTGCGACTCACAACGTTGCCGCTCGTTTTCCTATTTCTTTATTTTTTTTTCTTTGTAGTTTTTGAGCACATTGGTACTAAGGAACCTAGTGTCCGATTATGCGTTGGAACCACTGTACATTGCCACTCAGAAAATCAAGTACAAAACTTTAATAGTGAAAGTTCCTCGCTGCAGGACGAATCTGGTGAGGGTGGGGTAAACTATTGTTGTTGGCTCGAAAAACTGCATGCTGGGATTTAATGGCTATTTTGACATCACCTTGCACATTTCGAAGAAATGGTGATCAAATATAGGGATAGCCTATACAAGCCACGGAAACTCAAACTTCTAATACGAATTGCAATTTACTTGTGCTCACACCTCGCCCCAAAACAATAAGTCAATGGCTCATCTGCCTTGCATACATACCCCCACACCTAATCACATCTTTTTGTTCCCAACTACAACGAATTGAGTGGTATACGGTTCTTGACGTCGTTTTTGTTTTAGAGATACTACTGAGTTCCAAAAATGCTGTGAATGTTTGTTTCACTTATTCATATGTTGTTGTCCTTTTACTATAAAGCTAAGAACCTACGGATACCCGCTTTTGTTTAGATATGTTATGTGTACATAGTTAATTGTCCCCAATAACTAACAAAATAATCAAAAACGTTTGCTAATGATACATATATAGTGTTACTAGAAATTACTTGTAGGGTTAACAATAAAATTTTAACACTTTGGAAATGAGTGTGTAGAATGTGTAAGCATTCTTGAATAAATAATGCGCATATTAGAAAGCAGATGCTCAGAATTTAACAACAGCATGTGATTGTGGGCGCAACTGTATCGTGCATTATGGTAACAAATCGTAACAAAAAACCCTAAACAGTTTAATCAGTATTTAATGGTTGTGTGTATATATATACATACATATGTGCACAGGTATAAAACATTCCCGATCCGATGTTTTTTTTAATGAAAAACTTTATGTACGTAACTAGGACATTGATATACTATTACAATATAGTACATAAATGTATAAAGAAATAAGCATAATACATAACTTACGAAGTTGCACATTAATGTATTTTGGTTTCACAGGCACACATATACATACATTAATCACAAAAATGTAAGAATAGTATAGCATGAAAATATCTACATATGTACGTTTTCTAAATCATTTCATTTAAAGATGTAAATTATATTTACTTTTTTTATAATTCATTACAGATCTGTATAGTTATTGACCAACAAACCAAGTTTTTATTTTCAACCAGATTTTTAGTAGTGGTGACACAAGAAACAAATCAAAGATTCATGTCGTTGGACAATAAATCGAAATATTCTTAGTGTGACCATTTGTTGTGCCTTTGCACACTGAGCACATCCTAAGGGAACGGAGAGAATTTTTAACAGATATGAAACACATTAACACAGGCACCATGCCGTAACCGGCTATTAGTATTATATAATAAAGTTTTTGTTTGAATTGAATAATTTTTTACTTTCCAGCCGAAACGATTCGTTTTAAGGTGCTCCTGTTTACACAAATTTATTTTATCGATGTGTTTCATGTTATCATCGTTTCTGGCAAACAAATACATCATGCAAAATAGCAAAACGATTTCAGAAAAACGCGATTTAAGTAGTTTAACTGTGGTTAAAAGCATACATATTGAAAATTAAATTGCAATGGTCAAAATTATATCGAATATATTGACGTTGACACGTGTGTATATATAGTGTATGTCTCTCTCTCTTTATTGAGATATGTTAAAGAATTACCAGAACATAAAACAATTTATGCGTCTGTAATGATAAACCTTTTAAAAATACTAAGGATTAATTCGAAAATAAATAAATATCACTGGATATGCAACATGCTGTAGATGGAGGTACTTAAAGCGAAAATTCTCCAATGGGATAGGATCATCGAACGGTTTCTTTTCTTTGTTTATTGGATATCATAAATAAATAATCCACTACCGTCGTTTTAGGTGCCGATACAGAACATCAGTACCTGCAGAGCAGCGAAAACCTTGTGCAAGGAGCGCAGTGGGAGATTCAGCCGCTACTTACTGTACCTACCACGAAATGATTGAACACTGTTAGTGGGAATACTTACAGGTTTGTTTGCGCCGCACGCAGTTAACAGCAGCAGTTGCAGAAAATGCATCTGCCACTCTCACCGGCAAGGAAAAGAAAGTTCTTCCAATTTTAACGGTTAGTCAATCATAATTTTTCACTCTTACCGCTCGGGCTATCTTTCAATCTTACGACATTTGCAAAATAAAACGTTTTCGATGTTAAACTGTCTCATCAAATTCGTCAATTATTCTATAACAGGGCCACCAATTTTGTGAATGCGTCGGACTATAACCAGCCTGCGATTGTATGCTGCATATCCGTTTACGTGAGTAAAATTTTCGTTTCCGCATTAAAATCTAGTTATCTTAAAATCCCATCGGTCTTTAACGCAACAGATGACGCATGACATTTTATTTATTATTAACAAAAAAACTGGCATTACGATTTATAGTTTAGTAACCATTCAACCATTTGCATATTTATAATATTGGTTTTAAATCAATTAAAAACTCCATTTTACATCTTCCGAATGATTCAAATTGGCATCAGCTGCAAGCACTGGTTCGTCTGAAAAAATCAAGATTAAAACAAATTTTAATTGAATTTTAAAGAATAACTTCAAAGAAGGTAGGAACTGTGTGTAAAATATTAAATGTAAATGCCATTTAGGTCTTAGTCTATAACTTTTCAAGCTAAGGCAGTAAGACTAGAGCTTCGCAGTCGACGCAGAAGCAACAGAGAAAGAATAAGAAGCTGCATTTCGAACAATAATTAGGAATATGTGGACTCCGTAAGAGAGAGAACGCGGGAATTCAGCAACTGCGGGAACGGAAGACGGTGAACTGAATATGGCAATACGAGACGATCAACCAAAGGTGGCGGGAAATCGGAACGGTGGGATTGGGAGATAATCACCCGAAGATAGCGGATCCCAACAGCTCTCGTACTTACCTGTAATATAACTACATCTCTGAAATTCGACGCTCAACACTTTGACTTGATCTGAGATAGAGGAATTCCGACACTGCTTAAAAAACGAATGTGTCATCAATTTCTGTGCACTCCAGCGACACGTTGGATTTTTATTTAGGCAAATTTCAATGTACTGGTGAAAGTCATCTGAAAAAGTTCGTTGGTTGTTCATTGCACTATGGACTGGATCTCGAGAAAAATTAACTGAAGTTGATCCTGGAATATAAAAATATTATTGATTACAGTATGACACTATAGTGCACACGGTCTTACGTTGGCAAGAGAATATATAAAATAAATTTACAAAACATAATTTATATAAATTATGCTAGGTCAAAGAATAACAAAAATATATAATTTTCAACTAAAAGTATACGAAGATTTTTGAAAATCATTACCTTGACTGGATCTATCTGATAATGAAGGCAGATTTCCACGAATTTTTTCTGTGCACATTAAAGTTAGTTCCGAATCCATAAATGGTTGAAAGCCATTTGCCATTTCAAAAGAAGTTATTCCAATAGAATATAGGTCACTCTTTTCTGTGTATCCATATAAATTTTGATATAATATCTCTGGCGCTGACCAGTTCAAATTTTCTTTCCTTCCCGCCGTTGATCCATGTAAAACTTTAGCTCTTTTACCTTCGTTAATAAAAGACCGCGAATCCCGAAAATTTGATAAAACGGCTTTCTTGTGATCTAATAGTATATTTTTAGCTCTTAAGGATCCATGAACGAAGTGGTGAGAGTGTATATACATCAGAGCACACATTATATCTCTAAATATCAGTGCTATTAAAATTTCCGGAAATCCTGCAATAAAATTTAATAAAAATGGTTGAGAATAATTAGTATTTTACTTAATTTTTCTTCAAGTATTATAAAATGTTTCATGTACTCGTAAATGTTTGCAGTGACTACACTAGGCAATAACCAAACAAACTCTAGCAACGTTTTTTAATAAAGTAGGTTTGAATATGCTAACCATAAAAAAAATATATTTTGATATTTTTACAGGTAAGGATGTTTTTTTATTGTAAAATTGAAATAGCTACGAAACAACATCCACGTGCTTACTGAATCCCTCACACACTCTTCCTCGTACAGTGTACGCCTTCTGCCTGAGGGAAGCGGGAAAGCAACACACATATTGATACACACACATACAGGGTATCGGCTATAAATGTAGAGACGTACCCCTAACCGGCACTCACAACGTTCCCGATTTTTGTGACTATATTAGAGAATACTGCAATTAGTAAGGATAAGTAAAGTTCTTCTAAACGCCCTATAATTTTTGTTCTATCCAACTATGTTGTTTTTGATTGATAAAATTTAAAACATCAAAAACAAAATCAAAATAATTGCTTTGTGGTTTTATTTTTTATTTTCCGATCCATTTCGATTGGACAAGAGGTAGTTGGTAACGATTTAAGATATATTCCCTCAAATGAAATCTGATTCTGGATATGCCCCAATAATTTTCGTACTAGCACCTTGCAAAAGTGAACAGGCCAAATCCATGGAACACAAATTAAATAAAAATTACTGTGCAGCTTGAAACATTGTGGAACGAACTATTAGAGGTCTTAAAAGTAGGTATGGATATTGTCATGCAGCATTATTAATGTTTGCTACGCCTTGCACATTATTTGACGCAGACTTAAATCGCCAGTCGCAAATGATTTAGTTTGCGCCGAACCTTAAACGTGATTGGAGAAAGCATAGCTCGTACTCCTTATCAATATACACAAACAAACCGGAAAAATACAAAAAAATACCTTTTTTTTCGTTGGTGACTTTTTGTCTATTTTTGGTTTATTTATAATCAGCTAAGTCGTACTAATTTTCAAAATAATTAATTGAATTTAAATGAATTATGTTTTGTATCTGCTTCAGCATACTCGATTGGATCCATCCATCACCAAGCAGGATCGTACACATCGGAGACAATTTCAAAACTTCGAGAATTTCTGCGTCTTGCTTTGGTGTTGTCCTAAGACCTCTCCTCCTCGATTGGTTGTATAGCCACTTGGGAGAATGCTCCGCCTTTTGCACTCTTTACCTCCTGCTTGTTTCGGGCCAGCTTCTTGCGTTTTACAACTTTCTAGTCCGACCATATCTTTCAAGATAAGACGATTTAAAAAAATCCACGATTACAACTTGAAACACTTGCCTTCATCCACCCGGATGGATCCTTAGTTGGGGTCCTGATGCTCCATTTCTGCCAGTATCTCATCTTGACTAGTTGTCTTATGCTACAAATAATGCCCCTACAAATAATTGCGACAATAACAGTTTGGTATTAATAATTTTTTGCGAATTTCTTACATTTTTATATTTAATTTTTATAAAATACTTACTTTCAGATTCAATAGCGTTTAGTAAACAGCTGACAGGACTGCAGCTCAAAGTATTTTATTTTCTTAGCAACTATCGGCAATTAAACTTTTAAGTTATACGAAAACAAAATTTCCAATTGAATAAATTAAACTTATAACATTAGCAAAAATGATTATATTTTTATCCCGCTCATACAAATTTGTATTTATGTTCTATGTAATTCCGTTTTTGAAATCGCTAGCTTAGTGTCAACAGATTTAATCGTAAGAATCTTACGATTTGCGAAAGCCGGAGTACGCACTTTTGTGATTTGGCAGTCAATTCGCAACTTTTTGCGATAATGCTGTCTCTAAAAACTCTAGGCAACCAAACCGAGTTTTTCTTATAGATTTGGGGCTTTCAATTTTATTTTTTCCAAAATTTTGATTTTTGAAAACTTGGGAAAACTAAAAAAGTAAAAGTCGCGCACAGGCAAATGGTTCATATCGCAAAAGGAATACCTAATATTACAATAATATTGGGCAGGACGAGTCATATTTTCTCCGAGACTGGGATCGGAGCTTGTTACTTCTTACAAATTCTAAAAAATTCAGTACAAATTTTGAATGGCTCTTTACTTCGACATCTCACAATGCAACAATACCAGCAGTCCGACTTATCATAAAAACTACTTCCAAATCCTAAAGTTCTATAGAAAAATCGGAAAGAAAGCAGTATTGATATACGTTGCCAACTGTTAAGCGCCTCTTTCGGAGAGCCAAGCATTTTATAGTGGCACGAATGTTTTACTTGAGATTTTCAATGGAGTGAAGCATTCCGCTTTCAAAAGAACCCCACAAAAGCAAGTCAGGAGAGGTCAATTCTGGAAATCTGGAGTAAATATAGCTTTTGTTACACTAACCGCCGGAATTGATTTGGGAGCCGATGACTCTTTACAAAGAGGACGAATTGATTTGTTAATGTGGAGAGTGGGGGATTTTGGTAGGGCAGCCTACTCAGACCGCGCACTCTCTCAATGTTTCTCACACTTATCATGAGAAATAGGAACCACGACCGCTAGTTATGTATGTTCTAATATTAATTCTTACGCTCCGTTTACCTTTTTTCACCTGATGATGTATTTGATTAAAATTGTAGAATATGTTGTTTCCATATTACCGCTACTTTTGAACACAAAATTTGGTTTCTCTAGTTCTTATACTACGGACTCGGACTAAGTTGACTCTGCTACTGATGATGATCAAGAATATTTGCAAATATTTTGTGGTATAAGATCCGGTGAGTTACAAACTTCTACCCAATTAAAAAACATACAAATAGCCTATTCAATTTTATATAAATAAAATAATCCTTATCATGGTTAGGAAATAAACTTTGATATACAGAATATAATTCATTTACCAGAAGTGAAGACATTTTCAAGTATTGTTTGACAGTTTCCAAAACACATAAATGGAAACACCATGTACACATAACTATTATAAACAAAGCAGTGAAGAATGCTATGTATATTTGTATGTTTAAATTGTCGAAATTTTAAAACATCTTCACATAACATTGCCAGCTTATCCGCTTGTTGCTCCACTGATATTTTCTTAATTACTATACATTTATTCGTATTAAGATAATTGGCTTTGTAAACTGTTCCAAATTTTCCAGCTTTAATTGTAGAGTTTAATTTATAGTCGGATATACTGTTGCTAAACATGTTTATAATTTGGACTGTGACAAAGTAGTGATGAAAAACTGGCGAGCTGCTATCGATACTATCAAATGTTGTTAATAAGCTCGCCCACTGAGCACATCCCTGGGGGAACGGCGGGATTTTTTGACTGATGTGAAACAGAGATTTACACTAGCACCATACACCATTCGTCAAAAATGAGCTTGTAATATAAAATAATAAAGTCTTGGTCTGAATTGTTGAAGTTCAAATGCGCTTTCGTGTCTTAATCCCGCTTATCGATTTTGTAACTGCAGAAACATTCATCGACATAAATGTACATAGATACATAGATATCTCGTTACCGCAAAACGCATCAGACAATAAACTATACCAAACGAAACAGCATTGACTTCTTCCCATTCCTACGACTTATGCAATTGCCAAGGGTTTCGTCATAGGACAGCAAAGTTTATTGTGGTGTGAATTATGCGATACACCGGTGAAGAGATAGCGAAAGGTTTGAGTTAAGATTAAGACGAGAGCACGACCAGTCAGTTAGTTTAATTTAAGACGGGGTCATATTGAGGACAGTGCTCCGTTCAAGACGGTGTCGGATTGTAAAACTATTCCAAGATGGTGTGAAATACTCAAGGACTAGACAATCCAACTCCATTAAAGAAGACTTGTGCGTGCGTACGATGGATACTGCGTCGGATTTGACGCAGCATGTCTCCTACTTACCAGTGAAGTCAATGAAGCAGCGCTGCCACTTGATGCTATCTCGATATCTGACTCTAATACGCTTTTGGAGAAACCGACTTGAACTCTATCAAGAAGACAATTCTTATTGAGATTCTGCATACTTCCATGTTTGTTTGTACATATGTTTATCGCTTTATTATATTATTATCTTTTATATTAATAGTAAATTTGCTTAGAAAGAATATTAAAATTAATATTTTTAATACATAATTAAAATTATTAACATTGATATAACTAGGGGGCAAGCCCCCTGCACACTCGATATGAGTAAAATACGAAGAAGTCAACCCAAAACTTTTTTATATAATACAGAGATAATAATAAAAATACATATACATCAATACATATTTTTAAAAACAAATTCAAAAACTAATTGTATATTATATAAAATATATTATATAATAATAATAATATTATATAAAAAAGTTTTGGGTCGTCGAAAAAATCTATCTCACAGTGACCAAAACGTTAATTCTTGATAAATCTCATTGCATTGAGAGTATTTTTTTGTTTTTGTTGGCGCAGGAGCTAAGCGACTGTGCACGGGGATCCTAGTTTAATAATAATAGTGTACGTTTTGGGTGGCAAGCTTGGTTACTAAGTGTCAAATTGTCTCAATAATTCAAAGAGTATACTAAGTAGAAATCGGAAATTACATTTTTCGGTCTATTGGAGCTGTAGGTAAAAGACGGAGCCTACACGGTCAGATGCAACGTACTGATGTACGCAATGCTCGTACCGGCCCGTTTTTACCATTAGGCACCGAACGAGAATTTTAATTAAATGTTGTTCTCTATTTAACAATTTGGTATTTATACCTTGCTTTGATTTTGCCTCTAGCTACAGTGTTGTTATGAAAAAGATCGTATTTGCAGATTACAAAATTACTTATAATACATAATAACATATTTATATAAGGTACCATAAGGATTATCCAAGAAATCTGTACAGATTTTCGTTTAGGTTTGATTGCAAGGCTCTCTAAAAATCCGTCGGTGTATCAGAATCTCTAGAGTTATTAATGTGCGGAGCACTAGTGCTATTTCTGAAAATAATGTAGATTTTGTGTTATCTAGCTATCGATTTTATAATATATGTATATTTTTTTAAAAGTTAATAAACAAAGCAAAATGCATAAAAGTTATTAAAGGAAATTATTATTTCAATACAATTATTTAAAGAAAATACATAGATAGTACATTCTATTTAAAACTGCAAGGGAAAAACAAACACCTGTTGGGATCAAAAATAATATCTAAAAAAAATTTCTTGAAAACGATTTGTCCTTTTTTTGTTTTAAAAGAAATTCTTTGTCGATTTGAAAAAATTGTTCAGTGATACTCCAAAAACTCAATATTAAAGCCTAGTACTCAGATCACCAAAAATTTTCCATCGACGCACATTGGGCCAGACGTTGGTGTGGAATGCCAACAATAAACGTCTATTTGATTAATGCGAACGACAGGACGCGAAGCGTATTCAATTCAGCAATGGCAGGGGATTGATGTTCCGATTCCTAACTGAATTACGGCCTTATCAGGAATGTTTAGATCTTCTGGGTGCCGGTATTTTCAATAAAAAATTTAGGACAACAACTTTCGCTCAACAAACATGTTTGGTATATACGGTAGCTGATTTAAGCTATTTTATTTATTAATTATTTATCAGCCGCGGTCGGGTTTCCGATTTTTTTATGTAGCCTGAAACTATCCTGGGACTAGATTTTATGATATGTCAAAATTTCAACTCAATCGGTGAAGGATTTTTCGAAATTTTTACCAAACCATCAGAGCATTTTTGTATATATACAGATCAATCTTTATATAATTAGAATAGTTTTAAATAGTGAATAGAATAGTTACTTACAAGAAATTATTGATCTTTTCCAGATCATGTAATATTGCGTCTTGAGCCAAATTCAGATCATCACGTTCTTTCAGGCTTTCCAAAAGATGAACATTAAGTTTCTCAATAATCGCTTGAAAATTATCTACCAATAATTGTAGCGTTGTTAAATTTACACCTGTGAGTAATTGCCTTGATATCCAGCGATGATTTGAGTCCATATTTAAGCCAACATTATGGAGCATTGTTCGTATTATGTCGACGATATGCGTGACGCCATGATTCTGGCTCTAATGTTTAAATAGAGAGCAATGAGAATATATTCACATTAAATTCCGGAAAGGCCATCGATTAATTAATAACGCTATGTAACAAAATCGAACTTTAACTGAGATGAAGCCGACTTTTTCAGATAGACTTTGGGCTAGAAAAATGTATATTGTATAATGTATAACTTCTTTAGCTATTCTGCTCTTTTAGTAGCTTTTGCAAAATTTTTAAATGAAGTCAAGTTATTTATTTTATATACATACATACATAAATATGTATATATTTATATATATATACATATATGAATATATATTCACTTGAAAAAAAACCATGGCTGCCGGAGCATTTGGCTCTTGAAGGCTTAAAGGCCTTAGCTGCCATAACTCATTTAACTAAAGCTAGTTTATGATTTTATTTGTACTTTAGTTGTAAAAAAAAACCTAGAAAAAATACATAAATACCTTAATTTTCCTTTGTGCTATTTTTCTTGATTGAGCTAAAGCAAGACGAACCTCTATTTGAAGCTTTGATTGTTTCGTAAAGAAGAAAACCTTCTCATTGGTTTGCCGTTCCTGCGTTTTCTTAATATTTTCGTTTGAAGTAAGAACAGATTTGTGTTTGTTGTTGCTGTTATGAGACATCTTGTGATTAGTATAATCTTTACTATATTTTGTGGCATACAAAATGGATGGCCTTCGAAGAACTCCACTTGTTAGCTTGGGGCAAGTTTCAGAGTCGGAGCTATAGCTTTCAGTGTCAGAGCAGACATCCTTTTTCAATTCTAAGCCTGTAAGTAGGATATGTTAAATGAAAATGTCTTTTGAGGAACGGAGATATCCTAAGAAGACAAAGTTAGAAAAGAGCGGAGCCAATGGTAAATATGACACTATCGATAGTAAGAAACCCACTATCCAAATCGGCAAGAGAAAATCGACAACGAACTTGTCGAGAAAATATTTCATGTATTTGCTATAGAATCCTAAATCTTACGAAGGGTTGATTTTAAGTCAGGTGTCAATAAAACGCAAGTAGAACTTAAGTAGGAGAAACGTCAGTCATTTGTCGGCGAAACTCTAGAGCACTCAACAGCATCAGGAAAAAGACGAGATTCTCCCGGAGCAACATTCAAAAATATAATAGTTTCTGTTAAAGTACGTGGTTTGGTGCAACGTTTATTGTGTAGGACAATTTCATGCCCAATATCAACGTAACACAATTCGAAACACAACGACTATTAGTCGACGAACTGGAAATGTATGTTAGATTCGGCGTGTCAAAAAAAACATTCATATATTTCTGATTCTTGTTATTTTAATTTTTATTAGTTGTTAGACTTACTTTTTATATTATTAAATATATTTTCTCCTTTAAAGGCCAATCTTTTGCATATTTCATCTCTGTTGTAACGACGCTGTAATAAAAAGTTAATCCGTTCAATAATTAAGGTAGTAGTTTTTTTTTTAATTGTAAAAAATCAAATCTTAAACGAAGCAAACGAAGTTTATGTACCTATGAGATAATAGTATGCGGAACCGATGGGAAGTCATTGCCCTCACCTTTGTGTCTCATAAAGTGTTGGACATAGTCAAGAGTTGGAAAGGGCGATTGCCCAAAGTCTACTTACTATATTAACCCCAGGCAGGTGTTGTGCGAACTTGTTACACCTCAATGCCTCGAAATGCAAAGTTATGACATTTCATCGTTCTAGCCCTTTGTTGGCTCCCTACACCCTATTTGGGGGTTCTCTTGAGAGAATTACCCTGGTGGATGATCTGGGTGTTATGTTAGACCCCAAGTTAAAGTTTTGCGAACACATTTCTACCATGGTAAATAAGGCCATGGGCGTGCTTGGGTTTATAAAGAGGTGGTCAAAGGAATTTGACGACCCCTATATAACAAAGACTCTCTATACCTCGCTTGTTCGTCCGATCCTAGAATACGGCTCCTGTGTATGGTGCCCTCAGTACAAAGTACACCAGGACCGTATAGAATCAGTACAGAAAAACTTTTTACTCTTTGCTCTGCGGGGCCTTAACTGGGATGCGGGTGTAAGACTCCCATCTTACTCTAGTAGACTATTATTAGTAAACCTCCCATCCTTAGTTAACCGTATGTCAGGGGTGACATAGACAGCCCTGATCTGTTGAGCCGCATAAACTTCACGATTCCTATTAGACTGACTAGAAACTTTATTCCGTTGTTCCTTCCACTTTGTAGATCGAATTATTCCTTGCATGAACCGTTTAGGGTCTTATGCTCGGATTATAATTCCCTCTACCATATTATATCCTCCACTAATTCTCTTCCTCTTATTAAATTACTAATCCTTACACACCTTTCTAGTAATTAGTAATTGTAGTGGTATTTGTATTTTGTATTTTATTGCATGCTTAATTTCTTAATAAGTTTAGTGCTAATTTTAAAAAAAAAAAAAAAAAATCCTACTGAGCAAAATGTACAACAGCAATGAAAGATTTTAATATTCTCAGGATGACCTAAATCATCTAGTGAACAGGTTTACGGAAGCATGTAACCAGGCCTTGACGAAGCATGCCCCTCAAACAAACCTATGGGTAAAAGAGCACTACTCTTTTCAACAGAGCTAAAAGCGCTGAAGAGTAGGAGCACTGAACAGACTACAAAACCAGTCTGGACCTATACAAAAATAAACTAGGAAAGCAGTGAGGGCCTCTTGGGAAAAATTTTCCGCTGAAGTCGAGACAACGTCAAAGCTACGCAATATCCTCTAAAAATTACCCCCTTCGTGGAGCACCTTAAAAGGAGTGACGGTAGGTGACCAATTCCAGTGAGGAGTCTCTAAAAATTCTACTCGATACTCATTTCACTGGGCTGTATGCCATTTCGAAAGACCTGACTGATCCAAACTAAAAATTTATCCAACTAGTTATTGCTTTCTGTGCATACTTGTATACTAACCTTTATTTCAATTTTGTTGGCCATTTTAAAATGATTTTTTAATGTTTCCAAGTCCATGTCAAAAGCCACCTTGTACGCATCAAATTGTTCTATAAAATTAAATTTAAATCGTTGTTAAAAAAGGTATATTTTTCTGTAAGGGTAAGTACTAACAATTAATTAAATATTTTTTATTAAATTTTTTTGTCCTAAATCCACCATTGTAAAATATTATTATAGCTTAACAAACCCATCGATGGAAAATAAACTTTTTGAATAAATCATAAGACAAAGCAATAAAAAAGTTGGAAAAAATATTCCTGAGCAATCTTCCTAGAAGATGTGTGCGTCAGAATGCCACACCGTTCGTTTTAGGCGCTGAAGAGGGCCAACTGTCGGTGACGGTGCTGAAAGCACTGTAGTGTCCCCACTGCGAAAGTGGATTGCCAATCGAAGGATATTCCAAGATGTGTCAGATATCAACCAGAGGTAAAGCTAGCGTACTACAGCAGGGATATTTAAGACATAATATTTTCTGTACGTAAATTCTTGATAATTCGCATTCCATCGGGCTTAAGCTTATATATATAGTAAACCCAAAAAAAAGTTTTTGAGGGTAGAATGCAAGTACAAACCAAATTGGAAACAATTTTCTATTCAACGAACGTAGTATATATATTTTGATTTCGACATTTCCATAGGCGGTGGGCCTGTGCCTGAGACGAAATTTCTACTAACACGATGTTTTTAATAAATTTATGTACCATATTTAATTACCTAAGACATTTGGAGATGAATGGTCGTTTTTATATTTAATCGGATGTTCCACGTATTGTCTGCTTCTTTGTATTTGGATGTTTTCTGCCGAAGGTTGGATACGTTGGTTTTTTAGGTTAGGAATATCCATATTATTTAAATTTTTTGTGATTTCCGCCAAATAAGTTTCAGTTTCACTTAGTATATATTTTTGTTGATTACATTTTTTATAGTCAAATTTATCAAGTGGTAGCTGTCGGTCGTCATGTGATGACTTTCGAGACTTAATTTTTGTTAACTCTTGTCCACATGTTGAATTTTTCACCTTCATTTTGCGACTGTTTTCTTCAGAATATGATATTAAATTTCCATTCCTTAGCGCTTCACCGCCATTTGATAGCTCAGCATCGCATATCTAAAAAAAAAATTCCTTACGTAAGCATTTTAGATTTTAATTTTTTTTTAAATTTAGTTATAACGACAAATTCAACCATTAAGCCTTACTTTACCCTTTTTAACCAATGACTGCCGCTGAAACACAGGAATGTTACATTTCAGTAATCTTTTCCATGTATATAACGAGCGGAAACATTGAGCCGCGACAACGGCGGGGAAAGAGGGATATCTCCACCATCTCTCTCAGAGATTGCCACCACTCTGCTTGGCTGCAGATTGGCGATCCCTTCGGACCACTTCCGTCTCTGTTGAACGCTGAGCAGATAGTATGTCGACCAATCTAAAGGTTTTCTTGATAGCAAACACGAGCTGCCATCGTTGAAAATACGATGGGGTACTGTCTGGTCTGGGGCCGCAGGGAAACTAAACAGTGTAAGCATTTTCGTACAAAAGTACTGCCCTTTTTGAAGTGATGCCAGCAACTTTAATGACCCTTCTATTTTGTCAAATTTCTTCAAAAATGCAACTCTCTGGACAACTTCTACTGCAGATAGATTTGCTGCGCCAAGCTCGTCCGTAGTAGTTCTCCATGTGACTCCTTTTATTCTAATAATGAACCGACTAACTATCTATAAAGGCAAGAAAGGGGTTCGGGCTGCCGAAGTGATGTCCGAAACATTTGTAGTTAACTGAGAGAGATACGTTTGCAGCCAGTGTAAAACCACTTCTGAATGTGACCACAATATTAACTTTGACATTGAGTGTTTGTACTGGCTCCGAAAAATCGTGTAATGATTGGATTGTGGTTTCCAAATCAGACGAAGAGTCATTCAAATTGATCAAATATACAATTTCTGAAATAACTTTGTCCTTATTACAGAATTTGTATAAAACTTGGTAATATACATGTATTGTGGCTATTCTATGTGATCTATTCTAGGTTTCCAGAATATCTTTATGTTCGTTTACTTACCTTAGATAAATTTAAGACATGTAAGCTTTCCACAAGTTTTTTGCTCTTAAAACCTGTGAAAAGTAAATCGATTTCACGTTCCACTTCCTCTCCGAAATCTCCGACAATGTCAATTTCACTTGGTCCCGGAAGTTGATCAATTTTAGAAGGCCGATGAGAGCAGTTGATTTTGTTCATATAATTTTTTCTGATACTGTAAACTAGTTCTGGTTTATTTAATAGTTCTTTTGATTTTTCTGATAATTTCTTGCCAGTTTCATTTACAATGTTAGGCATAATTATAGATGACATTTCGAAAAGAATTGAGTCTCTTTCCAAAAAAGAACCCGAATCTGAATTTCTTCGACTATTCCCAAAAACCAAACCTTTGATATTTTCGTATTTGGAATCGGTAAACTTATCGAGCCTACACTCTAGACTTGTTTGGGTTTCATTCATAGCTTCACATTAAACTTGCTTTCAGAATAATCAATTAAATCTTCATAACGAGCATAGTAAAACTTTTGTAGACAGGAATAGTTTGGATTTCGCATTTCTTTTCCCCAATGAAGATTCCTTTTAGGTTCATTCCTAAAAAAAAAATAAAATTATTAAAAAAAATTCATTTTGAAAATTAAAATTCGTTTAAAAACTATTAAAATATAAATAGGATAAAATACGACATTGCGTAGATTCACATAGTTTGAGTCAATATTTTCCGAGCCTTTCTGAAAGTACTTACATTTGGCGTTAAAAAAACTCGGGAAAATTACAGCCTCCTCTAGTAGTACTATGCGTTGATTGATAAATATATATGTATCATATACGAAGAAGAGGCTGGCATAGGAACTATGAATGATCTGGAATTTTCATTTTTTTACCTCCAAAAACATATATTTTCGTATAAACATATATTATATTTCTCTTCAATTAACGAAAAGAATAATTGCGATATATTTATCCTGTTCAGCACCAAAATGCTTCAAGTTTCATCATTTCCAGAGGTATTTAAATAACAATTGGCCCTTGATGGGTTAACTCAAGCTTAGTTACCTTAGTATATGTACATATATATATGTATATGTACATGTGCAATATACATTCAGACTAGTTTTGCCTTAGCAAGCAATATTATAAATTAGTAAGAATATGAAAAATCCGTTTTCATTCACTTGGTCGTATTCCATTCTTACTTACCATGCACTTATTATTTATAATATTTAAATTTGTTATTTCATAAAAAAAAACTGCAAATTGTTCCATAAATAGCTCTGCATAATTATGTCAACATATACAATTTCAAGGTTAACCAGCAAGCCTAAAAATAACTGCTATACACAATTTATTTTGACTTCCTACAAAATGATATGTTGACAATACACTTAAAATGTTAAAAATCAATTTAAACAGTATCCATTAAAAGTTATGAGAGATTGGCTACTTTAAAGATAAACTGAAACGATGACTCGTTGTATTATATAGAAGTCAAATATATCAACACCGGTTTGGGTCATGCGCAGATGAAAGGACCCTCATTCAATGCTTCGAATGGACTATGGCTTTTTACGTTTCAGAATAGCTGATTTCTTTAAACCTGCATTTTAATTCTTCATATAACTTCTAAATAGGGGAGATTTGTGTCTCATCCATAATACCTATTTGGCAAACCTCACAAATAATAGTCAGCACTTTTTACCTTTTACTGTTTTCTGTCTGGTCACTGATAAAAGAGAAGCAGAATACATTTTTTTTCTTAGCTTGTGTTTTCTGTTTCGTGTTTTCGATTAGCAATGCAATAACAACTTAAAGAGACTTTTTGATCAAGCGCTCGCAAAAACAATGTCTTCAGATGAGCAGAACCACATAGGCAAGTGATCGTTGCCATAGGCACCACACTCATAAGCACGCGCCTCAATGCTTGGTAACCAAAGAGAAGTGTAAATATCGGTCTTTGCTTGAGCGAAGAGCGAATTGAGCTAAAACAGATTTGATCACTGTTCATGCAGATCACTTCCAATATATAATAAAATTATATATAATTGATATATAAATATATAATATATGTTATATATATAATATGTAACTTTGCGTTGGGGATAACGGATGACGGGTCGGCTCGCACCAACTGTAAGCCCGGAATGAGGTAAAGGTGTTTCGGGCTCGGGCTTGCCCTGAGCACGAGGCGTATTCCATCCCCATGCTGCTTCATGCTGTACACACCAGTGGAAGTGCGACTATACTCTCCCCGTGGGGTCGGCTGGAAACAGGATCTGGTACGGTCATGTCTCTGACTTGGATGCTGCCAAAGTCGGGCGGTGAGTGAAGTTATGCCAGGATGCATTGTCGAGGGGGTACTCGGTCGCTAATATGCGGACTACCTACCAGATACCTACCGACAGTGAGTTTTAACTAGGATTCCCGGGGCAAGCGGGCTATGACTCGGCTGACCAACCAATCCCCGCCTTCTCGTGGAACCAACTATGCCAAGCAATTTGAATATCATAAATACAAACACCGCAATGGAGCATGGTACTCTAAAGTACCGGAAGTACAAGACCATCCGTCTACAACAGTGCCTGGGAAACTAGGGCCTAAGAAGAGTGCAAGGATAGGCCGGAAAAGCCAATCGAAGTCGGGTAACACTAGCTGCGGACCGGTGTGGTTGCCAAGTAGTGCGTAATTGCAGCTGGGACCTTGGGACCGGGGAGCCCCTGATGACTCCGGCAGGCACTTTTTCTGTACGGCAGGGTAAAAAGCCGTCGTATAAAGGACCAAAGGGGCTTCCATCCTGTCCAACGATGACACGAAATACAAGTCGTCAGCCGAAGGGTCTGAGCCACCTTGCCAGATTTCCAGCCAGCAAAAGCTGGAAAGGGCGCAACCAAGGCCCTGAATATTAATTGATCGCCGAGGTGGCGAAGGACAAGACCCTAATTGACGTCCTGGGCAGGGGCGCCAAAGACGGCCATGTCCTTCGGAAAAAATTACACCTGTTTAAAAATGAGCTCCAGGACAGTTTCCTTCAGGAGTTCTAGGAGAAAGGCGGACCACCATCTTAGTGTGAGAAGGCATAGTGGCATCATGGAAAGCTGAAAGCCATCGACTGCCAATACGCTCGCTCTGCGGTTCACTACATGAAGGCGATGCCTGCCCTCAAGGAGGTCTATCCAGAAGCCAAATTAGAGGCCGTACGTTCAAAAGACATTCCTAGCAGACCGCGGGCCAAGCTTGCAGAGCCGGAGAAGATCCTGAGGTTACTGCAGGTTACTGCACCACTCTTGTACCTGGACCATTGTAAGGCAACATGTGCTGCTCTTCTACTCCACCTAGCCAAGGGTGGAGTCGACATAGTCCTTATACAGGAGCACTGGGTTCTCGGAAAGAGGGAGCTAAGGACTCAAGACTAAAATCTATACGTAGTTGGTACCACAGGTAAAACACGTATCTGCATTCTTGCAAAAGATAGTTTCAGCCTAGAAGGCCAGGAATGCTCCCTGATGATCTGATCCACATATATGGGTCATGACCAACCTGACGTTCCCATACATGAGACCCTTCATATGATCATCGCAGACTGTAAGACCAAGGACATATACTTAATAATGGGGTTCAATGACAATGCACACGAACGAAACACAAACGGGGTGAGTACCTTTTTAGTTATCTTCTGACCACTCAGGTCGTAATTTTAAGCCAGGGAAATGATCCCACCTTTATAATTAAGAATCACAAGGAGGTCCTGGACTTTACTCTTGGCTCTCACAAGATACAGAAGAACTTAGTATGATTGAAGGACCCAAGTGGACAAACTGGACTCGGTGCAGATCACCTAGGCCGTATTCTCCCTGAGTCCCCCCTTAAGAGAAGATTTCACGATGGTACACGGCCCGTCTAGTTAAAAATTTTACCGAACCCTGCAGAGGCGCTCGATAAATCCTGACCCTCTAGTAAAACCAGGGGTCGGAAGAAGCATGAATGGTGGACTCCAAATCTGATGAGTTCACGAAAGCCTCGCGGAAACTCTTCAACAAAACTAAAGTACAAGGCGTGTCTGTCATCCTACAACAAAGAATTTAGGAAAGCCAAACGCATCACATGGCGTAAGTTCTGCTGCAAAATCGAGAGCAACTCAGAAGCTTTCGCGTTTTGCGCAGAGTTCCATCTAAGAAAACACTCACCCTGGGCTGCCTGAAGAAAGACCAACGACTAGCAATGTGGCGGAGAAACGTTGTTGTTATGCGCAAACATTTTTTTCTTGCCAACGTTCCGTTAAAATTGGACTGCGTCAGCTGTGTTGTTACTCTGACCAGTTACTTCTGAGATGAATTTGAGGTTGGGTTAAGAACAAATGATTTATAAAGAAGGCAAAACCTAATTGCCCTGCTGTAGGCGTTTTTTTTTTCTTTTGCAATTAAGATTCGTTTTTTTTTTTTAAGTAAACGCCTTTACTTTTCGATCGAGGAGGATTCGAGGAAATTTTTTCGTTTTTAAAACGAGGATCTAGCGGAACGGGAAAACGGGAGCACCAATTTATTTGTAACTAAACGAAGTAATTTATTGAATTTGTTTTTCGACGCGCGGTACGAAGCTGTAGACTTTGAGGAATCAACCGATTTCAATGTTTCACCGCTCAAATTACTAATTAAATCTGACAATGCCTGTTCTTTAAACAAATGATTATAATATTTTTTTAATAGTCTTTTTTAATGCATTTTTTTAAAAAGGCGCCATTTTATTTTTAAAGGATTTTTAAATTTTTGCAGAATACTTAACAAAATAAAATAAAAAACATACCCATTTTGTTTCACAGGATAGTAGTCCTGGTGACCAACTTTTGGTCCTTTGTGCTATCGATAGATCGATAAGGTATCAACAACCCCTAATATGCTGTTGAGGGAAGAAAATGTCATTTGTATTTAAGACAATATTTTCATTGTAAGAGTTCAATATGTCAATTAAAGAGCGCCGATAAAAAAAAAATAACTTTTTAGTAAACCTAACGTTTTTCAACATGGTGAAATATATAATTTATATTCTGAGCCTTTCATTAATGCTACTTACAATGACAAAAAAGGATGTTTTCGCAAGTAATGTTATGTTTGGAACGTATGGGTAGGTGCAAATAGACTCTTCACAACATAAAGATTACAGTTTTGATTTTTCCTCTATAGTATATATTATTGTGAAGGACGGAGCTTTTAAAATAGAACTATCAGTATCAATTTCATCTGAATAAAAATGTGAATTTTTAGTTAAGATCTCTTAAAAGAAAAAATAAATCTGCTATGTGTATTTGTATGTGCTACAGACAAGCAGTCAGTTTAGTTTGTGCACGGTTAAGCATTTTTAGATTCTGGTTATACCCGGTATTCAGTTCCTATTGGATTGCCAAAACAGTCATTCGAATATTAATTCGACGTATTCCACCACTTTTTTCTAATTTGATTTTTGACCGTCGCATGTTTTACCCAGTGTTTAAAAACTTGCGATAAATTCCTTTGCTTATGTCGCTGCTTATTCTTCTGAAAATATGAGAACCCGCAAAGCAAAACTCTAAAACTGACAGTTGACGCAGCACAAAATGAGTAACGCCCAGAAGGAAGCGATTCTGATCCCATAAAGTTTATTCTTGATCAGCTTAAATATCCGAGTCGATATAGCCATGTCTGTATATTCGTCTGTCCGCCTTGCTGGACGCCTATTCATACTCGAAACATTTATCCCAAATATATCAGAGTCTTTTTCAGAATAATAAAGCTGTTCAGATACGTGCCTTCTTATTTTTGTTTCCTTCAAAAAGCCTACTGATGGGCTCCTATTCCAGTGATAGGCAATGTACATATAATCTTAATCATCCGATCAAATCAATATCAATACGTAAATCCAAAATAACATACGTAGCTCTGAAAACTAGGCTTTGGACGGGACAAACAGACGCACATGGCTATATTCACTTGGCTATCGATGCTGATCAAGAATATACAAGAATGACTGTGAAATTTGTGGGTTTATATCTTTAATTTCTTTAAAAATAAAAAGTTTTTATCTTTAATTTCTTTAAAAATAAAAATCAGAATTTAAATTTACATGAATATTCGAACATTTTTTTGACATATGTATGTATTTAAATTAATATTTATCTGGTATTTTTTTATAGGTTTCAGCAATCATCAGGAATTTGCCATTTATACAATGGAACAATTTGTCAAGATGTTTTAAAAAATGTTCATGTTTTTATATCTCCAAACCTCACTATGAACGCCATAGAGGAACGGTTGAAAGCCGCTTATGGTGTAATCAAAGAATCAAAGTAAGCTTTTATAAATATTATTAAATAATTTTGAAATTATTTACACACCTCCTTTCAGGGATATGAATTCGAATTGTCGAACGTATGCCTTACCCAGTCTATGCTACAGTTCACTACCTATTTGTCGAACTCCTGAACGAACAAATTTATTGTACTTTGCAAATGTCGCAACGAATGCTAAGCGTTACAAGAACTACAATACAACGACACGAAATAAGAGGACTAAAACTAGAGATATTAAAAACATAAATATATATTTAAAAAAGAAATCCACTATTTATGAAGATGTATTCAGAACGGACATTTCGAGTAAATACCCACCTACTAGAGAATCTGAAAATTTGAAACGTATTTGTCGCGAAGAATGTGAGCTTTTAGAAAATGAGCTTTGCCAAAAAGAGTATGCTATTGCCAAAAGACATCCTGTCATTGGTGTGGTTGGAGTTGAAGATTGTCAAAAGTTACCACCACATAAAGACTGTTTGTCTTTGGGAATAACTATAGACGTAGATGAAAGTGAAAATTGCTATTGGGAGGACGGCTCGAGCTACAGAGGGATAAAAAACTCATCAGTATCTGGAAAATCTTGTTTAAGATGGTCTTGGTTGATGAAAGAAATTTCCGACTTTCCCGAACTTATAGGTCAAAATTATTGCAGGTATGTTGTACCAAAAGTTTATTTTACTGCATGCGTACTTGTGTTTATTTAATATTTTTAAGCAGTACTCAAGGAGTCCCTACCCACCATACAAAGTATATTCTGGATCAGTATTCATAGCCGCTTGTTTCTCAGAGACTTTAGGAGATAGAAAAGCCAAAGCCACACTGATCAAGATAAAGATAGAGAGAGATATTCATCGGAATGATCACAGCTAGAATCTTGGTCATTAGGTGGAATGGGGGTAAACGGAGTGCAGAATTAACATTGGAACATAACTAGCGCTCGACCTCGCTCTCTAGATTAGTCATGTTTGCTATTACGATTTTGGAAACATTCGTACAAATTAAAGATTGTGTGCTCCGGCACACGCAATTTTTTGCTGTCGAAAAAGATTCCTAAATTGTTTTACGATATTTCACTTCATAAAAATGGGTGTTTTTCTGCTTTTCTCCGTGCGTTAGTTTTTTTATTTATGAGATATGTGAACTTTTGAAATCACAAGCTCGTTATGAATCTAATATATTTCCAATATATCACCTTAGTGTCTTCTCTCATGACACCTAAAAACTTGTCCGATTGTACATATCCTAACTATCCCACCAACAAATCAATCCGTCAATATGCACATATATACTCTGTACTTTGTTTTGAGTTTAGTAACTATTTTTAGAGATTCAGACACCTACGGAGACATTCCCAATACCCTAGTAAAATATTTAACATTTATTTTCTTTTTTCTAGGAATCCTGGAAGTGTTGAAAGTAGCCCTTGGTGCTTTGTGGATGCTTCGAGTGAACGAATTATTGAACTTTGTGATATTCCTAAATGTGCGGAAAAAATTTGGATTACCATTGCTTGGACGACCGGAGCAACAATTATTATTTTCATAATATTTTTGTCCATAATACTTTTTCAAAGGAGAACTTTCATGCACTATGGAATGCGAAATATTCAAAATGTATGTATTTTCTAGCATTTTAAGAGAAAATATTATTTAACGAGTAGCATAACAGTCCTAGATTAGACGGTAGACAACGGATTATGTTCGTTGAATAAGATAAGATCGATTCGATAAGATAATCTCCTTAATGAAAAGATACAGACAAAAGGTATTCGCTGTGAGATCTACGGAAAGAAGGTGCACCTACATAGGTGCGCCTGGAGTTGTGCGTAGCTCCTCAGTAATAAATAGCTCAGCCATTCGTTGAACTCGGCTGAGTGTCGTTAAGATAAGATTTCTTTTTTATGGCTGGCCACCATACCACCACACCATAAAGCATGCTTCTAATCTGATGGACACATTTTAGGTTCCTGTACTTTAGTTTACAGATTTGACTCAAATTTGCAACACTCGTACTATTGATTACTGATTTGTTTCGGGTATATACATGCATAAATCAATGGTTCGATGTCAACCAATTGGGTTTTATCAATTTTGTCTCTTTTCATCTGTTTTATTTTTCAGATCAATACACCTAGTGCTGACAAAAATATATATGGAAATGCACAGTTTAACTCGAACCAAGATGTAGGTAGAGTTCATCTAGGCAATATTTCGGATAATATTTCCATAGGACCTAAGAACTCGGAACGAAACACTCTGTTGAGAATATCACATTTCACATTGCAAGATGTTGAGTTTTTAGAAGAGCTGGGCGAAGGAGCTTTTGGCAAGTTATTTCATTAAATAGTTTTTGTTCTTTTTATAAAAACGAATAAATAAATGATTTCAGGCAAAGTATATAAAGGACAACTGACACAGGCTAATAAAACCGTCACTGTTGCTATTAAGGCCCTGAAAGAGAACGCTTCATTGAAAACGCAACAAGACTTTAAGCGAGAAATTGAACTAATATCGGACTTGAAGCACCAAAATATTGTCTGTATATTGGGTGTAGTCTTGAATAAAGAGCCTTACTGTATGCTCTTTGAGTATATGGCTAATGGTGATGTGCACGAGTTTTTAATTTCGAACTCGCCCAGTGAAGGTAAATCACTAACACAGCTAGAATTTCTACAAATTGCATTGCAAATCAGCGAAGGCATGCAATATTTATCAGCGCATCATTATGTCCACCGAGACTTGGCTGCTCGTAACTGTTTGGTCAATGAAGGATTGATCGTAAAAATTTCAGATTTCGGCTTATCTAGAGATATTTATAGCTCGGACTATTACCGGTAAGTAAATATTAGACTTTGGCATCAGGCCAGGTCGTGAACTTAATTACATGAATATTTGTTTTCTTAGGGTTCAGTCAAAGTCGTTATTACCTGTACGTTGGATGCCATCGGAGTCTATATTATATGGAAAATTTACAACAGAGAGTGATGTATGGTCATTTGGCGTTCTACTTTGGGAAATATACAGCTATGGAATGCAGGTAAATATTTTTTAACACGAGTTGGATTCCGCATACACATATTTAATCTTTTTGCAGCCATATTACGGTTATAGTAATCAAGAAGTAATCAGCTTAATCCGGTCGAGACAGTTACTTTCCTCTCCAGAAAACTGTCCAGCTGCAGTTTATTCTCTTATGATAGAATGCTGGAATGAGCAGTCAGTAAAACGTCCAACATTTACAGACATTTCCAACCGTTTAAAAACTTGGCATGACGGGCATATTAATGCAAGTAACTAAATAATTAATGATAGTTTTATATTCGCTATGATATCACATTTTCTAACCGGCTTAGTTAACATGCATTTAAGTTTTTAATTAAATACGAGACTATTGAATATTTCGGCTTTTTAATATCATTAAGTCACTTGGGATCACTAGGTGTGGGCCACATATTATGATTTATACATATGATTATTAAATTTGTTAATAGTCCGGACTCTGATACAAGCAGTGTGGCCAAGTGGAATGGCGAGATATGCCCCTGCATATTATCAAGGGGGAGGACGCCAAACTACGAGGGCGAGGCAGGGTCAAGAGTGTACTCATACACCCAGTGGATACACGGAGAAGTGTCGAGGTTGCCCTTCAACATAAAACTACGAGGGAGAATGTTAAAAGCGTTTCCACAGCGAAAATCCATGAATAAAGCTAGAAATTTCTCCCCGATTTAGCCATGCGTGACTATTTATTACACTCGAACCTGAAGAAATGGCTTGGCGGAAGGAGATGGGTCTTTTGAAAACTTCGACAAATCTTTTTTTTTAATTGATAAATAATATTTGAGTAACTATTTTAAAAAACTAACTAATTGTTTCCAAAAACCTGTGTTTCATTCCTAAAGTCACGGACTTAATTGGCAGCCATCACATTTACATAAATTTAAGCAGCTATTTTAAATTTAAGTTAATACTAAAAAAAAATGTTATAATTATAAATTAGATTTATAATACTTATATACTAATATCATTTTTATATTATCCAGCTTTAGGCTCAAGAAATTTTGCCGAATCGTTTCTGTACACACGTACATGCATGTGTTTCCGCACCTTGAAATCACTGCTCGACTATCCTGCGCCGCTGTCGCTGTTGTTCTCTCATGGGACAGCATCTGCAGCGGACATCGAAACCTCTGCCTGGAAACTGCGGAGCTTGCCATCGCCGTTCCATTATGATTCGATTATAATGTCCTCGTCATTCTAATCAGATTTCACGAGACATGGCTGAAGGCGTGATCTTTTGACTGTATTTGGTCATACAATAGACAACTACATACAGCCCCAATCAATTCGCCGTGATTCGGCGATCCTTACGAATCTGACCTCTTTTACCGAGTATAAAAACGGCAAGAGTTAAAAATATAAGATATTAACTTTAGTACTTACTAGTTTTAGTAAGTAAGTAATAGTTTTAAGCGAAGAAATGTTTAAAAGACTCCAAATAGTATAATTTATTTATTTCCGTTTAAATTATTTTTAATTTAAGGCTAAGAATGCCACCAAGAAACTATTATTTCTTTACAATAATTTTTAAACATCTCTTAAATTTTGTTGAATGCAGCTATATCAACGCTTTGGACAAAATCTTCTAATTTTTCTATTTCTTCAGTAAGCCAATCAATAGAAACTTTATCGTCCTCAACAACACATGAAATACTTAGTTTCTTTATTCCAAAAGCCACTGGGACAAGCCTTGAAGCTCCCCATAATAATCCGTCTAAAGCAATTTTTCGAATTACTGTTTCCATAGCTTGCAGATCAGTCTCATCATCCCATGGTTTAACGTCTAAAATTAAACTTGACTTTGCTATAATAACAGCTTTTTTCGATTTCTTAGCTGTATAAGCGGCCAGTCGTGATTCCCTTATGCGTGCAGCCTCCTCAGTTTCTTCCTCACTTTCTGAAGCAAATAAGTCGACATCATCATCATTATTTTTCACGTTACCGTTTGAGCAATTAAGTCGATTTTCAACCAAATCAAGACGTTTCAATACATCGGAGTATGCTTGATTTAATTTGGAAACTTGGGATCTTAGATCGATATTTTGATTTTCTAATAGCGATATTCGGTCTAGAAACTCCAACCTGCACTTATCTTCCAAAGTAGCAACATCAATCTGAAAAAAAGTATTGTTAGCGAGTTAGCAAGTTCAATAGTAGTATAGAAGAACGATATAGCACAGTTTGTTAAGAAAGTGTAAAGCGTAAGGTAAAGGACCGTACTTATAAATATACTTTGGTTACATTTAATAATTCTTAAACTTCATATTTTCGTTTAGTACGAAGTTTAGTACTTTTTTGTTAACGTTGAAAAAATCAGAGCTAGAGCTGCGACGGGTACCTTGTTTTCTCCCACAGTCGAACGTAGGCTCGGGTTTTCTATGAACCCCTTTGTTTCGGTACGGAAACAAGAAAATGACTTAGCACTGAAATTTTCGCTCCATCATTCGGGAAACATTTATATATGTACATATGTTATGTTATGACGATAACGATAGTGATCTAGTAAGCGCGTGGAAGAGTTGTACCTTTTGTCTATATCAATGATCTGATCTGATCCAGATACGTTTATCGGTTATTCTCAATGATTCTGCGTTTTCGGTTTTTTCACATATTCAAAATTGTGGATGCCATATTGATAGCTACTGTCGCCGACGGTCGTGTTGTACTTAGCTCCAGCTAGTACTTTGTATTTTTTTTGCTTATCTGTGCAAATAATTTCCGGTTCGCTATCTGATCGCAATCTTATAATCGACTCGCCACCCGAACTTAAAGCTCACGAAATTGTACCAAATGGTTGGATTGTACATGTACAGACGAGGACGCGTTTCCTTTGTGCTTCCGATCGTACAGCTAAGAGCTGCGAACACTGGAGTCCAGTACATACCCAGGAGGATGTCCAAGCACGGGCAGCGCTATTATAATAAACTTCAGATGCCCTGGATATGCAACGGTGACCAAGGCCAGGGATGAAAAGTGAGAAATGCCCTCTCTGGGAGCTCCGATTGCACTCCCTCTATCTTTCCTAGTTCTTTTTTGTTGCATTTTTAATGTCACTTTTTGCTGGATCCACTCTCTCACTCTCACTAGAAGTCAGCTGTCAGCACGGCCACAATTGTCGTCTGTCCGTTATTTCACAAATGTTTCGTATTCTTTTGGTTTCATATACATAATGCGATTACCAAAACAAAGGCATATTTAACTAAAATATTTAAATTTCTATAAAAAAAAACACTAAAAAGTTTCGAATTCCCGAGCACACAAAATTTTACTTCGTACGCAATACCCTTAACAGGCGCATGGTTATAATAAAATCCAAATTTTATAAATAAAAATTTAAAAAGAATTTAATTACCTTTTCCAGAGAGTTCTGTATATGCTCCCTAGCCTTTGCAATTTCGGACACTAAAGGGCTGCAGTGATTCCGCTCAGATACCTTTAAAATAAGACCACAAATTTTATAAGTCTTGTATGTATTATATCTTTAAATAAGATATAATATATAATATCATAATGTTAGCCTTAGCTCTGACGTAAGGTTATGGCCAACACCAACACGCAAATATTGCCCAATTGCCAAACTTTAAAATACACGTGTAACAGTGAGACGTTACAGTTATCTAAATACAAAATTTGGTTGCTCTGGCTTTTATATTTCGGAGAACTGAAATATTTCGGAGCTCATGAAAATCGGATAGACCGACATGGCTATATCGACTCGGCTTTGATGCTAGTCAAGAATATATATACTTTATGGGGTTGGAAACGCTTCCTGCTAGGGGAAGTACAAAGGTACTATACAAAGGTACTACACAATACCATGATGTTGCATGAGGGCCCAAAGAGCTGTTCTATGGCGGCGTTTTTCTTGAGGGCTTTTGTGCGTTCACCAGAACTAACGAAAGAAACCCATTACTGATAGCTGATCAAGTTGTTCTGGTTAGCACGCCCATTACAGAGATCTAGACATTTAACCCGAAAAGATAGCTCAATAAAAAACCAACCATATCAGGCTGAATTTGCACCCAAATCATATTGCGAAGGGCTTATCTACTGTCTGCCACCGATCCAGCCGTCGTCGCACCGACCATAAAGACCAGCAATCGATTCACTCAACATGACTTGATAAACCTACTGGAGGACATTATTAAAAGCAATTACAACAGCAACAACCAAATGGAAAACCTCTCCAAAAAGCCGCATACTAAGAAAGCACGCGGTAATATCATTTTTAATGTAAATATACTATAACTTCGCGAAAAGGAGTCTGATATTGTCAACCGAGATTCTATTTTTTTGGCTGGGATTGTTCATTATAAATATGTGCTGGTATTTATATTAAATTCTCAATTCGGAGGCATCAACTGAGAATATTTTTTTTACTATAGTACAATCGGATCATGACCTACCTTTAAAATGACCTCGTGAAACATTTTTTCTGCTAAATCATATCGACCCTTATCCGTCCAAAACATATCCAAAGCTTCGACTCTCATTCTGAAATTTGATTTGATTTGCACTGCTGAAGCTTCACAATTAAATGTTTAATACAAAATATACTATATATTCGATATTTTACTTATGCAACAGATATGAAGTACGTCAAGATAGTGTACAAAAGTCATACCCAACTATCTATGTATTATGGAACGATGCAAAATAGAACACAAAATGTATTTTTGTACATTCTCACGGAGTATGATATGTTACAACCAGAAGAAAACACCTCAATGAGTATTAATCAAGTAAACCATCAAAAGACAATTCAATATAGCCCAGGTACGACTTAAAAATTGAACAACCGGAAGTGACAGTAGTTAGCGTAGTTTTCTGCGAGGTATTTCAAAGCTAAGCTGAAACTGATTTGTTTTGTATGCTACTTGATTCTATCACTAATGTTTTTACTAATTTTTTTTTTAAATATAAGATTCTTCAACAAATTTGTTCCGTTTTGTTAAAAAATTTCCACTTTCCCTGGTATAATACGAAAAACACTATTCTTTACTATACTGTTTCTTGCGACGTGTTCCACATGATGCAATTATACAAGGTGGTCTCGTGGGGAGCCGAAGCTCGTTCGTGTTGCCCCTTATTGTTAGTGCGTGTTTGCTTGTTGATGCAGAAGGTTGTTGGCGGACAAATTTTTTTATACAGTTTTAACCCTTACGTGCCACCAACAAAAAATGACATACTGCACTTTTTGCCGAAATCATGTTCCGGGAGTAAAATTTATTCATGCTCCGAAATGTGCAGTGAAGCGGAAGTTGTGGGAGCAAAGCCTCGGGTGCAGCCTTGGCGCTCATTCTAAAATTTGCGATACTCACTTCAAAGCTTCCCAGTGGAAGTCTGCACCTAACAGAGGGCAGACTTATAAAAGGAGGAGATTGATTGATAACGCTGTTCCGGATAGAGAGGACGAAAGTTTAAAAGATGGTTTCGTTAATTCGAACACGCAAACAGAGTAAGTTTACCGTGTGAAAATATAAATAAATGTAAATAATAATGCAAATGCTCTGTAGGGACGAAATGATAAATCATGCAATGTTCAAGGAAAACGAGTGCCTGAGACAAAAGATTCGTGCTATGGAGGTGGAAATGCATCGCGTAAGCCAGCATCTTGAGGACTCGCGCCAATTAGAAAAATCTCTTGGAAAAATTTTTACGGATAATCAAATCAAAATATTAAAGAGTGGTGGAAAACGACAAAAATTTAATTCGGAGGACATATCTGCGGCAATTAGCCTTCATACCGCAGGCGCTAGAGCGTACAAACATCTTTATAAAAAAGGATTTCCTTTACCTAGTCGTGCTACGTTATACAGATGGTTATCTGAAGTAGAAATAAAGACTGGCACCATGGATGTGGTCATTGACCTTACGGAAAATGAGGAAATGGATGGGGCCGACAATCTTAACAAATAAATATCCATGGAAAGGCAAAAGCAACGTTTGCTTGCAAATCCAAAACTATTAAATAATATATAAAACCATAAAAAAACATCAACTCTTTGTATTATTATAGGAAATTTGAAATCCCACGGGCCTGTTAAGGGTTAATCAACATATGCCGTCTCACTCACAATCACTATACTATGTGCCTTTCACTCGCACTTATTGCTAGCATACGTTAAGGGACTGACTTTTACCGACGAGACCACCTTGTATATTTGCATCATGGTCGGGACACCCCGTTGAGCCACTTCTCTTAGTGCCAGAACAATTTTTTGGACGAACGAAGACAGCCGTCATTCATTTATGCACGACTAAGCAAGTCCAGAACTACAAACCTCTTGGACATGGAAACTAAAACCTAAAACTAAGCCTAGATCTTATTCCAGTCAAAACGACAACGCTGCTAGTGTTTATCGTGACTTTTATATTCTCTCTTCGGCCTCCTTCTTCACACACTTAACTTCGCGTATTCCCTCTGGACGTGCGTAGCATGTCTCTCGCTCTCGGGTTTTCCCTGACTGACTGATTTCTCCTCTATGTCTATCTTTCTCGAGGCTCGGCGTTCTCGTCGTCATCACCGCCGCTTACCGTGTTACCATATGCATCTACTGCGCTCCTAGCGCATTTTCTTGGTTCCTAGTGAACCCCAAAATATAGAAAATGTCAAGGATAAGATGTGACCAATGAGCGTCCTTAACTCATCAAATCCAAGAATCGAGTGGCAGCACTTTTTTTTATGTCTTAGGTAACTGCAGCACAATTGGAATATTTAAGCGAAATTGATTAATCTCACTAAAACTTCCACAGTTATAATGTTTTTGTCAAATTGCTGCCAGCGCCAAACATCAAATAAGATTCCGTGTCATCTTTAGTGTCTCCATCAAGCACAGAATGCGCTTTTTAAGGAATCAATTGGAATAGACCCCCCAGACATCAAGTAGGTTGCAGCTTTCATCCAAATATAAACACTCTGAAACTTACGCACACAAGTCTTTTTGCATGGAAATCTTCTAAAGATTAGACTGAAATCTCTCATCTCTAATCTATATTTGCAAACCGACAAATATAGCAAGAGAGGCACTTAATCGATAACACCAGGCGACAATATCATACGTTTTTGTCTTGGAGCGAAAATGTATTTAATAGACTTGGGACTCCTACAATTTTTAGTGAATTATGGTTTTACTATGCTGTGGCAAACATTCTAGCTTAAGCTCACAGTCTGGTAAAACGAGTACTACGCTATTAAGTGAAACGTATTATTTTTCAATATAATTTAGCAACTCAGATATGTCCAAATATATTAGGTTTCCTCTTGTTTTATATTTAATTCCTATAAGCCCATTTACTAAGCGTTATTTAAGGAATAATTCGGCCAAAATTTATTTAATTCACATCTTTTCAATTGTAAAAATATTAAAAAAGGCTCTCTTACACGACAGCTTAAAATGTTATGCCATTTTTCTATAATGTATGTTCATATGTACGTATTTCCTACTGTGATCACCCTGTAGATCTCTCGCTTGATAAATTTATATTAAAAAAGCATGAGCTATTGTTTAAGTTTTACCATAATTTAAAAAATACGTGGCTTAGTAAATTGTATGTGATAACCACTTAAAATACAGTTAAAAATCCAGACTCCGTTTGAAAGTTCTACATACAGAATTTTATGTATGTGTAGTGTATGTACATATGTATGTATATATATATATATATATACTTAACAGTTGATAGCTGTATTGTGTGCAATATCTATGGATTTTGTGAATCTGTTTTTGTTTATGCATACAAATGTATGTACTAAATGAACATACAATAAATGCAAATATTTATTTATACATATATATGATTAGGTATATCATATTAACTGTTATAGACAAATTTGCTAACTGTTTAATGAGAAAAGTATTGTTTTCAAAGCAATGGTTTCAGCCCCAATGTTAATAACTTAAAAAATGTGCATTTTCGGGCTCTAATTCCCTTTTAAAAGAAGTTTTTTTTTATTAATTTAAATCGTTAAAATCCATCGCAAACGGTACACTGGCTTCATTAAAGAAATCTGCATTATTTAAACAGAAGGTAGTATATTGACATATGTACATATATATTTCTTTATATGAATTTGTATTAACTTCGGTATATTATTGTATACGTTTTGCATGTAACGGAAGTTTTATTACATTTATCATTGATAACTTAACGATACACTTGCAAATATACATATGTACGTACATATATTTACAATATGTCATAAATGTGTACATATTTGATTGGATGCACCTAGAGTTCAATATTAACAAGTGCTAACTAAGTGCTTCATGAAAGTGTAGAATTGTGCAAAAGTAAAGTTTCTATATATTTTATCTAGGCATTTTGATAAACTGCTTAGTTACTAACAAATTTGATGTTTGATACCGGTAACGATGCTGATAGAAAATTAGTCGAACTGAAAGATGACAGCATATTCGACCCAATAACGTACATCTTTATTGAACCAGCTGTTAGTAATTTTTGAAATTCGCAGTTTGTGTGTTTCAAACTACAGAGTAGAACGTACCTTCTATACGGTTATATTATTTTGACCTCCTACAAAACAGCGACTATAAATCCACATTCTGAAATGTAATTTTTCCGTCTTTAGCTGGGGGTTTTCGGTCATTTTCAGGCACGCTCCGGTTATCGCTTAATTTTCCGTTCTACGTTGTCAGCAAAAACGATCTATCATCGATATGTTTCATTTTCCCAACGATTCTGGTAAACTAAAACAGCTGACCTGCTTGCTTTGCAAATATACAGCCTGTGTTTTTAACATGTCTGACGAACAGTGAGAAGCTATATGCATATTGAAAATTAAATTGCAAATGGTCATCTGTCCTTACCCAGATCTTCTGTCACGCGCATTTTATGAGTATAGTCCGAGCTATTACGCGCTTAAACGAAAAGTGCTGTTGCCCTGACACAGTATTCCCGAACCAAATGGAGGTTAGGTTAAACAAAATATTTCTCAAGGAGGCACAAGCTAAATTTATCTGTTAATGGTGTTATGTTATCGATAAGTCATCAATTTGTTCCTTTTCAAATTAATTTTTTTTTATTGTTTTATAAAAAACCGCTTACTTTTTAATTTCGGTGAGGAAAATGTTTTCATTTTAAAAATTGATAAATCTTGCGGATAAGACCCAAATCTATCAGAAAAAGTCAGTTTAGATCGAAGCGTAAATAAAAAGTTATATTTTGTAATTTGTAACAAAAATTAAAAGGATTGATTTGTTTTAAAAGATTTGATAGGCGTTCAAATTAAAAAGTGATGAAAATGTACCAACACATGCTCTATATTGTATAAAAAGTATATTCTATACATAGTATTTTACCTAACACTATTTAGTTTTAACTATATACATATAAACATTTATTAATAATCTGTAAATTTTTTTTTGTTCCAGAAATTTTTTGTATTAATAATGACTAAAACGTCTTTTTATAAAGTTCTTAATGGATGTATTGCTCAACGAGAAAAAAATCTATGACTTTCCCAATGGATATATTGCTGGAACTAAAAAAAAATTAAATAAATAGAATACACATCAACGAGAACAAAATGGCAAACACAATATCGTTAATGTCCAATGTGATACGCAATGTAGTGAGCAAAAATCGTATTCGGTACAAAGGAGAGCGATTCGACTTGGATCTTACATGTAAGAAGTTAATATAAATGCATACTACACTAATTACTATACTAACTATATAGCTACGTACAAATTTATTCAATATACTGCTTACCATATATACTTCAAGATACTTCAGACCTACTATACTTCACGTTAGCAGATATGTTTCTGATATGTTACAAAATGTGGCCTAAGCCTTGAAAGACGAGCCTTGACAAACACAATCTGGTCTCATGCCTTCCATGTTTTTTTTTTCTAGTACTGTCTTAGCGAACTCCGTGTTCCTTTATTTTTTGGGTTCAACAATCTAGCTTTCTACGGGACGTGTATGCTAATAAGTTATTTAAAACAATTGCGACGTCAATTTAAATTTTTTTTAATTTATACCTACATACGTCTTTATATTCAATTTTCCACCTATGAATTTTACCAAACACAATTCGAGTAACATTGATTTAAAATTGATCAACAACTTCCATTTTAGTTTTGTTCACTTTTGCACAGAAAAAGTGGTCGTCGGCTAGTGTTGGGTAAACATTGCTCATTTTGGTGAACATGCTCACTTGCTCTCTTAGATTACTCAGTTACTCACTTGCTCACTTGCTCACTCAGTTGTTCACTATTCATGCACAGATGGTTCCAAATTTCAATATACTTTCGAATTAGCGACATACTGAATTTTTGAAAGAGTAAACAGCTTTGCCGGTAATACAAAAAGTGTGAAGTAAACGCAAATATGAGCAACAGCTGCCAGATCGCAATATGCCCTTTGAGGAGCAAAATTGCGCAAAAAGTGAGTAGAGAACAAGTGAACAACAAAGAACAAGTGAGCAAAAAAGAACGAGTGAACAACAAAGAACAAGTGAACAAAAAAGAACAGCTTGGAAGGAACATGTTCAGTTGCTCACTTAAGTGAACAACTATTTTTTGTTCACTCACTCATGAGCAACACAACACTATCGTCGGCTGTTACTCCACATGACCTTTTTTCATATCGCAGCATAATGGCATTTTCCGTACATACACAAACACCGAACAATTATGCTGTTTGAGAATTCTCCGTGTCAATCCGGTGCTCCATTTTCCCAAACAAAAAAAATTACTGCGATATCTTTTACTAAAATTCGTTGGCTGTTTTTCTGTACTTGCTTGAGTAATGACACCGCAGCAGCAGAAAAATGTCTCAGTGCGTTACCGTGGCAGTCATGCAAATACTTCTTAATGAAATAAAGATTGATTTTAACAAACAAAGATTCCAATAAAAAATCTGAAAAAAGGTTAAACCAATTGATGATACATTTAATTTACTCAAAGAATATGCAGAATTTATATCGGATCATTATTATGCACAGAATGAAGAAAAAATTTCCGTTTCTGACACCCTCTCCTGTCCACTCCTCCCGCTTTTTATTGTAGACAATTCCAATGTCAGGACTAGTTTAGACCAGGGCCAGTCAACACAGGGATATGATGGATGTGCCTAATCAATGGTGCACTAAAACTGATCCCTGCGTCCCACAAAAATAAGAAAATCTGTTTGGCTTTTTTTTTGTTAAATTCCATTTATTTATACAGGTTAGGCTATTATATACAACTTATATTTACAAATAGGACTATGCGATCCCTCCATCTGTGGGACGGCCGTGCATCAATGCTTGAGGAGGCATCGCCTTGCCTAGCTGCTCCATTCTCTGACGCTTATTAGCTCTACCATAATGATTGCCGCGAGATCGCTGTTCGCTTTCCAGTTATTCGGCGACCGGATCATGTAGGGCACCAGGTGACATCACCACCCACGGCGTCTTCCAGCAGTTGCTCGATTTGCTCGGCGTTCTTCTCCACGCTGTGTCCGCATCATAAGCACTATGCAGACTGCTCGTGTCCGAAGCGCTGCTGGTAGCTGCGAAGGCACGTCGATGGATGGTGGCCTGAGATACGGCTGTATCGCCACTTACTTAGACTCCGCAGTTTGCACGAAGGCGTGTCCAAGCCCAACCAGCTCCAGCCAGTTGCAGGTCGTCTCCATGGCGGCTACGTCTTTCTTCATCACTAGAACTGATACAGTCTCGAGCAGCTTACCCGCTGTGTAGATCAGGCAAATTGGCCTATACGACGACGCTGCCCGGCTTGGCAACACCAGTTTCTGTGTCTTCCACTGGTTCAGAAGCTTAGCGAAAGTGTCCGGGTACAGGGAGAGGGCGAGTGTGAGGGCTCTATTTGGGATAGAGTCTGGCTCTGACGCCTTGTTCGGGCTAATGCTCCTGGCTGCCATTGTAACTTTCTCGCTAGTCACCTATTCGATGGAAATTTGATTAGGGGTTTCCAGTGGGCTAGGGAACTTCTCGATGTGGTCCACCATGCGGCGAAAGAGCTCAAGCTCAAGAGCTTGACGGTCAGTTTTGCCACCAACCTCCCTCTGTCACCGCAGATTGCTAGATGTCCACACTCCAGGCATCGCCTTGAGCTGTCCTCTTACGGATCCGACAAATTGTCCACCCGACTTTAATTTTCCGTACTTATAGCAACACAACTGCTAACCCGGCTATCGAGATCCTTGTTCTTCACTCACAGTTCCTCGACTCCGTCTAGCGGCACCATACCTGCTGGTGCCTAGAGCACCCGATGAGCGGACAAATCTCGTAATACGAGTGTTTAGGTTCGACTTGTAGCTGCATTTATCAGATTTTCAAGTTAAGTAAAGTCACATACATACAAAAAAAAAACCATAATTCACTAAAAAATTTCCCCAAATCTATAAAAAAAAAGTCGGTTTATTTTGAAGCGAAAATTTAAGTTTAATATTGTTGCCTTATGCTATCTTATCTTCTCCCAATCGATTATACTATAATACTTTGACGCATGAACTTGAAGTTCGATTGTATCTGAATTTAATTAAATATAAGTATTTTTAATAATTTAACCAAACTTAGTGTTGAAGTTTCATGAAGTTGAAGTACATGACATTAAACGACATATAAAATATATTGAATAAATTACATATTTCATAAGCTCACATATATACTGACTGTGTACCGGGAATAAAGTAGAGCCGGGGCTTTTGCCGCGGCTCACAACGTTCCCCCTCGTTAAATATTATATATTATATCAGCCATTGTGACAGCCATGTGGTGTCAAAGCAAGACGTTGATAAATTTGAAGCTAATTTTTTAATATGTTTTTAATTGTTCATTTAACAGACATTTACGACAATATAATTGCCATGGGGTATCCTTCGCCAGATAAACTGGAGCGCATGTACAGAAATTGTCAAGAAGATGTTCTCAAATTTTTGGATGAAAAGCATGGAGATCATTATAAAATTTATAATCTATGTCTTGAACGCATTTATGACTCCAATAAATTTCATGGGGTAAGATATACCTTGACTTTTCTTATTCACTAATAAATTATTATTAAATTATTTACAGAGAGTTGCAATTTTTCCGTTCGAAGATCATAATCCTCCAACGATTGAATTGATACAAAAATTTTGTAAAGATGTGGATTCTTGGCTCAAGGAAGATGTATTAAATGTCGTTGCCGTACATTGTAAAGCTGGAAAAGGAAGAACAGGTACGAAATATAGTTCTGAATATTTAAAAATAAATAGGCTTAGGATACTCTAGCAGACGCTGATATTGGTGATATTTTTCGAACGCACAGAAGGGACGGCTTAGAGTCAAACAACTATTTGTTACATTTGTTTCCCGTTATACCATTTGAGCAAATAGTGACTTTATTATGAAGTGGTTCAAGCGATACCAAGCCAAAGGTAGCTACCAACTTACCAAGAGGCGCTGCCGCATGACGCGCGACCCTTGTAACTGAACCGGTCGCGTAAATCACAAATTGGAATAATTAATAATACAAATTATAATAGAGCTTATTTTATAAATGACAAATATTAATATAAAGTAAGGCATAGGAATGAAACGATCCCTACCTGCAAAATGCAAATATTATGTTTTTGTATACACCAAAACTTTATGGTGGTGTCTTCAGAAGACGGGAGTTAACGGCGTCGGCCAGCAAAAATACCTCTTTTGGCACTAAAAATGCTCCAAAAATTAATATTTTATAATATAACTTATGATTATAGCGGTGCGTGATTGCTTTACTGCGTTCGATGCTATCGAAACTAACTAGTTCCGATTTGAATTTTTTTAGGTACCATGATTTGTGCATATTTACTGTACAGTGGCTTACAGAAATCCGCTGATGAGGCCTTGGCCTGGTATGATGAAAAACGTACAAAGGATGGTAAAGGTGTCACAATCCCATCTCAGCGACGATATGTTCAGTATTTTTCAAACCTAGTTTGTTCTAGTGTTCCATATTCAAAAAAAATGTTTAAAGTATGTATTTGTCTAAAACGATCATTTTCAGTTATTCTAAGAATCATTTTTTCGTTATTTTTTGCTAGGTCTGTGAAATACGGTTTTCGGAGTCCAGTTTGCTGAAAAACCTAGGGACGGTACAATGTAAAGTATTTGTACTACAGGACTCTACAACAGAAAATGTAAAACAACATGTATGTACAACAATAACATCTTTTTGTGATTAGATATTCTGTTACTTCATTTCTTCCTCTCGAATACACAAAAAAGATACTGACAAATATATTGATATTTAGGTTACTTTATTAATACTAATTTATAAAAAACTAATAACACTTGACCACGTACATACATATTTACCATCGAACTATTTGTCTTATTTTTATAGAGATTTGATTTTCAAGAATCTTGTGTGTTGAATATAAATCCATCTCTATCGGTTGCCGGTGATATAAAATTTGAATTTGAACAAAAGTCTTCAGAGAAAGCAATTTTCCATTTTTGGCTAAATACATTCTTCGTTCAAAATTCTTCAGGTATGTATAAATTGATTTCAGCTTACCATATGATTACATAGGTCATCACCTTACAAATTGTTTGTCTGAATTTCAATTTACTCTTAAACATAAATACATTTTAGAGTTATAGATATAGTCTCAACGTTCTCCTATCATTTCCTTACCATTGCGGGTCATTATTTTGTAGTGCTCCTCAAAATCTCGTCAGAGGCTTTTCCATTTAGTTTTTTTTATTAGCTTTTATTATCACCTAAAATCATCCACAATGGTGATGCACCCCTTTCAACATTGCATGTGGATCCCTTGCGTTCTTGCCTTGCAGCCGGCTCTGTATCTTGAGAGCCGAGTAGTATTGAGCTTGAGCATCGTTCAGGCACGTACGCAATAAATCGAAGGAGAAGCTACTGAAAAAGTACATGGAATTTAAGAAAAACTTAACTTTAGGCATGGTTGAAAGAAGCTAAATTTACTGCACGCATAACTTGTCGCTTGCATTTAACAATTTTTACTCGCGAAAATTTGTTCTTGATGATGTTCGTACCCATGTTAGACTACATACTTGGTGCATAGGACAAAAACATTCCCACTAGTTATAAAAAAAAAACTTACAATTTTGTCTTTGAATTGTACTCGATTTTTACTTATATTTTCTAGTTTGCGAATCCGACGGAACCCTTTTAAAATGTACATACACATTAAAAAAATCAGAAATCGATGGTGTTCATAAAGACCGCAAACACAAATTGTTTTCAGAAGACTTCAAGGTAAGTTGCATTATTTATTCTAATTTTCGTATCATTCTCAACAGTGAGTTTTGTAATTAAAATGTTTCGTGGTACAGAATTGAGTTACTCTTATAGTGAGGGATTAAAGTTACTTTTGATACATTTTAAAAAGTCTTCTGTGTTGATAATGGTTGAGGTTTCTTTTGGGGCGGATCGTTCACAACTAGACCTTTTTTCCGTAGGTTTGGAGTTTTTTTCTTATAGTTTAAAAAGACAGGTTTTTTTATTTTGCATAACTTAAATATCTTTTGCCTGGTTGTACTACATTTTAATACTAAATTTTTAATGTAATTTTATACATTTGGGAAGATACGTAGAGGTCTGGGTATCATTGCAAGCAGTAATGTTTTTAATTTGCGTGTTTAGTTAAAGATTGCTTTGATTGTAAAATTTTCAAAATACCCGTCCGTGATCTTTTTTATTTCTGGTCGAAGGTTCTCGAGTGATACAGGAGATATAGAGTTGTTTCGAACAGCACATAAACTAACTTAACAGTCCGTACTTACTGGGGGTGCGAAACTCCGGTTGCTCCATTTTCTATGTGGCCGACTCCCCTAGCGTCCAAGGATAGATGCAACATATCGTTCAGTGCCCAAGCCACTCTAAAAGGTTGCATTGGGAAACTAACTGAAGTCAACTCAACCACCATACCACCTCCGTATCCCTGCTCAACAAGCGGGACGTCAAAGTCGCACTACATACCACTGCTTGCCCCGTAGTCCTGCGAGCACCGCTCGGTGCTTCAAGACTTGTTGCCTTTAGGCGGTGCCACCTAGCCTTCTGGAAGTCGACTTTCTTCTCCGGCATGAAGCCACGGTGGACCTAAGCGCGCTACTCCTATAGTTTTTTTTTGGGGTATGGTGCCATTACACGTTACAGGCTCCACGACCATGCTAAGCCAGTTGCAGAACGGTCTAGAGGTGGTCATCGAATGCCACGGCAATACTTTTAGTCCTGCAAAGCTCAGCTATTGCGTAACTACTGGGTGTAATTCGGTCAACCAAACACTTGCACCATTATCTTACGGCCAAAATTTGATGTACGGACGGATCACGGTTCACTTCAACGGGTCCTCTAATTCCGGGAGCCGGAATGCCAAGTCGCAAAATGAATCGAGAGACTGTAGCAGTACAATATGGAGATTCAAAACCGCTCTGGAACTGGACTCTGCAACGATTGTTGCGTTTGCAAAAAAGCGGAAGAAAAGGCTGGTCGAGCCTGCCTACGATTAATGGACGTCGAGAAAAGCCACACTACCACGCTTCACTTACAATCTGACGGAATGGTTGAACGTTTGGACCGAACGCTGCTCACCTACCGGGTGATCTTTTATGGCTGTATACACTTGTCCGGAAAGTGGGCCGATGTCCGAAACTCGAATCAGACTGGATAGGCCCTACCTCCGTGCTTCGCAGTCATTTCGACAAGATGATATACGTTAGCCGACTCGCTGCTTACAAAGTACCGTTTCCCGAGTAAGTCGGACAGGAGGCTCGACTGTAAGAGGAGGGTAACGAGATTCTAGACATCGTAGCACCATGTTTCGGGACTTAGGCGACTTAGGCGCAGAGCATGTATCGAATGGGCAAACCCAGTTGGTCGACTATTTGGTTGCTATGCCGTATTAACTGAAAATGGTTAATCTTGACTCAGAGTTGTTTGGAACAATGTATAAATTCGCTCGAAAATACAGACTGCCTCAATTAAAAAGGAAGCCCTCTGTTTATATCCCTCAATCCGTATATTATATTACTCTACTCTTCAAAGTTTTCAATCTCAAACTAAGAGTGTTTGTTTTTACAGATTTCCATATTATTTGAGGGAGAAGCGTGTTTCAATGATGAAACGAAATCGAAAAAGCAACCAAAAGCCGCATTGGAAAACCAGGATATATCGGTAAGACACATTTTACCCGGCACAAAATATGTAATATAAAAATCTAATATTCATAGACTAAAATTCAATACGACACAACAACCAATTTAAAAAATGTCTCGACTGCGTCAAAACGCAAACAGCCCAATAACATACCTCTTGCATCAAACTTAAATAATGATTCCACAGGAATGGATTTAAAAAAAATACATACTTTCAAACCACCGTCCATTACAAAAAGTAACTTAACCACTTGGGAGAATGGTGAAATTAATATCACCTCTGATACTCGAAGTATAAATGATAATAAACACATCAATTATGATTCATACATCACATATAAGCAATCTTCTCCAAAAGATGGAGAGGAAGATTGGGAATCTGGTGAGTTTTCTGTCAAACTTAAAACACAAGCACTATTTACCCCTTTCTCAATGACTAGTTACCTCATATTCATACCCTTAAAAAGGGTACTACGATTATTACCAGTGGTTTCCCCCTTCCAGAGCCACACAAACTATATATTCTTAGTCAGCATGTGTAGTCGATAAAGTCCTGTCCATGGGTCGGCCTGTCAATTTATATGCGAACTAGTTTATTACAGACCATTTGACAGAATCGGCCCGATCAGTGTCATACATTTAGCTCACATAAAACACATTGGTTGAAAGAAGTCATTCCGAGAACACATTTCTGCAACTGGATATTTTTACAACGTAGAAACAAGCGGCCTTTTTTCTATAGATAGCACAAATTTGATAAAAATCGCTATTTGCTATTTGACTATTGATGCTGCATTCTATAAGTTAATAATAATTGTGCATTTGAGTACAATTACTGTTTAATAAACAATAAACCCCACCAAAACAGCATAGACAAACGAAAATGTTTATACCGGGGTACCGAATAAGGGTGCTATCAAAGACATTGTACAATACAATTACCAAGATATTGCATCCGTAACAAATTACATTACAATTTTCGTTCGACGCTTCCTGGTGTGAGCACTCGGGGTACTGGTACTTAAATTCTCTTTTAGGCTATCGGTCCATGAATCACAAAATACACCGTCTTTGGCGAGTCCTAGTCGGTCTCAGACTCGCAGAAAATAGACATATTCATGTCCAAAAGATATAATTGTTATGGTATTATTTTAAACCACTCTCGCTTGCGCTAGAGGACCGACATTGGCGCGTCGCCAAAGACTGTATACTAGTTGCGACTGGTACGATTTTTCGGCGCCTTTGTATTTGTTTTATGATTCTAGGACCGACTCAGCAGCCCCCCAGATGAGCTGAACAGATGAAGCCGATTGATTATCATTCGACTGCAAATCATAGCACCTCTCTTCAGCTCCGGACCTATTAGGGCACTCTCAGATTCATTTGTTGACGCAAATGAGATTAAATCGGAATCCTTATATTATTTAAATCACTAGTCCCTCCAAAGCAATTATGTATTCGCTTTAAAGTGGCAGCGAATCGTACTTGTGTATTTTAAGCTTTTTCACTAGCTTTTGAAGTATAAATAAAATTTTCGATCGGGGTCGATTTAGTAATGTACAATTTATTGTTTTAAGTATGAGAAATATGTGGATGTGTGCATGACGATAAAGTAAGAGTGATAATGAGGATAATGCGATAAGACAGACGCTCATCGCAAGACTGCTCTTCTCAAGTGCTGAGGTGTGGGAGACCGCTAGTTGGAGTATCAACCAGCTTATTGAGACCTGTGAAGCCGCGTTGTAAGCCCTATTTGGGACCTTTCCATTCCATTTTCATATTATTAAGCTGTGTCCTTTGCCTGAGTTCAAATAGTGCCCCAATGTTGATAAGAAAAGGTGGCAAGAAATACCGGAGTCTACGTGGACTCCCTGGACGTATTTAAAAGCAATTGAATAGATCAAATCCACCTTGTACATCGTGTCAAATATTACCAGAGTGCCCTCTGATATGTTAAAGCAACGACTTGAAGAATAAAATAATCAACCCACTTCTGCAGGGAATTTAAAATGAGATACCCATTATGAAGAAAACCTTTTACGTATTAGATTTTCGCTTACAAAGAGGACGAATTCCATCCAAATCTTCGATTGGCCGTAGAAACTCTGATAGCTCAGCCATGTACCAATGTGGGACGGTTATTCAGTACGTTCAGAAGAGAGACTTGGCTAAGAACTACGACTGAATCAAGTCCGAATGGTAATTATAAAATTCTTCATTGATAACAGTAATATCATTTCATTTTTTCTGCATATGATTCTCCATGCTGAGTGCATAGAGGGTAATCGCCTTATTACACTACATTTCAATTGAAAGAGTTATACCAGTCGGTGAGAGTGTGAGTGAGAGGTATATTACGCTCTAGTATGGTTCTTTGTATCAACTTGGTGGCAACCCAGCTCAGGAGAAACGATAATTAACGGAAAAAAAATGTTTATCAGTAATGCATATTGGATGGGTTAACTTTGGCGACACGCAAATTATCCAAAGCGTTCACTCAGCGCTCGTTTTTTAAATCCTTCAGCAGTCCCAACTGGGCGTCGCTGAGTGCATCGCTATCGCCTTAACCATTAGCGAGGCCCGTCTCAGGAATTACGATTCTTTTAAAAATACAATGCAACATTATGTAAAACGAGATCAGGGTAAAAATATGTTTTAAACACACATTTTATAAATTGCTAAAAAGTAAAAAAAAAATAAAACAAATATTGTTTTACGTGTCATTGGGGCCCTCAAATCAGAAATGTATTTCTGTGCAATGTTAGGGTGTTAACATAATTCGTATAAAACATACATATTACAAAGCTTTTTTTAATATATTGCTTATAATATATTTTATTGTAATTTAATTTCAGGTGAATCAACACGCCTGTAATCAATACTTACGGACTTATAATTCTTGGTGATGTAGAAAAGTAAATAAAACTGCTAAGCAATTGGCTAATCTTATCGAATTTGTAAATATACTGTACTATGATATTTATTTAAGTAGTTCTAAAAATAATGTTTAATAATAAACTCATGTAAATTTTGTAATGTAGAAATCAGTAAAGCCATATATGTACGAGTAAATAGGGCTATTCCTGGAAAAAGTGAGTACTGGTAAGTGGGGCTCATTAAGGCCTGACCACTATCATGTGACAGTTGCGCGATGCATTATGTGTGTTGAACAGCTCACACTTGTGCTGGCTTAGGGAATAATATGTAATCTTCGGGCTAAAATTAACAAAGCCCTATTTCCCTGAGACTTGTATTATTATATTTTTTAAGTCTGCTAAGTCTGTAAGCAACAAAGGCGAAAAATTACAAAAATACAAATGTGCCCTCTATTTGTTCGTTTTGTAGTAAATGGGGGTATTATTTTAACTTAAACAAATTTGTTTATTTTTTCTTGTTTTTTGGTTGGTCTTGCGTTTTATTGTAGCTAGACAGTAGACTCTACCGCAACCAAAATTCAAGATTTAGGTGCTCTAATAAGAGTATAAATCTCTGTAAATTAAATTTAAGGTTTGGGATAGATCAACCATTTTATTGCGAGAATTATGACTGCTGTGCGGATATTATTTTAAAGCATTAACTTAGCATATTTTCTTTTAGTGTGCTTTTATATAGATAGTATAGGTTTCAATTGTATATATACAGTTATATTTGATATATTATGCTATATCGTTAATTGACCTCAATGTTTATGTAGTAGACTGCGAGAGGTCTCTGGTTGTAGAACCATACAACAGACAGAAAATGATTTTTTGTAGTAAACATTTACTACATATAAGGTCATATTTATTTCTTTTGTAATTGCCTGGTATCATACAGGTGAGTACTTGAGCGAAGGAGGTGCTGCTTTATGTGTAACCATTGCGTCGGCGTTTAAATTGTTCCCCGAAAAGTATATATGTACATACGGGGGTTTTTGTATATTAATACAACAAAGCTGAATAAGTATTTAAGTATACAATTGAACGTCGTTTTTAGTCTCGTCTCTACTGGCAATACTGGCAAGAGGAGAAGCAAAAGAGTACAATTTACAAGCAGAAAGACGAAGCAGGTAATGTAAGCATGGGGAATCATACTGGTATTCACAGCACCACGCAAACTGCAAGTAAACCCGACCGAACGAAGGAAAACACAAAAAATGGGACGACAAATACCAAACTACTTGTTAACAAGAACAAAAAAAAAAAAAGCAGACAAAAAGCAAAAGCGATAATGAAACATAACATGAAAGAAGCATCAGCAAAAAAACACGATATTACAACTTAAGACGAAGAGAAAACCGAAAGTTGGGGAAATAGTGTGGATGAAAACTCACTCGGAGAAAATCGACAAAGCAGACTATAATCAAAATACAACTGTTTTTGTAAGGTCCCAGTCAAAGACAACGCTCCTAGCAAAAATATACGAGCATATGTCTCAAAGCCGAAATCCGAAAACAGAGAATATCAAACAACAGACACAATAATGGTATCATCTCTCTATCTTTTCAGAGACATGGAGAACAATAAATTCGAAGCCACAGCACACAAAATTTAACGAGAAGATGCTTGCGAAGTAAAACAAAGAAAAGAGGACGAAGGTATTGACAGACTCGCCACCCATCGCAGCCCGGATGAGGGTATCAGGGGCAAAGGTTTCGGCCCCAGCAAAAAACCAGCACACGCCAAGAAATTAGCTGGAGACCAGGTAGAGATACCACCACCAAGAGCCAAGCAGGTGAGGAAGCAGACAACGACGTGCTTGACCTCGGACTAGCGAAATCAGAAAGAAGACCAACTCCAGAACCAGAGCCACAACACGTTGCAAAGACCGGTACCATCCTGACTGACTGGGAGGTACCAGCCGGTGCAATCCTGACCGACTGGGAGGTACCAGCCGGCGTCCAATTTTCGACAGCGCACATGGACCTGGTAAAGAAGAGGACATCCGATAGCCCGCAACACGCACAGCGTCGGATCAAGATGCGAAAGGGAGTAGACGAAGCCACCGACAACGCCCTACTGTACAAAGAGACGGGAGGGTGACGCCCAGTGCCAGGACGTACAACGCCTGCGCCACAACACATATATAAATAGATCATCACATCATATATCATTAAGAAAACAGCGTTGATTTATAGATTAAGAAAAAAAACCTGAAGATCTTCATTTAAAATAAATTAAGCTTAAGCATAAAGTTACTGATACCACCCAGCATTTGAATTAAAACAAGCGCGCTCGCCCTCAGCCAGGGGATCCGCAGCCAATTGGCAGTTTGCGCTGCCAATGATCATGCCAATTGTTTCCGTACCGCACCAACCAACGGTCACACTCTCACCTGACCCACGGAACCATTAAGACAACCCAGATGCGATATTCCCAAAACCCAAAACCTCACTTACGGCAATAAAAGGAGCGTCGCGGTAGAGAATAGGGGCAGTCCATTTTGGACAGCCACTAACTCAACCATAACCAACTTTTTAAGCGGTACTTGTGCCAAAGGTAGGTGGACTCCTTTACAACTTCGGGGTGTGTTTTAACCTGCGCACCGAATATTCTCCTACCGCCACACGGCAGGACGCCCGACACTGACCGGAACGCAGTAATAAGCCACGATCCCGAATATTGACCATATTGGGATCATCTATTTTGAATTTTTGATATCTGAGTTCAAATACGTAATTATCAACCCCATAAATCCCACAGGAACGAATTTCAAGCAAATCCGATAAATTTTTAAAATAATTGTTCAACATATAACATTTTTAAGTCACAAATCTATCAGAAAAAGTCGGTTCGGTTGGATCGTGAAAAAACGTGTTGCCTGGGGTCAACTATGTTTATCCACTTCATCGCTTGGATTTCATCTGAACTTTCGACTGCTGCATCTGGCGCACACTGATATATTAGTGCAGCTCCGACCACGATCATATAAACATTTACACATTCCTTACTAAACCTATTGTACGGTATTATTTTGGAAACAGGTAACATATTTAGATATCCTTCTCTAAACAAATGTGTTGCTAATAATCAATCAGTATTCTAACCCAGCAAAAATGTTCCTAAGGTTGGGTCAGTTTTAATCTACGTCCAGTATTCCTTCGCTATTATCACAGGTCCAATATCGTCACAGATTCCCAACCCGTCTGCCAAGACAAGCCGCTAGATCTGGCTTGATAGCCAGGAGTGTTAACATACTGCCATTATTTCTTTTTTATATCTCTGTTAATACTATATCTCGATCCGGAAGTCTGTAACAAAATTAAACTATATTTTTTTTTTTGTATTTATGTGGCAAGGTATTTATTATTTACAAAACGATACATATGCTCTTGTATAATATTTTTCATACTTCAGTGCTAAGTTAAATAAATGCAAAAATTATTAAAATTATTAGAAGACAACTATAGGGAACTAATCTATCGCCTTTTTGCACGGCAGCAGGATGATCACCTATATGAAAAGAAAGAAAATAGCGCATAAACTGTATATTTTATTTTAAAGCTAACTTCGGCGGCCGAAGCTTCAATTATTGTAAATACTCATTTTAAAAAAGTTCTGAATTTTATTCGATTTTGTTTTATCTTATTGGGTTAACATTTTATTTTTTTTTTTAAGTTTTTCTATCATATTTTAATTTGTTGTCAAAATTACGAAACATCCTCATAAGAGTGTGATTTTAAAATTATTATGTTTCAAGAATATGACTTGTCTATTATAAAAAACAAAAATAAGTATGGACTTTTGCTTGAAATTTATTTAGTGACAACCAAACATAATAATCACATGAATATAATAAGATTTGCTAGAACCACCGTTAAGAGAAGGCACAAATTCATGATATTTCAGAGTGCGGATTTTTTTTATGTCTTTTCTAATGTCTGGGATTTGTCTGTTGTGAGTTTTTTCATAGAGATATACGAACATAAATAAAAAAAATATTCGCTTACTAATTGCAATGTTTAAAAGAAAGATTGGGACGATGTTTTTTTTTAATTAATTGTATATTTTAGAGCGAAATGCAAACCTTTTTTAAATAAGATAATCCTCTGAAAAACTATAAGAAATGAAATAGTGCTTACCGATAAGTATGTGAACATTTACTGACTTGGGGTTTGCATTCGACGGTAAGCAAGAATATTTCCCTGAATCGGAAAGCTTGGCTCGCTGTATCAAAAGATATGACGTAGTTATGTCACCCTTTTCAGTTATAACTGACACTCCTCCTCGTGGCGAATCATAATTTATATCCTAGAAAATAAGAAACGTTTTATAAATCGGTTTAATAAATGTGGGTTTTTGCGGTAGTTTATAGTATATCGAAAAATAATAGCGATAGAGGATTAGATCGATTCAAGACGGTGTTGATTGAAGACACGGGGGGTCGGTTCAAGATTGTGTTGGTGTATTATCTATTCTAAGACAATAGAACACGTACAATACTCAAATGCGAGATCCAGACTATTTAAGAGCAGGCGTTCTGAATTACCCGTGCCCGATCGAGAAAGAAAGGGTCGAGATAAAAACGCGAGAGTGCCTGCATGGGCTGCTGCAGGTTTTACTTTACGTTTACTGATTTCATTTACTGCTGCACCACTGCTTATTCATTAGTGTAACATAATATATTTTGTCTATAAATACCTGATTATTGTGGGTCCAATGCACTGTAAGGGGTGGATCAGGTAAATGCTTTACGACACACGTTAAATTCACCGTTGATCCCAAGTCAATATACAATTCAGGGCCTCCAGGAATAGAAGTAATGGGTTCTATAATTGATTAAAGGCGAACAGTTCAATAAATAAATGACAGATTTCACAGGCTTTTACTTCAAATAAAATACAACACCGTGCAATTTATTTTCAAATTTTCCGGATTGAGAATATAAAAACGGGAAGTATTTTTCACTATGCAGAGAAACTGACTGTTTCTAGTGAATGGCACGACAAACAATTTTCCCATTTGTTACGATATCAAATATGCTCTTGAACTTACCTACAACTGAAAATATCATGGTATAGCCAACTGGAGGTGTAGTTGAAACCTGACATTCGTATATTCCGGAATCTCTGATTTGTGCAAACATTATCTAAAAAATATAAAGTGTTAAATGAAATGGTATCTCTCTATATAAATTGGAGGAGAAAACTCTCTTTTGGACGTAGAATTATTCCTCGAAAGTACAATTTACCTAAACTTGGAGTTGGTGAACTAGTTTTTGGTAAAACTAGGGCCAAACTTTTCTACTAACATTATGGTGAAGACACTAATTTGTAGTTGAGTCTTATGATATCCCTGTCTTGCTGACTAGATTGGACTTGATGAAACTTGATTAGATCTGATAAAATAAGACTGAGAACTAGGCATCAAACAAGACGAACAGATGGACGGACATTAAGACACACGGGTCAACACAATCCATTAGAAATTCGACTCGTCTGGAGTTATAATGAACAAACTAGGTTCCTGGACGTTGCTTTGTTATACCAGTTACAACAGTGCATGCAAAAAGCGTCCTAATTGTAAGAGTTATTTGGATAATGTAATCCCATTAAGTTCAACATATGTATTACAAACTTTTTTCTAAGTAACGGGAATCTCATGTTCGAGATATCGATATTACAGGAGTCTTTTGTTTTGTTCATGTTTCTGCATTTCACACACCTGTAAAGACCAGTCTCCAGTCTGTTTATTGTAAATGGAAGTAAATCGCTGGTCCGATGTATAAGTGCTTTCAGACACAGTTAATAGATGTAAATCCCTATGTCGTATCCATGATACCTGTTTTATAAAGTATATTAAAATATTTTATTTTATATTATTATTATTATTTATATTATTTTATACAGATAATAGTGTTAACTGATGACGTACCGTTTTATTGCCCAGATTCTTTATTCGACAATTCAGGTGTCCCGTTTTTCCAACTAGAGATGTCACATTTTTGGTCGCAGAAGTATCAAAATAAGGTCCTCTATTTAGCGCCTTATTAATGTTCGCAATGTATTCATTACTTATATTTGCAGATTCTACTATTGTTACTTTTTCATCAAAATATGTATTTTGTGGGGACGCTTCTCGTGAAAGTACTATATAAAAATGTTTCATAGAAAAACGATTTAATGTGCCACAGCAGTGGCAAATAAATACATATATACTCAATTGATTGAATGACAGTAGAACTTACAAATATATACAATCATCCGATAAGTCCAATAGTAACGCATTTTTAATTCTCTATGCTAACATTATAGCATCAACTGGACACAATGTTTATTGAAATATGCACACAGACATGTATGTAATTATTTCTTCCTCTTGGGGTTGGACATGCGCACAATAATCCTCGAGTAAAAAACATTTTGACTAAAATATCCAAACTTTTAGTTCACTTTGTGTTTTAATAATTTGATCTAAAAATTTAACATCTATGTTATCGATAGCTAATTTAAAGTTGTCGACAAACATTCGATACGCACAGGCTGCGGTCGTAATTGTATCCTATATTATGTACATTTTTTGTTTAGACTACAAATACTTTTAATAGAATCGCTAACCTGGATGTTCGCTAAGTCAAGGCGGTGAACTTGCGGGTTTTTTTGTGCTTAAAAACTTTGTCCAGTTTAAAAACTTCAGCGAGCGCCAAACGTTTTCTTAGAGGGAGCGTGAGTTTAAAAAAGTTAACCTCAGGCGGCTGCCTGACTCTCCGCGTAGAGTTGACCGCCTAAACGTACCACCAATCGCCTTCGATCTGAACCACTAACTCTCTTCCATAAAATCTTCGAAGTGACACCGCTAGCATCGTACTCCAAGAGAAAGAAAAATACTACATACATACAGTGGTCCAGTCCATACAGTCCCAGCTTATTTGATACAGTGCATTTTTTTAACTTAAAATCAGTTTCATATCGAAAGTAGAAAGTTAATCGATTAATCGGACTAAATAAATCCGGACGTGGTGATTCACATTTAAAATGTTAATTCTAAGTAATGGAATATCCAGAAAGTACGGTTTTTGGCGCACAAGGTAAAGATTACGGGTAGATGTTCGATTTAAAGCACCCAGCTTATTTGATACAAACTCTTCTATGTACAAAGTAAAATAACCATATCCTCTATGTTGAGTGACCATATACGAGGTGCTTTTTATCTTACGATTTTTTGGCAAAAAATTTGCAATATTAGGTAAGTACAATTTCTTAAATATGCTGACGACAGGCCAGCCATTGTAATTCTTTCTTTAATATTTTTTCCAGCAGAATACAAGTTTAACTTCTAGGTCTGGAGTTACATTCGGCTGTGTCAAAACACAAATACCTTATATTTTCGTTTAAGACCCAAGAAGATATTGGTTCAAAGAAACCTTCAGCAGCCGATTCTCCTGATTCACAACTATGTATGTATGTTTTGGGATCGCAAGTAGTTGATGTTTTATGATTATGTCTTCTGTCATTTTCCGTCCCAGTAAAAAGTCGATATAAATTCAGGTTTATATGCGGCGTTAAAACATTCAGCCAAATTTTTCGTAGATAACTACGTTGAAGTCGAATACTATTTGTATTTAAGCTATATTGAGATGCGTCGCATCAATCGCTTTTTAATGTCGAACAGCCAACAGGTCTCTCATTGTTCCCTACCTGCTGAGATGATCAATTGCCAAAATTCGGCAAAATTTGCGTGAGAGAACTTTCCCTCTGGGTGACCACCGATGCTCGCCACCTGCAGATCAAAATGTGATCTTAGCCTGGTCACGTTTTTTTATATTTCGCTCGACTTGATTCCATTGCTTCGGGGAGTCGCCCTTCCCAGTCAGACCAGTCTATCTATACTTTCGGTCCGGAAGATGTTGGTGACTTCTTGGCGATCACTGTGCTTCAGTCGTGGATTCTCCCCCTGTTTCCTGGTAGCTCTTTTCAGCCAGACCGAACGACTTTGCGAATTTATCCACCCTCTTTCTCCACTGTTGCACTGTTGTTGTTTTCAGTCCAGGCCACTTCATGTAGCCTTCTTCTTCTTCGCTTTCTCCACAGCAGGAGATAGAATTGATTTCCTTGCATTTTACTCCGTGATTTGGCCAGCCTTTTTTCTGCGACTCCTCGTTATGTCCAACTCTGTCTTTTACATTGCATGACCTGTGGAGACTACGAGAGTCCCTAACTGAGTAGCTGCCACGAAATTCACCCTACCCCGAATTTCTGTCCATAAGGCCATCAACAAAGTGACGCAAAGAAAAATTCACGCTCACTCAGAGTTAAAAAAATATAAATAAATGTTGTGCAAAACAGGTATTATTTTAAAACTGTTTTATTCAATGTGGTATAAGATTATTTAGTAATAGAGAAACATAATGTACAGATAGATAAGCAAGTTTTTTTTATCATCTAATATAAATCTATTAGACACGTTTTTAATATAAGCATATGCCACGGTACATTTTTAATGGAAGCTGTGTGTGTCAAAGAAATTACACTTTACAATCTACCTTACTAGATTTAAAGGATCACAGATCATTCTTCTCATAAAAAAGTAGGTCGAAGGGTCCACAAAAAGAAATGTAAGGATTTCAATTTAATATTCATTATGAGAAATATAAGAATATAAAGAGCATATGTTTATAGCATTATTTAATATATACATAGATCCTAAAGATGTTTTTGATTTTAATCAAACTAAAATGTTTCTTACTGATTACTTAGCAATAAATTTAATCTTTTCTACCAAATTTTTGTAAAAAAAAATCTTTCAAAGGCTGATAATAGTGGAAGCGTAGGCAAATCATTTCAGGAGAATTGCGTATTTGCTCAAATAGATCTGACTCTGACTCCATTATAAATACAGCTGTTCCAGCCATCGCGAAAGCTACGAAAATAACCGATGGAATAAAGGCATGCAATAAGCGAAATTTTCGTAATGTTTTCGCACTATGAACTGAATTTTTATGCATGTTCGAAAAATTATCAACTTTCTTAGTGACTGTCATACCGGCTGATGAATTCGAGTTAGGATTAGGTAGTGAATAGTACTGTTTGGACGCGTAGCCAGTGTATTGCTTTGTATTTTCTTTATTTTTTCTGGCCTGATCATAGCCACTACCGAATTCAGTGGAAGAATGTTCGATCAAATCTCGGTATGGAAGTCCAGTCAACGGATTTGTCAAATAGTTGACATTCTCAATGTTTGACGAACGTAGACGAGCCTCCTCGCAAACGGGCTCTAAAATAGGCATTTGAATACATCCATTGCTATCGATTAAGCAAGTGCTCTGATCCTGGTTGTGAGCGCCAAAAACATGATTGCGATTCATTGGTATAATGGAGGATCCCAACGGTTCAGACATTGTTGAACGAGGTAAGCTACTGTAACCTAATTAGAAAATAAAAATATATAGTTTTAGTTTTATTTAGAGATCAATGAAGCATTAGTTTACGTATTTGTGATAATTCTCCCTGGGGACTAGAAGGAGTGGCTGGAACACTGCTCGCCTTTCGCTTACTCGAACTTGAACCATTTATTTTTTGCTCGCGCAGTGCATTTATATTTTCAGTTAGTATTTCCCGCTCTGTTCGACCAGTGTATCGAAATTTTGTACCCCAAGAGAAAAAACCTCCACCAGAAACGACAGCAGCATTTTCACTATTGGGCAGTCTGCAATGATTAACCAATGAATGCATTCATCTGTCCAATTAGACCACACTTACGTAAAAAACAGCATTTGTTCGATGGCACATCTCCACAGATAGCGACAAGCAGCGCCTGAAGGGCATTTAAATCCAATAGTGTGCTTTTTCTATAAATCGGAACAAACTATAGTAGAAATACAAGACTTTTAATTGTTATACATACAGGTTCACGGCTCGCATCAGTATAACTTAAATGTGCAATAAACATTTTCCCTTCAAAGTTAATCTTATGCACTTCATTCCAACGGAAATGTTGTGAACGTTTGCCTGCAATGAACGTGCTAATACCCGAATTATTAATACCAATATAAAGCTGCGATCCACGGTGATCTTTGACAGGATGGGGTTCAATTCCATAGGTTTCCAGTGTGCGAGCTATACCCAGAAAGTCATAAATAGCTGAGAAAGAATCCTGCCCAACCTCTCGCTTTTTGTGAAGTTCAATTATTTTCTTTTCCAGACTTTCCGTTTGACGCAGGGCCAATTCAAGGGACGAAACATAGTCGCCTATATGAATCTTCTCATTATAGTCTCCAAGTTCCTCTGTAATTTATATATATAAACATACAAATGTGTGAATTGCTATTCCAAAATACATACTATACTAAAGTAAAGTAGAACATCTGTACGTATTATCATTATTTTTATTTCTGTACGTATGGATAAACATGGAAAAATACTGTATAAAACATTTTATTAAGAAAGCATTAAAACTGGGAGACCAGTTTGGACATGAACAACCAGACAGACGAATATTGCTACAACAACATAATGGGTATACCAATTCATTTTTCAATGATTTAAACAAATTGATATTGATTTTTGTAAAAGTGCAGTGGCTCGATCGGAGAGAGAGCTATATTTTAATATGATCTTTCAATAAATTTACCAAGATAAAAATCAAGAAGTCCTCACACAAAAAATGGTCCATTTAAAAAATCCAGGAAACAAGTTCTGGCCAAAAAAGGGTTCTTGAAAATTAGTTGTGTGTAAGTTTGAAAAAGTACTGGGTCTCAGTCTGAACAGTCTTTTATAAAAATGTTGTGCCTATGCTAAATAAATAAAATAAATTATAAATTAATAATTGTGCGTTTGTAAACTTATAAATTATGATTTACCTTGTACAATTAAAGCACCCAACGCGGCTGCCTCACCAAAGGAGCAGTACAAACGTCCGTGTCTTAAATCTCTTTTTAATTGTTTATACAACATAATTCGAGAGATCCCAGTAAGACGAAATGGATCGGCGGGGTAAAATTTTACTCTTAATGAGAATAAAATGGGATCCAGTTCTTTTAATCAAAGGAAATTAAATAAATATATGGAGATACCTTAAGCGAATTTGTGATAACTCACCCTTACTTTGTTTTATTAAAGATTTGGCCAGGTCGAGCCAGTGCTATTAAGAAGTTAATAGGTTTATTCGCACATACTTTTACTCATATATACTTACTCTTTGTTTTGACGAATCGACATATCGCAAGCCGAAGTAGTCTTTCTCTTTTATATTTAATTCGCCACATAAGTAGTCCAATAAGTAAATTCCCTTGTGGAACGCCTGTTTTGAGAAGTTCATTAAATATTTAGACAATTGTTTGTATGAAAGCGGATTTATGTCATATAAATATATGTAATATAACTGCGTGGTTCCACTGGGCCGGATAACCGGATCACCATAAGTGCCATTTTTTAAGGTTTTTTTTTAATGCTGAGGACGACAGGAACTTTAAAATTCCATTCAAAAAGAAGCATTTTTTACAGCTAAATAGTTTCAGCTTTTAAATCCTTGACAATCCACGGTCCATTTTGGATTTTTAAGTTTTTTTCTTTTCCCATATCGTACTCTTTTACCTCCTCAAATCGAACGTCTTTATTAATTAACCAAAAACGGAGAATCGTTGAGAATGACCATATCTAGCAGACTGCCGAATCTGGATCAGATCGAATTAATGTTATAGCCAGTAGGAACAAACCAATTTTTAGTGGCTACACAACGCTGTCCGAACATTCGTCGACATTTAATGAGTAGATCGCAAACATACGCTGCAGAAAAAGCTCGGTAGCTCAACATGAATGTTCGACGCGCTTGTGACATTGGCTTTGCCGAGAAGCAAGCTGCTCAAGATGCAGCCGCTGCAGTACGACGACGACGAAGTGGATACAGATGTCGTCCTGGATAAAGACGCTGACAAACTCAGCCACCGTCTGGAGGTGCTCAAGCGCATGGTGGAGAACATTAAGGATCCGCTGTGGCGATACTTCTTGCGCGAGATGACCAGATGATGCAGACGGTAATACTGGAACTGCAGAAAGTCGCCCTATTCTGGCAGGACGAGAATAACATACCAACCACTATTTTTCTATGATCGCGGAGGATGAATTCATCCAACCCATCAAGAACTAGACACCCAGGATTATCATGTAAAAAATTAGCTCCGCCCAGGACACTGTAATAAACGATTCATGCAATGTTTCAAGGTGGATTGGTACTACTAGGTTATAACCAAAAACATATACATACATATGTAAATGCAAAACATATATATGCACATATGTATGTATGGGCTCGGAGATGCTTATAAATTATTTTAGAATAGCGCTCCAGGGGAATGCAAATGTAGCCCATGTATTAGTTTAAATAAATCCATACACTTCTAATTTATGTGATCAGAATCCATATTTTCTCCAAAATTCAAAACTCACCTGAAATTCGCATTCTACTACGTCAGAATCATCGAGTAGACGAACTGTGCATTTATACACCAGACTTCCTTCTTGCTTACTTTTAAACATATTGTTTTTGGTAAAAACTTTCAAAATTGCAACCGATACAGAATACGTTTATTTCCAAGTAAAAAAATAAAAACTTTGCAGTCATTAATTTTTATAATATCAAAATATTTCGATAATGTCCTTTTTCGTCCTTTTTTCAGTTGAGGGTATTTTAGGGGTGGTTCATAAAAGCAACCACTGAACACGTTTGACAAAAGTTAAAATAAGGTCATCACAACGAAGTACTACTGAAACTATTTCTCTTGTTTTCAGTCTACTTATTTGGTTAAGATACTTATATACTAGTACACTGCAAGATTAGACAGTGAGACAAGGCTTATAAGCGATATGGGAAAGAATGCAGTGTGAGAGAGAGCTATATATGTATGCCAAAAAGCTAGTGCTCAGATCATCGAAATATTTTGACGACAGAGTTTGTCATATATTTCGCTGGGAGCAGAGTGTATACAAATGTGCATGCTCCACTATACTGTTTAGTCAGCTGTGTTTTTAGTTACTTTAAGGAAACTAAGAGTAATGTTATGAAAAAATTAACATAAGCACCAAATTACTACTAGTGGGATCTGCTGCTCTTGCCGCAGCGAAGAAGAAAGACGATTACTGAAGAAAGCACCACCAAGATTGGGTAAATCCATTGGTAAATCCAGCTGAAACGAAACCATAAGGGTCGATTTTGTAGAGACGTGGGAATTTTTATTCAGATATGTATATATGTACCTATGTATATGCAAATTCTTCTAACAATTATTTCGTAGTTGAAAAATATTTCGCTTTTGGTCTACAAATTAATTCATCGATCTGGTTAATACGCTTTAAAAAAAAAAGTATACTTTGTATGCAAGAAAGCATGAATGTGGGTGAGTTTTTTGTGGCGCTGAAAGACGGCAATGCACATATATAGAAAGCAGGAAAACATCTAAATTAATAACATGCGTTCCGAGTTTAGTATTATTTTATTATAATATATCAATCAACTGCCTCAATTAAATTGAATTTGTCTCTCTTATTGCAGTTGTATAGCCGGCTTGCTTCCTCCATTTCATATTGTGCCTGCACTGCCTGTTTGCCGACTTAAAGCTTAGTACTCAAAACAGCAAAATCAGATGAAAACATCGACCGAATCAAGGATGAAATTAGTGTGGGAACGATAATTAGTAATGGAAAGCCAACCAACTAATACTGGAATAGCAAAGATCGTACTTCCTGGGCACGAGCGAAATATGTAAATCTTCCAATATATAGAAATACAATATAACGCAATGCGCAGCAGCGATATATATAACGTAATGCGCAGCAGCGATATATTTGAAACGGACAGATATAGTGCGTTTTTGACGTAGGTAATTTACAACCCAAGAGCTGAATTAATATTTCCCAGCATTTCATTCTTGGTTAACTTTCCGTGCAGATCTAAATCTGGTCGGCAAAGTAAAGTGCAAACTCAAAATTACGAAAACCATTTCCATCGTTCCATTGTTGGCAAAAAAAACTAGGACCAGTTCTTCCCGGCCCTGACGATGAAGATCACTCTCCCTAAGCTGTAAATCCTTTGGATATGTACCCAGTGAGGAGACTGCTGAATAATTGGATAATGGCTGGCTTAACGTAAGATTTCAAGGAATTGATTTAATGGCTTTAATTAATTGATTTATTCAGTTTTGGGCAAAATTCTTATTTTTTTTACATAAAATAGGCATACTGGTAAAAAGTGGCGTTTCATTTTTCCAAATATTTCAGCCCTGTTCTGCCTGACAAAAGATCAAAAATCGAATTTTGGTGCGTTAAAATTATGGCTCAATGAAAAGGAGCAAATATACGTATAATCTTTGCACAAAACACTTTAAACTAATTTCATCACTAGATCAACCATTTTTGGCTAGTGTGAACAAAAATTCTGAGTTATTGAGTTACATCAACTATCAATAGGTAACTCAGGTCAGTGTAAATAGTTTTTTAATCTCTAGAAAATTTGTATACGTGTTCTGAGAAGCAAAAATAAATTGTCGGTCCTTCCAGCACGAACATATATATGTTATGACACACAGAGAAACTATTAATTCATACTCCGAAAGAATTATTTGCCGTATATCTAACAAACCCCCATATGTGTCAAACATACCACTATTGAAGTAAAGTGTGGTGGAAAAAGATCATTATGGTAGCGATATTTTCATTATAAGTGCGTGTACATGTAAATTATCGATAGTTTTTTTTTTAATTTGCAAATATATTCGTTTGTCTTGCGTATATTTTCGGGCTTATAAGTTTTGTTTGATACATATCAAACCAAGTAATTAGCATACCTTACCATACAAAAATAAAAGTGCAAGAGAGATCTTGGAAACAATTTGGAATCACAAAAATACACTGAATATTTACTCATTGTGTATAGAGAAAATTTCGGCTTCACACCTACAATCATACGTGTTACGTGTACATATGTGTACGTATGTGTTTTTATATATTATTTGTTGATATTACCTGTTAGGTGAATATTATTTTTGTTTAATTTATTTCTTTAAATTTTGCAGTAAATGCGAAATTTTTTTCAATATAATTTGAAAATCTGGTTCCAGCAATACGATTTTTAGGGTTTCAACTACATTTTTAAGTTTATTGAATGGTATGCGTTTCAAAAATAGTTGTGACATACATTCATATTTACACACATATGTCTGCATACGCTTTATGTACACACAAAGAAGGTTGATGGTCAATTTTTACTTTGTGCACAAATACCCTAAAAATGGTCTGTTTCATTTTCTACGTCAAGTAGTTACACATATGAAATAAGCATAAAATATATTTTAATACGGAATTCTAGTCCCTAATAAAAATGAAGTGGGAAAAATATATATCATAAGGTGTTTGTCATGAAAAGCCAGCAAAAACGTTTGCAGAAGTTACTTTTCCCTCTGACACTTCAAGCTCAATGCCTTCATACCATATTAACATGTAGTGTACATATGTACTGTTAATACAAATACAGTCATGGAAAAATAATAGAAACGACATGTGTATTATTTTCGTATTTTTAAACATTTCCTTCCGCGAGGTTTTTTTGTATTAAGTTTAATAATTTTAATTGAAGGTGTGTACAGAAATGTATAAAAATAAAACAAAACAATATTCTAAAACTTTGATGCAACAAAAACAAAATAATTAGAACAGCAGACTTATATCTAGGGAAACAATTTTTGTCTTTAAAGGCTAGGTGATTAACTTCTAACTTGCATATTTGGTTGTGCCCCTGCAATTTTTAGTACCTTCGGAGCGTCTACGACCCCAGTTTGCCACAAATGGATGGATCTCCATATCATTCGGATTAAACTTTCATTCCTAAAATCATAATTTTGTTGGACTTATAGCACCCAATTCTTTTCTTTTGATCGAACTATTTGAATTGAGTATATGTTTTGTTTTATTAGCCGCGCAGGGCGAGTGGAGTGATCCCAACTTGATTTGGGCGGTGCAGAGAAGCTCAAAGAACAGAGCTGCTCCAACTAGAATGTCAACTGGTTGGGACTTGCAGAACTTCTGATCCGCCAAATGTATGTTGGAGATCATGTTTCAGCATGGTGATCGTAATGGTGGGAGCAATTAATGCCGCGTGTGATGGTGATGGCGCAGACATGACCCACGAATAGCTGCAACTGTTGACCTAGACTAGAAGTGATAAGATGCACCTGTGATCCAGAATCGAGGAAGGCACGGCAAGGAATCAATGTATTAGAGCTATTCCTAACGCTGATTGCGGCGGTGGCCACACACACACAACGTTCCCTCTGTGAGTCACGGCCAAGAGCGACGTGGCTGACGATGCTGCAGTACGTTCAACGTCAAAGGGTATGGTAGGCAATCGCGGAGTCGATGTTGAATTTGAGAGTTGTAACAGAAGTGATTGAGAAACGTTGAACGGAGACTCGAAATTAAGTACCATGTGATATTCAATCGGTAACGACATGAACTGTGATAATGGCGTGATCGGAGGCAGTTGGTACACTGTACACAGCTTCTTAGCTTCCCGATGCCGAAGTCGAGGAGAAAGTCAATTGTCAATTATGGAGAAAAACATGCTCTAAAACACCGAATACTGACCGTAGCCACTGATAAATTCCGGAAGCTTCAACTCCGGTCGGCGATGCCAACTCTGCGTTATAACTGCAACTGCATTCTCCAATATGATACCTCCTTTATACCTATCTACAGCATGACCACGGACTAATTAAATTCGTCTTTTAAGGGACTCCCGATCTCATCGTGATCGATCTTTTCCAGGACATTTTGATGAACGAAGGGATCAGATTCGTTAGGGACATTAATCACACGACCAACTCCTCGTCACTGAGCTCCTTGCTGACGTTCCTTCCCATTCTCCGTACTGCCTACAGCTTGCGCTTGTAATACTCCACGTCTGAATCGATGCACAAGGGTTGGGGGTACCATTAGAAGCCATTGGGAGTGTTCGACAGAAGCACAGACCAGCAGTCAGAGTTCACAGTTTGAAATAAACTGAACAGGTGCAGCGGACAATAACAATGGCATACACATTGGCTTCATTCTGACCTCTCAGAATCACTCCAATTAGATTTTTGCTTCAATCAATTTAGGCAATTTTTCCACTCTAAAATTTTGAAGTGGCTTTTTGGTGTCCGTGTCATTAAAGCCACCTCCTTTGGCCAACGTTGAATAGTATAAGCCGAACTATCATTTGCAAAACGACGTTTTTTGTGTATTCAGGCAGGCTCCAGTTTTCACTTACTTTTGCGTGTTTAGCCAAAATGTTTCGGTTTTAGGTCAAATATTTCTCACATTTCTTCAAGTCCTGTTTAACGCACAATTTAGTGCTGGTGGCGCACGATAATGTAGAACATCCGATGTATCGATACCCGAATCGGGCTTCTTCAACTGTTTGCACGAAAACGCAAAGTGTTGTTGCCCTAACTGTGGTTCACAGCTAACGTCGGTTCTTTAATAATAAAAAAAGGTATATTTCGAGTTGCGGAATTTAAATGTAAAATGCGGCCTTCAGATGTTTAATCTAACGGCTGCCCTTAACAGTTTATCCACCGACTTTTACAAAAAGCACCTTAAACGACGACCAAGTAATACACCTATACAACAAAAATCCAACTACATAAGAACTTTATTTATTTTGACTCGAGTGTTCAAAGTCAAAATATATACCTAAAAAAATTATTCATTTTTAAGTTGAAAGATTAATATTTTCCAGTCGGTAAGTTTAATCTACAAAATTGTTGGGTCTGACTTATAGTTGGATTGCAGAATTGAAAAATTCAATAAAACCAGGCGAAAAGTTTCTTATGTGAAAATATAAATATTTTCTGAACAAGACAGCAGATAAAACCTGGGTAAAGACAGTTATTTCGTGCCACTTTTAATTAAAAATGTAGGAGCAACAAATTACCAATTCTTTTTGAGTATCAGGTATTAAAAAAATGCGAAACAAATTTTACAACCCGTGCAAATTCCCATATTTTTATGATAATCAACATATGACGAATTTTGGATGGTAATGTCAAAGTACTTATCACAGAAGTTAGCAAATGTTGTCATTTTATTCAAAAGCATGATTATAATCAGGCAGGCTCCGGATTTAACTTCTTTCTTTTGAAAACCCCGAATTTGGTGCTCTCGCTTGTAAGATTTTTTCCGTTTTCAAAACGGATACATTTTCTCGCTTAAATGAAAAGTGAAGAAAATCTTAATTTTAATTAATCTTAATTGCAAAAAGAAAAAAAACTTGTTAATGCATTAACATAAATTGACACCATTAGCAGGTAAATTTAGCTTGTGCCTTCTTTATAAATATTTTTTTTGCATAGATAATGTACATAAATTAGGATAAGTTGCATAACTTTTACATATAAAAGACGCACTTAATCGCTTTCTAAAATTTCATAACAAAATATCTATAAATACATTTTTCTGCATCAGTTTTAAAGTGATCGATAGCCATCATACCACTGCGAACTCTTTGTTAATACACTGAAAAATGAACGGCATGAGCAACAATGATGACTCAGTCGAGTGTCCTTTGTGTATGGAGCCGTTTGAAGTAGACGATCTGACCTTCTTTCCATGTACCTGCGGATACCAGGTAGGCATAACTACTATATAAGCACATATGTACAAATCTATATAGAGATATATATGAATTTATTTATAGATTTGTAGATTCTGCTGGCACAGAATCCGCACGGACGAGAACAAGTTGTGTCCGGCATGTCGAAAAGAATATCCTGAAAATCCTGCGGACTTTAAGCCACTATCACAAGAAGAAGTAAGTTGATTAACTTACTAATTTAGTACAAAATTTTGAAATAGTACAAATATTTGCGATCTTTTAGATGATAGCTTTTAAGTCGCAAAAGCGTCAAAGGGATCAACAACGGAAACACAAGATAACAGAGAATCGAAAACATTTAGCAAACGTACGTGTGGTTCAGCGGAACTTGGTATTTGTAGTGGGCTTGCCGCCTCGACTTGCGGATGCAGACGTATGTCACAATTTTAACTAAAAAGCTTACAAATTACTAAAAGATATTTTTTAGATATTAAAAAAGCACGAGTATTTCGGAAAATATGGGAAAATTCATAAAGTCGTAATAAACCCGAGCACCACATATGCCGGGGTGCAGGTAAGATTCGTCAGATTCAGGAATTTTTTTTAGACAAATAGTACAATGCACGAGTAAGACATTTTTGTATTTTTCATTCGGTGATATAATCATACCACTGCTAGTGGAACTAACTCTTAGTAAACAAAAGAATGTCATACCTAATATAGACATAAAGCAATGCCATTTTGTTGGAAATAAGGAAATCTTCTTAGACTAAAAAATGAGCAGTGCTCACATCTGCAGGTACCTAATTATACCTTCTGCGTTTTCCTCTCTTGCTTGTCTTGCGTGGCAGATGATCCCTTGATTCGATATATTAGTGGTTAAGAAATCTGTTCCTATTTGGCGGTTGCTTTTCCTCAATTCTGCGACCGATTTTTATATTGTGTGGGATCCAACGCGAACGCACCTTTTTTACCGCGGTGTGATCATGCAAAATCTTATTGTTGGTCGTCATTCTAATGCCTAAGGATGCCTTAATCTCACGGTATCTGACATGACGATATTGGGGGACGCAACTGATTTTGGACGATCAGCAATGCCAAAAAGGGTAACCTAAAATTGTTGTCTCTTATCTGTGTGCTGGGGAGCACACAGACTCCGTGTGGTTTTGCTATTGTTTCTAGGTAATGATTGTTGTGACATTGTAAATAAACATTATATATGTAATATATAATATAATATAATTCATTAAAATTCATACTTTTGGACACAATGGATTGGGTTTACGTCTATTTTTTGTGTTGGCATTAACTATAATTTTTAAGGGATATGTACATATGTATATTAGAATAGTTAAAGTAGAATTTTTGTATTGAAAACAATTTATACCCGGTACTCGAAGAGTATAGGGGTATATTAGGTTTGTGGTGGCAGTGGATGTGTGTGAACCCAGAAGGATCTTGATCGGCATCAATAGCCGAGTCGATATCTTGCTCTTGCCACGCTCACGCTCATTTTCTTTTGCAATTAAGTTTCGTTTTGCTGTATAAGAAGCCGTTTATTTTTCATTCCGGGGAGAAAAAATTGTCCGTTTTGAAAACAGAAAAAATTCCGTTTTGCTAACACCGGAAGTACCGTTTTCAAAAGTAAATCGGAAAGTTTTTGTAAAAGTGAAAATTGGAGCTCGGCCGATTAGTTATTTTTAAAGATTTTTGCTGGCATTATACCCATATCGTTTAAATCGCTTCTACTTGCTGATCTAAAATATTTGTTTGACTTAAAGGGTCCATCAGCATCTGCCTATGTTACCTACGTTCACAATGCAGATGCACTTCGGGCTATACAAAGTGTTAATAACATTGTGATAGATGGTCGCCCTATTAAAACCAGCTTGGGGACAACAAAGTACTGTAGCCATTTCATGAAAAACCAACAATGTCCTAAAGGCGATTGCATGTACTTGCACGAGCTGGGAGATCCCGAAGCCAGCTTTACAAAAGAGGTTTGATATACTTCTTAAAAGTTGTGAAAGGTCTATGAACATTTTATGTTTATTGTTTTAAAGCAAATGCACCAGGGAAAGCACCAGGATTACGAAAAACGTTTACATGATGCTCTTATTGCATCTTTTGGACAGAGTTCACCAGGAATTGTAAACGGTAATGGAACTCCAAAAACAAATGGTAATTATCTTCAAGCAAATAATTCAATTTTAATATACATATATTCATGACTAGCATCGAATGCGACGGCCTCTTCAGTCACACCTTCGTCGTCGTCTGCGTCGGCTGCAAGTAATGCCACAAATGCAGTAAATGTTCAGCAAAAAGAAGCTTGGCCTAGTTTATCCGTCTCGCCTATTAATGGAAAAGAGGCCACTGCAAGCACAAACAACACTAATGGAAAAAATAAAAAAGACAAGTTTCGAAATGAAAAAACCAGACACGAAAAAGTTAAATCCAAAAACAAAAATAGTGGAAGCTCAACTTCGAATGTATCAAACAAGGAAAACTTTATTCCAGACCCCAGAGATATTGAAAAACTTACATCTACAACTGCGGATACGAAAACAAGTGCAAACACCTCATCCAATCTATCAAGAACAGAGAGAAATAAAGACAAAGAGTCTTACCATGAGCCTATTTCTAATGAACAGAAGGAAAACAAACAAAATGTTAAAATTTCACAAACAAAAAACGAGGTCGAGTGCGTAAAAGACAAGGATAATTCAATTAAGCTGAAAAAAAGGGAAAGCTGTGAAATCATGTCACAACAAAAAAGATCGTCTTCTAGCGTGCAAAGGTCGTTGAGCTCTTGTAGTGAAAATAGTGAAGGGCATGTATCAGAAAGCAGCGTGAGTGAAAAGAGTTTACCTGATGATTACCAGGAGAACAAGTGCAATATTTCGAGTTCTGAAACATACCAAGAGAATATAAAGAATGTAGAAAGCATCAATAAAAGTAGGGAGTCAGTGAATGTCGACGGTAAAACAGTATCAGAGTGTAAACCACTAATAAACGAGAATGTAAGCCCAGCTGTAAGCAGCACTATTAATAATGGGCTCTATTCAAGAGAAAGTCCATTGAATCCACCAGATAACGGAAACCAATTGAGCGGTATGACACAAAATCAAAAATATAAAGAATATCATTTATAATGATTTAATATTTATTTCAGATGAAGTTTCCAAGCTTAACATTTTCGATGATACAATTAGTTTTTTTTCGTCATCAGCAGCATTCCAGCAAAGTCCAATTTTAAAAAATAAACAAGAAGTGGAAATGCGTCAGTCCCATTTGCCGGACTTGATCAACGGTAAGATTCCTATTTTATTTGACTCAATGAAATATTTATTATGATAATCAGGGTCGGTTCATCTGCCTTTCCGTCTGTTTGTTTCTATGCACGGCAGTCCCTCAGCCTTACCATATTAAAAAGCTTATAGAGCGATTTAGTCTGCAACATTTACCCGAATAGTACGTATTTTATAGTCAAAGATCGTAATCGAAATCTGGCCTAGCAGATGCGGTAAACTATATTCGTGAAACAAATCGTGTATTTAATTATTTTAAGCTACTGAGCTTTTCACTATCTGAAGCGCTTATTCAGTTTAATTAATTTTAATGATTTAACTGCCAGCAGAGCCGAATGCTGATGTACAAATATTCAAGCGACGCACAGTGGGGGCCAAATAAATAAATATTTTAAGAAATTTAATTTAATTGAATAAAACTTAACTTTTTTCTCATCTTTTTCCGGTACTACTTGTCATTGTACAACTTCAGATATTGATGGAAATCAAAAGGCCTCAAATACAAATGGTAATTATTTTTTATTATATATTGTAAAGCCAGATTATATGCACAAGTATATTTTATTTTTCAAGAAATATAAGTAGTTTTGAAATAGAAGAATCCACGAATTGAAGTCGATAACATACATGTACATATGTGCACTAGAGTTAGCGAAACAAATGTGTCGGAATATATGGTCTTAGGGCCTAAAAATATTCCTTTTGGTGCAATAAAAATAAAGTGGCCGACTTGAGCTCAAAGTTGAAAAATACAAAGGTATATATTTGAACATAAAAGAAGTCATTCCTGTCAGAGCGATTTACATATAGAATAGCTACAATAGGACCATACTTTATTTACTTAGTTATTTACTTAGCCAGAAGAAAATTTTGACACAATGAGACTTTTTAAAATTATACTTCTATTAATAACCCCAGACTTAATGTGCACATATTTATTGTATATACTTCCAAAGAGTGAGTTTGCCTTAGTTTTCATGCGATCTGGAAATAAATAAACAAATTCTAGTATTCTAGTGTGTCTGTCTTAACGAAATGTTCTGAAATTGAGCGTCCGCTAATGAAAGGTTTATTGCTATTATTATTATTTCACTTTACGACAATGCAATTCACATCACACAAAATATTCAAAATTTATATTATATTGTAAAATTCTTCTTTTAATTTTAAGAATGGGAGGAAGCTTTTAAAAATGTAATGCTTCGGAACAATAGGCAAGTGGAGGAGCAACTTGTTCAGCAACAAAATCTACAACAGCACCAGCACCATTTTCATCAGCAAGTACTGCAACAACAGGAAGAATTCCTTCGTATGCACGAATTACAAAAGAGAAACGACTTGGCAAATAATATTGCGCTGACGCAAGCAAATACTCCTAATGCTGGTAAGTTCGAAAATCAAGTTTAAAGAATGTTTTGTTATATTCAACTTATATGATGTTTTTTGTTTGTTTTAGATATCCTTAGTCATTTTCGTGGCAATAACTCAATTGATGCGAATAGAATTCAAGTCCTGCAGCATCAATTGCAACAGAATACCGGTGAAAATGGGCTTTCGGCAAACAATGCATTTGGCGGCAATATGTCAAAGTTTTTTGACTTTCATAAAAGTCAACAGCAGTCCCACCAGTATCCTTATGGTCATGCCAACCAAGTCACGGGAAATACGGATGTGAGTGATCAACAACGAGTAACATCACAACTGGAAAACGGTCGACAAAATTCCCCATATCTTGAATCTGGTAAGTTTTAATGTGTGTAAATTCGATCAAGCGAAAATAAATTTTACTTTATCATTCAAGCACTTAACACGAAATCGCAAATTCAAAAGCAAAGGTTAATTGGAATGTTTGAAACTTTGGTAAGTCTTATTCTTTTAAAGTTCAAGTTTCAGATTCGTAGATTCAACTTACAGAAGAAAGCATTACCAACCTTAGATGACAAGCATAGATTCGAAAGGAACGAGTGAAATATCATTTTTTTTTTATCCGTAAACGAAAATAGTCACTCAGGCAGGATCAGGCAGAAACTATAGTCACTTTTTTTGTACAGAAACTCTAGCGACTCCCTATTTAAGATGAGGATAATTTGGCGCCTCAGGCCTGTGACATCCGTCACTTTAGCCACCTTCCAATCGGCTTTACGATAGTTGGGACTGCAGACCTGCTGTATCCGGAGAACAAACGAAAAATTAATATAATAAAGAAAACAAATTGAATCCATTTAAGGCAGTAAATGTAATAATCTATTTATTCTATTAATCTTTTCGGAGACGAAAAGAGCATCTAAATAAGTCGCGCCGTTGACTATTTATTCTTAACGAGTTTTGTACATTATTTCATTAATTTTTTACAGTCCCAGCCTCCAAACTCGCAATCTCAACTAAATCGGTATTCTCAAAGCACTATTGTTGATGATGATTTAGGTAAGGTTATTAGAAGCTTTAACTGATTTTTAATTTAATAGTATTTTATTTAGGTTTCGATCCTTTCATTGAGACTCAAAAAGGACTAGCTGAGCTTATGGAAAATGAAGTTGTTCAACAACAAAGTATTAATAATGGAAACTCCGCATTAAAATTACAACAGCAAGCACAAGCTTCACATCAGCAACGTCTTGATAACATTCAACGGGCTCGAATGCCGCCTCCGGGCTTCAATCATATGAATTCGTTAGGTTTCGGGGGTCCATCTAGACTGCATTCTAGTAAAATGATGCCATTTTTGAACAGCAGTTTAGTAAAAAATAGTACCCAAGCCCAGCACCAAGTGCCACAGGTAACAAATTGGAATGCGAATTTACCAGCAATACACCCAAGTCAGGGACAGCACATTGGAGATGCACAATTACAACATCAAATTGCTCACAATAAAGGTATGTATTTATTTACCCTACGTAAACTTTATATAAGTCTATAAGAGGTCTGCATGAATGGCATAAACACCTACATTTGAATCACCAGAGCTCGAAATAAATTGAGTGAATTCAAATGATACGTCGATAGAGCACAGTGTGCTGACGACATAAACATTCAAATTTAAAAATTTAACTTTGACAATATCCATAACTATCAATAAAATAGCTGGTTGGGCAAAAGGGCACAGTGGGTCAAACGGCCAATCTATCTGAATTAAACTCAATTTTTGAAATTCTAAATAGTTTTTTTTTTGTTTTTTATTAGTTTGTTTAAGAATACATCATGGACCTTATCAAAAGTTTCTTTTATATTTTTGACATCGGTATTTATAAAGTTGTACCCCCTTTAAGTAAGCATAGGTTTTTAGTTTGTAACTTAACGTAATGTATTTATAACGGAATGGCGTCGAGAAGAAATTTTTGGGAATACGGAAAACAGTCCTCTTTGGTAATTTTGGGAAACTCGTCAAGATTCCGCAGGGTACTAACGTTTCCATGGTTTCCATAGTTTAGTTTCTCTCATTCTTAGAGCGCAAAGTGTTGTTGACTTCTTTGCCACCAGGACTACAGGAAGAAGGTGCAGCATGATATCCAGGGCGTCACCTGGGGTAGGCACTCCGGCACTTTGAGAGGACTACCGAAATCCTTCGCGGTTGTATTCTTTATATTTAAATAGCTTGGCATTTTTGGTCCCACGAGTAGGCGGGTTTGGGTTAGTCGCCGAAGGCATAGCCCGCTTGCCCGGTGTAGCTTTAAACTGAAGGTTGGCAGGTATCTAGAGTCCGCATATTAGCGACTGAAATTTTCTTAAAAAAAAGTGGTCTTTGTTTTTTTTTTGGTTTTCGGTTCTTTGAGGAAAATGGAAAAATATTTTTGCATCAGACTGCAACAAAAGTGAAGTTGTTGCATTTCATGTATAACAATCTACTACTCAAATTTTGTATTTTCAACAGTTTATAGCTATCCTGATTGGACTGCAATGGATCCAGCTATACTTTCATTCAGACAGTTTTCATCTTTTCCACAAAACCAAATACCCCCACATCCTCAACAACAGCAAGACATGTTTTTACAACATTTGGTTCAACAGCCAAATTCTCAAGGTAGTAGCTTATTCTGAAAGAGGGCAGCTAAATATTCATTATATCGGTTTTTTTAGGTTTCAACACTCAACCACAACCACTTCTTTCTGGAATGGCCATGCCCAATAATATTCTAAATGGACAACAGCTGACACAACCCCAGGTCAATGCCAATGTTCAAGGCATGCTTGAGTTTTTAAAAAGCCGCCAATTTGTTTAGCAACATATATAGATTTGTTTATTTGTATTCTTTATTAAATACTTATTAAATTAAAAATAGATAAAATAAAATTCGAAAATTATGAACATATTGTTTTGTGTTCTTAACTTGTTTATAAGCTCACGATTTTAGACATAACTTTCGTTTAGAGCAGGTCTTAAAAACGGCTCAAGATATATTTATTTTTAGTTGATACTAACTTTTAAATTAAACCTCCAGGTGTCCTCGCTCATCCACCATTTGGCAGGTTGAGAGGAATTGCAACCTCACTGCCAGTGAGAGTGGCGATCTAACGTGTGTGGTAGTCTATTCTGTTTCTCTCAGGCCTCTAGCTCTAACCGGATCTCCAAACTCTTAACATCGTGGACAAATGCTTCTCGGTATTTTGAACTTTTCGTTGCAGTGAGTCTGCAGTCTGAACCTTTGCCTTTACCTGGCGGGCACCTTTCTTCCTGAAAAAGCGAGGAAGCTGAACAGCTTGGACGTAGAACTTGGAACTTGGACGTAGTTTCGGTCTGAATTGTAGCGTCGATCTTTTTCATTGCGGTTTCCTTGTTTAATGCGTAAATCGAACTCACGTACCCGTTGTCAGCGTTTTCACTTATAGACAATTGCGTATTCCCATATTTTGGAACTCTACTTCAGGTCGCCTCTTATAGTGAGATTTCCAAACCTCGAGTCCATTATTTTCTCGGGAGATGCTTTAATCCCTATATCTAATCTATAAAACCATTGATCTTTTATCTGCCCAGAAAATTGGTTGGTGCAGGCGTGAGAGTCGCTCAATGTCTGTCGCGAATACACTGCTCTTCAGCTTCACGCGATTAACTTCCTGCATGCTCCAGGGCACTCCAAGCAATTCAGTTTATCCGGCTCGGGAATCTATTGGAGCAGTTCAACAGCAAGACCCTTTAAGTACCAAAGCCGCGCGGTCAGCTTCCGTCCAATTATTTCTCGACGCTAACATTTCGAATTGTGTCATAAAAATTCCAGATGTTAATGAGCCAATCTGTTTAGGTGTTCCCACATCCATTTGACGCTGCACTGAAGTATTGATCGGAGTCAGTTTTTCAGCCATGAGTGGTTGAGGGACAGTTGGCACTTGCAGTTCCGCGGAGTTACCCGCAATTTCAAACCGCTAAATTGAGACTATGGCTAAGAGCAAATCGTATTGTTTTTTTAAACCTTAAAACCCTTGCGCGTCTGTCTAAGCGTATGGAGAATTCGTTTGCCAGCTACCTATAAGGGGCCTAAGCACATCCTCAAAACGTTGCAGAGGTGCAACCTGAACCTACCGACCACCGGTTGGAAGGTTGTCATAATTGAGGCGACACAGGGTCCGATGAAACGGTCCGTTCAAAGTACACGACGGTGAGTAAAATCCCCAAGTGCATTCTTGCAAGAAAGCACTTCAATATCTTTCTGCTCCATAACTTTAGCAATGACGACAAAACGGCGGCAAGCCTAGAACTGCAATGGACACATCTAAGAATGATGGCGTGCTACATGGCTCCAAATGAACTCGTTCGCAGGCTAGTCAGCTACAGCGAGAGGTCCGATATTGGCCTACCACACCCAATGTGGGAGCACTGACACAAATTTAACGGGTGAGTCATTCTTCAGCTTTATCCGAAACTCTATTATTTGTAATCGGGGCAACGACCCCACTAGAGCTTCCATGCGCACTTGGTAGTTGGGTTAGCCCAAAAACAAAGAAACTCTCTGCATCTGTGGGAGGATTTATTTAAACAAATCTTTAAAAATATTGAAAGGATTGCTGAAAAGAAAAGTAAACAGAAACGGAAGCTAAGTCGGACACTGACGAGGGAGAGGGCCACTCAAAGATGACTCCTTGCCAATCCGTCAAGATCGTACCTAAATGTATCCCAATTAATGGTTATCGGCCGTTTCCATAACGATATGAATGCTACAAAAGCTGAACAAGCACTATTTTTTATTGTATTATATATAACTCAAAATATAATGAATGAATGAACTCGAATGAAGTTCATTTTTATGGTATTTATAAATAATAAATTAACCGGTTGCTATGCCTAAGGCAACTCCACCAAAAAATGCTGCTGTAAAAATGTGAAGTTCATTCACTTTTGGGCCATCTTCATCGCCAATAAGTTTTGTGTACCACTTTCTTACTTTTTTACTATTGCTTTTTAACAAGCCCTCTGCTTTTCCCATTTTATCATCGACATATCTTTCAGTCTGCAAATAAAAAATGTAATACAAATGTGTTAAAGAAGATGTTTTATATAATGAGGAATGGTAGTGATGAATGATGTCATTGTTTTTTTATTTGCTCACAGCTTCAAAATTGTGGATACCACAGATTTTTGCCATTTGTGGAAGAGCTAAATGACGTGCCAAAAATTGGAATTAAACTTAATTCATTGGGATATCACAGGACTCTCCGCAAAATGTTGGTTTTCTAGATGTTATTGATCTTCCAAAACCGAAGGACGGACGGACGGAATGTATTTTCGACAAGAAGCTTTCGCCGCAATACTGAATGTGTTATTGCATCCTGAATGTAGTCAGTTATCGGCTAAGAGCCTTCCAAAACTGTTGCCGTTGTAGCTTGTTATAAAAAAATTATAAAGCTAACTCTGATGGTGAACGACTGCCTGGAAAAACGATTCCAAATTTATTGCCCTAATTCTAGATAGGAAAGCGATTACAGAATGATCAATGATAAGACGGCTCGAGATACTTGATTTTAGGAAATAAAGATGAAATGTGTAATGTCCATATACATGAATATACAAGTAATTTTTAAATTTACCTTATCGGCCCAGGTCATTTCACGCCCCTGAATTGAAGATTCCACTTTGTTTGCTATTGAAGAAACACCTTTTGTCAACCTTGGCCAGTTAACTTTGATAATTCCTTCTTGGTGCGCTATTTCCATAAGAATTATTCCACCGCCAATTGCAAATGCTGCAAATTTCCCAATTTTCATTGTTGCAAACCCAGTGGCCCTTAGAAGTTATAAAATGAATGTAGATTTTTATCATTTATTGTGTTAATCTAATCTAAACAAAGTAAAGTAAAGAACAAAAAATAACTTTGTGCTTTACAAGATTTTCTTCAGTGAATATTTCTTAAAGAAAAAAAAAATAAATATATAGACATATGTATATGTATGCCTCTTCTAGCTCGCTTTATCGACTTGGCTGGTGGTGCTGATCAAGAATGTACTTGGACTAGGGGTTTTGCTTGTTTTGCTCCCTCCGCTCGACATGAGTAAAATACGGGAACGAGGATACAAGAAATTTATGTACATAATAGAGGGTGTTCAAGCCATCTACTTAAAACAACGAATTTTCCATATACTCTACGAGTACTGGGTATACAAAATATGGCTGGGCTCGTCCGACAAAAAAATATTCCTCCACTTTCCCTATGGTAAATATTAGTGTTGCCTGAAAAAGTATCTTTTTTCCAGTCAATTAAATATTAGGATAGCAATGCTGGTTAGTCGCTAAATTAGAGAAACAAATTTGATTGTTGAAGGTATAGCGGATAACATTAAAAATATGCAAACATGCATATATTTGGACCGCAACTTTACTATGTACATACATATGTATGTATCTATATAATATAATATATAATATTGAATTTATTCAGATTGTATCGAGCATACATAGTACATACGTATGCAAAGTTTATATTGCATCATTATTCAGTGCGCGAATTTTTCGATTAGCAGAGCACCTTTTAGGTAGTCTGCAATTGTAACATTTTATGTTGCCTAACTTCGACTTACATATGTATGAACTTAAGAATCGCTAGAGAATTGATCAGAATGATGCCTGCTTAGGAAAGTCGAAGGAGTCGAAGTTTTGAGTGCAGTCGAAATAGGACTAAGACTGATCAAATAAGAATTAAGCTTGTAATTTATAAAACGCTCAATGTACGTTATATGCACCACATACCATCCTGAGGTAACTCCAATTATCATCTGTGAGTAAGCAGACCGATGACTAATATTACTAAAAGTATTTTTTACAATTCTAGAATAGTCATCCATTTTGGATATTATGTATAATACTTTGGTTTTGTCGATATATTGAAAATATTAATTCAGATACAGTGTGACCAAAACCAGAGTAAAAGATAATCAGGGTACTACCGTATTTTAAATACGTAAATATTGTATTTTTGACTACATAGTGGTATTCGACTAAATTTCATACCAAATGCTGAATTATTGTTGGTAGCTCTCTCAATAGTGCTATCAGTCGAAGAGCTCTGTCACTATTTGTGCCAAATCATTGTTTACCAACACGCAAAGCTGATTATTGTATAGGCTTTTTACACCGTCGACCAACCACCATCATTTTCGGCGATGTTCCGTTTAGTTTTGCCGTTCCAACTACCAAACTGAGCTGCTGCAAGTTTTCAGTGATTCCAAAGAATAACGTTATAAAGTGCTTATAGATAGAGTTTTATTATAACCAATTAAATCGCTAATTTATTCATTTAAACTAGTGATATATCACAATTCAGACAAAAACTATGCTATTGTTATTTTCATTAGTTGTTTTTTGGATAAATGACAGATGGTGCCAGTGGGAATCGAGAATTCGTATCACTTCAAAAATCCCACTGTTCCCCGCGGAATTGCCGTGACGGCGATGAACCATCTTACTCCCCAATGTGATACAAAACGCTTCTGGAGGCTGTGTGATCCCCTATGTTTTGTTTGGAAACGTACAAACATCAAATTAAGACCTGAAACAAAAAAGTAAAGAAAAGAATGATCTCCAAATCGGAGGAGATATCCTCCGGTATATTTATGGTATATTTTGAAAATGAGACTGTATGTTTCGGTATATTTCCGGCGGTCGGACGGTATATTTTATCGATAAATCTGCGGTCACACTGATTACTGATTACTTAAGAACCAATGCAATAAGTAAACAAAAAAATATGCTGCGATTATTAAAGTTGCCGGTATCATTTGTTAGTAGAAACTATTGCAATTTAAATAGTGTGCGTTGCATGGCGGGCCATTCTAAATGGGCCAATATAAAGCATACAAAAGCGAAAAATGACGAATTTAAATCGGCGCTCTTTGCAAAGATTGCGAGGCAACTTCGACTGGCCATACAAGACGGAAATTCAGCAGATCCAGCTATAAATCCCAGTTTACAATCAGAAATAGAAAAAGCTCTTAAACAAAACATGCCCATGAGTACTATTCAAAAAACTTTAAATCAGTTTAAACGTGTTGCACAAAATGTAAAAAAACATAGGTTGGATATTCGATTTAAGAGGAACATATATATCATTTGTACTATTTGTACGGACAATTTTGCTGCAGTTAAGATGGATGCAGCGGCAATGGTAAAAAAAAGCGGGTAATTTTTTATTGAATTCAGTTTCTTACAAAAATACTCACATGCCGTTTTTTATTTAAAGAGGAGAATACATAGATGTTGGGCACATGTTTCAGGATTGCTGCTTGATACAAAGCCAATATGATACATCAAAGCTCTTGGAAGGACAGAGCTTAGAAGACAGAGCAGTTGAAGATGCAATTGAGCTCGGAGCTGAAGATATTCAAATAGTTGACATAACCACAGGCTCTATCAATGTATGTTAAATATATTTTCTAAGTATTTTTTGAGAAACCATTGCGGTATGCGGTATAAGCATCACACTCTAAGGCGTGTTTTGGAGAAAAATTGGTTACAGTCAGGTCCAGTTTTTACTTTCGCAAAAAATTTCCGATTACTTTTGAGAACGTAAAACTTTGTGCGTCCGATTTTTCCGTAACCAACATCAAATATTGCTCTGTAATAATGTTTTAGGGCTATAACACTTTGGTTTTGTGCTATTAGCGTACGCAGCTCTTTTTTCAGCTTTATATATTAATTATCTTCGGGGCGTAGTGTTTTAAGCACCTAAAATGCAAATTTTTTTACCATACTAAAATATTTTTTGTTGTTCAATTTTCCTCTCTGTTCTTTCCTCCATGCTACCTGCATAAAATGAAGCCGCCTTTAACCATGAACCCCATCTGGCTATGATCGGTTCTGGTGGTAACTCCTTATTTGCTCTTTGCTTGCATCGTTGTACTGTGAGCGAAGCTTTTATAAAAATATGTTTTAATGTTGAAAATTGGTTTGCACAAGCCTGAATATTGAAATTTCACCTTTTTGTCCCAAGTTGCACAAATTATTGTTTCCACCAATTTCCACCAAAATCAAAGGAAAACTTGTTCAATATAATGCTAGCCACTTTATTATACAGGATATTCGTGGACGTGATGTAATATAACAAACTGCCGTAACAATCCCAATTGATATGGGCTTCAAGGCTATACAATGATCTCATAAGTCTGAGTGCTGGATATTTATATAGTATATAATATTTTCATTTATTTACTTTCAGTTTTTTTGTGATCCAGATAATGTATTTAGTTTAAGTAAAGCATTAGCCAATGTTGGATATTCTATTGAGAATTGCGAACACCTATATGTATCAAACGTAAGATATGTAGGTACATATAAATGAGTTAATTTGCTAACAATTTTTTTTTTTCAGAATCTTGTTACACTATCGTTAAATGAAAAAACAGCTTTTGACGCATTTAAAGAAAAGTTACGGAATATTCCTGGGTTAGAAGATATTTATGACAATGTAGAATAGCACGTTAGAAATTCTGGTAAATTTTTGATTAACTGGCATATGCTTACAAAAACGCAAAAAACCGATGATGGACCGCGATTTATTAGGAATTTACGTGCAGAAACTGACAGTCGGACATGGTTATTTTTTAATGGATTTTCAAAGTTTAATTTTTGGCTATACAAAATGTAAGCATAATCACATATGCTATTCAATGAAATGTCAAAATATAAACATAATCTTTTATGATTTGGAATGGAATGTCGGTATTCAACTTACTTCACCTTTTCGCCATTTAGCTCCTCTTCACCATCCTTATAAACCTTAAAACTACAAATTTTAGTAAAAAAAAAACATACAACGCCTCCACAACAAAAATTGACGGTCAATCGAAGTAATTTATTTTCGAGATTTTAGGAGCATATATGCATATAAAGAACATTTACAGAAATTACTTCGGCTCAACAATGATTGTCTATATTATGAGTAAAAACGACCGGATGACACTGTTGTTTCCAAAAGCGTTTTTGTGAATGCATGAATACAGGTCTGGGGGGTGCACTTTATTGGCTTTGGCTAACTGCCGAAATATTTTTAAAAGAAGGTACGCACGTCTTCGGTAGCATAGAATTCCAATGTTTTTTATTAACAGTGTACAAGCGCATAATATGTCTAGTTAACATGATGAGAGGTGGTGGTTTACCTGATGAGAGAACAAAAGTATAGATAGAGTAGATAGATGATGACCGTATGACATTAGTAAGGGCAAGTTGACCGATCATCCCGGCTCTCTTGAAAGGATCTGCTTTCAAAGCTGTAAAATGTAGTTGGAGAGTGGAAGAATCGCCAATTTATGGACTGGCCGCCTCCAATAACCGTTGGAGGTTTAACCATCCCTTCCAGGTACGACTGATTTAATGCGTGCTATACTCCAGTGTTGGGATTAATGTTGTTAGCGTGTATGATGACCATGGTGCCCACGGCGACATTTTCTAATGACGCTATGTACTTGATTCGTGCGCGAAGCTCGTTGGTATACTCCGCTGATCGGCGTCGCCAAAATTGTTGTTTGATGGCCGTAACAACATTGAAAAATTCCAGATTGCTGAGATTGAGTGTATGGTTTGTCTGCTCCAACAAGTTAATGGCACCTAGATCACTTGGATTAGTGGGCTAAATTCGTCCCGACTTGCTTGGACTTCAGCTGTATCAGTGCCAAGTTCCTCGAACGTGAGCCTTGTATTGATGAAGGACCTGTGGAAGAGACCCTTTGAGGTCTTTACAGACGCTTCCCAGAGCCCGCCAAAGTGTGAAACCCTGCGTGGCTGCAGCAAAGTTTGTGGCATTTTCACAGTAGATGTCCGTTGGTAATACCATCTGCTTGAGTGCAGCCAAGAACGCCTTGGATAGTTCTGATACCACCTCAGTGGGAGCTGATGTTAGTCAGCTTCGGGAGTAGATAGTCTAAGCTTGTGACGGCGATGTAAATGCTTTTCCGCTGCTCAGTGTTGAACACCTCTGTATCTAAGTCGATGAACTGAGGTAATGTAGGCCAATCTGCGACTGTCTGCTTCAGGAAAGGTTGACCAGCGAACCACATTGTCTCAAGTTTGTGCGTTGTGGCTACTCGCTGGGCGATGTCGGCAGGATTCCAATCGGTAGCACAAATCTCTAAACGCCTGTTAACGTTAAGTCCTGAATTTCGGAGAATCGATTCCCAACGAACGCAGATAAAGTCACTGAGTGTTAGGAGGCTGAAAGCAATGAGGCCACCAGAACTTTCCGTCCTAAGGTAGATGCAGCAGCTCTATCCTGCGGTTGGATAGATTGGCGGTTACTTGGAGTTAATAACGAGGTACCAGCAACGCTGAAATGTCTCTGACAGCCGGTCCAGCCGTATGCATGTGTTGTGGGATGGATTCCTCATATTGAAGTCGTGCGAGCCACAGTTCTTGAAAAAGTTCTTTGCGACAATGACGAGTGGCGACAGTGGTCATAACGGGTCGAACAGAGTCGATGCAAGTGATAGAATGGCTCTCTTGGTGACGCCTGATGGTATCTTCTTGATTTGAATGCCATTTTTTCCGAGGAAAGTGACCCCGATTCAGAATCTATCTATGACCAAAAAAAATAGAGAAATATACCAAAAACAATGCAAAATGGACAGAGCAGAATTTGATTGTAGTAAGTCTAATAAATATACAAATGTATGCATGTATTTTCTCCTTTTTATGATTAGTGTTTTGCGACTATAAAAAAACAAACTCTATAAAAAATAAAGTTTACTGCCTAAGTGGATAACAGCCTATTCCCACAGGTGACCATCCACCATCGCACGTTTCTATGCGATATTTAGCCGATGGTTTCAAATGCTACCAAAAAAAGCAATTAATGGCGAGAAAAAATAATTCGCGGCTAGAAACTTTGGAAATACTGCAGCAAATTTCAAGCAGCCAAGACCTGCTCAGAAGAACAGAGCATTTACTATTTTTAATTCAGTTAAGAGAGTGACGTTTGTTGCCCATATATATTTTGTTTTATTATAGCAAAAAATAACCAATTTAAAAAATTAAAGGCGCTGAAGGTTAATAATTCTGATCAATAGCTATTGTGAATCGGTGTTTCATATCTGTCGAAAAATTCCACCGTTCCCCCGGGATGTGCTCATTGTGCAGAGCATATAAAAGGGCACTATCGAGCTTTCCTAAAAAACATCGATAGTCGAATCCGTGATGACTCCATCGATAGTGTCTTTATGTTTTGCACCATTTGATTTACGTGTCATTGAGATAACCATGTTTAAAATATTGTATATATATTTTCTTATTTTACAATGTTTTCTGTGTGCTTCAAAAACGAATGCAGAAATAATAAACACGAATGTAGAAAGATTGTTGGACTTATCGTCACAACTTGTGAAGACTACAATCAAAATTACGGCTGAGGAAACAACCGGCAAAACCATAACCGAATACGTGTTTCTCGTGGCTGATCCCAATCTTGCATTTATTTCATTAAAAGATGACACGGAGAAAAACATCTTGCTACGAAAAAATAAGGAAGATTTAAATGGGGATCAAACTTTCACGTTTACTTTTAAGAAAGCATCCCCAACGCAAACTTTTGTAATCGAGACAGTCTCCTCTAAGAACATACGTCCTCATCCTGTGGAAATTGAACAAAATGATAAGCAATTGGTTAAATATAATGGAAGTTTATATTTTTATTCAAAATACAAGACTCGCACGCAGAAAACCAATGTTAAACTCAGTTCTTCGAATATACTATTCCACACCCAACAAAAGCCGTTTTCAGTAGGAGCAAACAGAATAATTTTAGGGCCTTACGAAGACATTGAAGGTAAATTAACATAAATTTGTATTGTAGTATGCATATACCTAATTATATTTCTTTTTCACTATTTTTATTAGCCTTATCTCAGCAAGAGTTGGTTGTTCATTATGAAAATCAAACGCCATTTTTAACAGTCAACACATTGGAAAGAACTATTGAATTGTCTCATTGGGGTAATATCGCAGTCAAGGAAGAAATTCAATTGACTCACGCTGGAGCTAAATTAAAAGGATCATTTTCCCGATACGATTTTCAAAAGGAGGGACGCTCCGATCACTCTGCTGTAAAATCATATAAAACGTATTTACCGGCCTCTGCATCTGGAGTCTATTACCGAGATACAAATGGCAATATTTCGACATCAAATATGAACTTAGTTCGCGATTTTATAGAACTTGAGCTAAGGCCACGGTTTCCTCTTTTTGGTGGATGGAAAACCAAATATACTCTTGGATATAATGTTCCCTCATACGAATATATGTACAACGATGGCAACAAATACCAGCTAAAGATGCACTTAATAGACCATATCTATGATAATATGGTAATCGATGAAGCTGTTATAAAGATTATTCTTCCAGAGGGATCCACACAAATCAAATTCTCGACACCATACCAAATAAGTCGCCGACCAAATGAGCTAGTGCACACCTATTTGGATACGATTGGACGCCCAGTTGTTACATTCTCCAAGTCTAATTTGGTGGAAAGTCACATTGCTGATTTCACTCTTAATTACAGCTTTGAAAAGGTGTCTTTGCTTCAAGAACCCTTACTGGTTAGTGCTTTTATTTATGTCATATTTTTATTTACAATTGTTTTCTTGCGTCTGGACTTTTCAATTACTTCACATTCACATAAAGAATAATTAAATCGTATTATATGCATTAAATATTTTGAAAATAAATAAATTTGATAAAACAATTTAACTTTTACATGTTGCTATTTCGTCGCTCAGTGTCTCGTTTCCCGAAAGATAGTACAATTCTGATTTTGATTCGTTATTCGAAACCGAAAATTGTATACTAAAGAAATTTGTATACCCGGTATTTGAAGTTTAGGTATATAATAGTTTTTTGGTGGAATGTGGATGTGTGTAACAGCCAGAAGGAAACGGTTCCAACCCTATAATGTATATATATTCTTGATCAGCATCAGGTATCAAATCATCAGATAGCCGAGTCCATATAGCCATGTCTGTCTGACCATCTGTTTGTCCGTTCAGTTGAGCGCCTAGTTTTCAGAGTCAATAAGTGCTAGAGTAACCAAATTTTGTATCCAGACTGCTGTAATATCACAATGTTAAAAGTGCATTTTTTAAATTTCGCGCCGTCCTTCAAACGACGAAAATCTGTGGCATCCACTATTTTGAAGTTAGGAGAAAACTCAAAACACAATTATAGAGTATGACAATATCTAGCAGAGTGTTGAGTCTAGATCAGATCGGATTATGATTGTAGACAGATGGAATAAATAAAATTGCATAGGCTACGCAACGTCTTCGACACGCTTACTCCATCGGGGCCGTAGTTGCGGCTCACAACGTTACCGCTAGTTATACACGATACTCAAAAAGAGTATACGGGTATAACGCTCAGAAGGAAGCGTTTCACAAACCATGATGTATATAAGTATGCTGCATCAATAGCCGAGTTGATAGAGCCCTGTCCGTCCGTCCGTGCGTCCGTCTTGTTTCACTGTCGAAGTATGCAGACTCCTCTGATATCACACTGAATCCAGTTTGTTCAAAAATTTTGCCACGCTCTCTTCCACACCCACAAAGGACAAAAATCTGTGGCATCCACAATTTTGAAAATACGAGAAAACGGAAAACTTTGAACCATAGAGAAAGTCCATATCTTCTAGAATGCAGAATCTTAATCAGATCGTATCATAACAGCCATTATTCAGTGGCTGTCTGTCTTTGCTAATTGACAGTTTAAATTAGCACAACTTTCTTAATTGTGTACCAACAATAATATTCTACTAGGAAAAACACACATTTCACGACAATGGCCAGGAAAAGTCCCAGGGTCGTTAGAAATGCTTACCAATATTGAATAATTTTGAATAAAACCTATGATATGTGAGTGTAGTTATTCGATCAGGTAGAGCAGATCAGTTATCAATTCTCAAACAGAGGGTCGGCCAAATTGTTTTCCTGATGACATATTAGCCATAAGCCTTTATGCTTGTATGGGAAAACAATAACAAGCACCGAAATGGTTAACCAAGTAAACGCCTGGATGCCATTTATACCACACGAATATTTTAGTTTTGCTCTGAAAATGTTCTTGCAGCATTAATTATTTTTTATAAATAAAATAAATCTCTTAAAAGTTTGCAAAATTATAATTTTATTCGTACTGAATCAATATGCATATACAATTTTTTAGGAGTACTTTTATCCATTTATGATTTTCTTACACTTTTTCTTAAGGTGTATAATATTTTGGATTTATTTGCCATACTTTTAATTTTTCGTCTATCCATGATCTTAGGCTAGCAACGTTTGCGTAAACTCCGGGGATATTTTCTTCTCCACAACCAATTCCCCAAGCGACTATGCCAGCTGACTTAAACCGATTTTGCTCGCCTTTAATGGGGCACACTAATGGAGAGCCCCCATCACCCTTGCAAGTGTCCTTATCTTTTTCGCCGCCTGCGCATATAAAACTTTCATGCAATATGAAATGCTTTCCCAGGCGAGTTTCGCGCAAGTTCGACTGGCATTGTTGTTTCGGCATAACAGGCAAATCAACCTTTTTTAGAATGACTTGATATTCGCCATCTTTTCCAAATTTGTTTTTACCCCAGCCAGTGGCAAAGCAACGTTCATAGTCAAATATATCCCCGGGACTTGGCAAACACACTGGCTGTATGTTCTCCTGAGAGGTAAACGAACTTTCAAGCGATAGCAATGCAACATCGTTGTAAAGTGCCCCCTTATTAAATTGTTCATGATAAACTATTTCTTTCACATAACGGTCCTCATGTGGTATTATTTCTTTTTTTGTTTGAGTGTCCCATTCGCCTGCTCTCACTAAAAAAAAACAGAAAAAATATTTTTAGAGACATTCGAAAAGAAAAAATAAAAGAAAACAAAATAATATATTGAGACAAGATGGTCTTTATCCTTTTCGCTACAACTTTCATGAAAAATTAAATACTTTCCAAGGGAAGTTTGTCCCTGAAGACAAAGCTTCAGATTAATTGCTTCTAGATATGTCAGATATACATATGTGTGTCCTCCGCTCCGACTTCGGCTTTGAAAATAGAATACTCAATTTTCGTTAGGATTAATAAAATATCCTCTGATTGTTTCTATTGACAGTTCTGATGTATACATATTTTGCAAAAGATTGAAGAAAAAAGTTGGCGGAGAACTAAACGGACGAACGAATGGTCGGAGATTCTCCCATCCTTTGCATGACTACCATCTTATCAAAATCCAAATACCTCTGCATATTGATAAAAATGAATTGTATTTACATACCAACAATTGAGTTTGGCTCTTTGTTATGGACACAGTGAGCTGCTGTTAAAACCACATTTGGCGCGATTAAAGCCCCTCCACACTCATACAAGTTTAGTTGAGCTTCTTCCCGCAAAATGGCGACCATCCAAGGGAATTCCGCGAACTCTGCTTCTTGGTTAACAGCTCCAGTTATCTTAAAGCCGATACCGTTTGGATTTTGGTATCCACAGCCTTTTGCTGCATCAGGTTGTGTTATTGGGGTATCAGTTGTATCTTTCTTAATAACGAATGAAAAATGATGATTAACGCGCATTCACATTTAAAATACAAAAATACCTTGTTTGAAAGATCACAACATAGATCCAAATAGTTTTTACACGGTGCTGCAGTGTCAATTCGGATGTCAATTATGTTTTCTCCACTGGTATTTATTGTGTTGTTTGTGCACAACCATCGAGGCACGCATTCCTTTTGGTCTCCACAGGACTGATACTGGCCTGAGGAGCTCGATGAACGAGTTGGTTGAGCAGTAACAACATCGCTTCCAGTGATTTGTGTTGCAGATGTCGATGATTCGCCTGTTTTAAATATATCCGCAATTAGGTTATCCAGGGAGGTGTCTTGCGCAAGACACGCATATACCATGATGCATAACACAGCGCCATTGAACAAAAGCATTTTACTGAAAAAGAAAGACGTTTTATGTGCCGTGAGGTCGAAGCAGGCTTTTCAGCTAAGCGCCTAAACTACACAAAAACTATGTTTAGCTATTTATTTTATTTTTTAAACATTCCGGGGACGGGGTTACTTTTTTCCGTACGTTGTGCGCTGGTACGTTAATTGGGCGGCGAATGCTTTGCTTTAAAATTCTTGAAAAAATAACACATAGGAGTGCATACCTCATTCGGAGTTAATGCGAAAAAATTGAAATTGGGAAATTTCTTCGATAATATAATTATTTTTCGTTGGGGATCTACGCTTTTATAAGGTCAGGTACAAAAGTGTTACAATTTGTCTGTCTCCGCTCCTAATTAGCAACACATTAAATTTGAATTTGTTTCCTCCAAATTAAAGTGCTTGAATAACAACTCTGGCAAACATACATATACATATGTATAAGTTTTCTGCGATCTATCCATAACTGGCTAATTGTATGTGTTTATATTACTAATAAAAATTGAATGCTGAATAAATTTAATATTATTTGATATTTAATAGCAGACGTTCACGTGGATATGTACAAAAGCATTCACATTTTCTTCATAAATGTTTAATTCGGCTGGAAGGAATCTCAGGGACAATCAGGGGGCCTTGTATTTAAAATGTTTATTCTAAATACAAAATGTGCAAAGCCTAAATAAGCAGCTGGAGCATTTATAGAAACAAAATAAAATCTAAAGAAATCCAAATCGCTTTCAGAAATAACTTATCTCAGTGCTAAACGACGGCTGTTCGAGGGTTAGAAGGTCAATTCTACAGATAGCTTGTTATCAGAAGAAACATAGTATATATATACACCTAAATATGTAAGTATTGTTGAAAGATTTCAAATAGTAATGTATTTTTATAAGTCGGCATCCTGCTGTATGTGTTGATGAGCCACACTTTGCAAGAGAACCTGATAGGCGGATGAGTAAGGCCATGAGAAATAGTTTTATTCGTTTTTAAAACAGGAATGGAAACAAATTCTCAGTAATTGGTTGATACGTATATGTATGTATACTAAACGTTCAGGAATATCCTATTTATATTCTTAATTTATTACAATTCGAACATTCAGTTTGCCATTCGTCGAACGAAAAGGGTAGACTGACCTAGGCGTTTTGAAGTTAGTTTAATGTGGTTTTTATATGTACGTATATGTATTTGTATTTTTTATATTTATATGGGAAGAGTAGCATTTATATGGGAATATTAGTATTCTTTATTTGAATAAATACGAATATTTATACCACTCATATTTACATATGTATATAAAGTACATAACATTATTAACCCATCGCACAAGTGTACATACACCCATATGTAAACCCAAACACACATACACATAGAAAAACACATTTTTTTATATTTACTATACCTAATATTAGTAATGATTTATTTACATTTATATACATACACAGTTTGTTCGATTGAAATCTGGTGTCTGATCTTTTTTTCAATAAGTATGTTAGCTGATGCTGGGTAATGACTAAATGACAAAGCTAATTTGATTTCTGAGTCAATCTTTATTTAAAATTGATATACAAATATACACCACACAATGCGCGACACTTGAATAGCACCTATGAAAATTGGAAATAAAAAGCATTTAAAGTGATGAAGCGATTAAATTATATAATACCAACTGTGAAATATATGGAATGGACTTCACGAACAGCATTGAATGTGGATCCGTGCCGCTAAGCATTTTGCGGTTATTGGTTCTGGCGCAACACACACCATCTGAATCGTGTTGGAATTTGAGCACATGAAAATTGGAACATTCTTTGTCCATAGCATCAATCAGCACTTTCGGATGAGTGGAATATTCAATATTTGGCTTGTGCTCAAATGCGAGACGGATAAACGAAGCTGATGTAAGTTCTCGATCTGCTTATACTTGCGTTGACAGCCATTTTCGCTATAAGTGTCAAATACGAAAAGGAGCACCTGTCTCGGTACCAAATGTCGTTGCTAATTATGATCTTAGTGAGTGCGGTCGTATTTTTGTCTCGTTCCGTACAAACAGTGGAATCTGAAACCTGCCAAAGCAACCGGAGCTGCTTCTTCCGTTGATCTGGGAGATGAGTTATCAGCAGGAACAAGCTGACAAATTAATTTGTTTGGGATGGGGAGAATCCCTTCAGACGAAGAAATAAGCTGGCCCTATCACCAATGCAACCGACTGAAGCAGTAGAAAGAAGCGCACGTTCCTCTCCTCGAATGTTGCAGCGCTTCAAGAAGAGCACGAAGCCCGTAAAGAAATATCAATGCCGCATTGTGCTTTTTCCAAAAGGCCAGAGCGCTGTGCAAGATGATGGTGATCCCAAAGAGATCCATCACAAATTCAATGAGGCACCTGGTGGATGAAATCTACTACCTGCAGTGAGAAGTGGGCTCGTACTGCAGGCGGTCTCTGCGGAACATGCTGTAACCAAGGCCACATATGCGAACGAGACGGAGAGGGTGGGAATGAGGTCACGGCCAAAGACCACGAATACCAACCGATGAAGGATAGATGAAAATAATCCAATTAACTCTCAAACACTTTGCGAGGAGGCACAGCAACTGCTGGAGCAGACCATAAGAGAGCACCGTATTGACGTAGCCTTCATAAACGAGCAATACAACTGCTCATCTGGGCAGTCGATTTCGGACTCTAGCAACAAGCAAGTGATAGAGCTGTGAAGTCCCATGCTAATGAAGCGGTAGTAAAAACCAACGCTCATATCCGGCGACTTCAACGCATGGATGTCCAAGAACCAATCCCAGGGAACACGCAATCTTGGAATGCTTTGCGACGCTCGATAACGTGGTGCTGAATACAGGCACGCAGCAGGCATTCGGCAGAGCAGGCACGGTTGAATTTGGTTGTATTAATTAATTAATTGCAATTCTGAAAAGCTGATCAATTTAACTATAAATCAAACCTAAACACTTTGCAGCGCTAGCTATAGCTGTCTGGGAAATATTAAGCTTTCAAATTAAAATGTAATAATTTTATGCGGTATTTTTTCCAAATATTTACCCTTTGAAAAATCTCAATCTCTTTGTATCTCAAGATTTTATCCATCGATTTTTACAAACGATATCTTAAACGACGCCTAATTAATGTACCTATACCAGAAAAATACAAAACCCCTAGGAATAAATTCATTTCTCCTTTTACGAGTTTTCAAAATCAAAATTTCTTTTAAAAATACCACCAAAATGTTTCAATTTAAAAGCTTTATATTTTCTAGACAATAAGCTACAAAGTGTTCGGGTAAAATCTATAGCTGTATTTATTCTGGAGTTATTTAAAGTTGTAAAGGGCGAGCCCGACCGTGTTCCACCGTCTCCTACTCTTCCTCATCTCTACCGCTATGTCAAAAGCCTTTAAATGGGGAGCCCAGCCTTCATGTATGGGACCATTTGGTGTATTTGGCCACTTTTCAGGAAGGTCCGCAACATTGCTTAGCTGCCTTTCCCAAGTGTAAGTTTGGAGAGGTGCTTTGTCACCCACCCCAGTTTCGGGATGGGACTCACTCGGGTTCGTACCAGCGTCTTCCACCGTGCACGTATTTTCAGCTGTTGAGCTGGTTGGGCCAGGCTTTCGGGCCGCTTCCTTTTCGTGCTTGAGTCTGTTCACTATAATCGTTTGGTGAGCGCCAGTCTCATTTTTCTTTTGTGTTTTCATATATTTGTCATCTCACGAAACGCATAGAAGGAGAAAGGTCAACCAGGGTACAGATCCACGTTACCCGGGTAAGGCATCGTGAGAACAGGGTGCTGCCAAGTCCCTGAGCTACAATCGCGACTAGGCTAGTTTCTAGACCGGGACCCGAAAGGAAAAAGGAAAGGCAAAAGCCTGCAGGTGGTACTTAAAGGCATAGAACCCAACGTCACTTCAGCTGAAATCCCAGATGCAATATGGGCCACAACTTATGGTCGAGCTCGAGCCAGACGTCCGAACACTGATGGAAAATGAAGTCCACCCAATCTACAAACTGCAGCTCCTGTTTCACCAGAAGTAACTCATAAACTCAATAGTTAAGTGCAATGCACGAATTTCCAGGAAAATGGGTACACCAAGACTTACTGTACTCTAGGATCAGTCTGCGAAGCCTGTGTAGACTGCCACGACTCAGATTCTTGCACCAATACACACACCACCAAGTACTAAGTCGCTTTCGGATCTATCGAATGATCACTCGCCTGCTCTACCAAGGCTTCTTCAATGCCCGAAGTTCGCAACTAGCTTAAATAAAATAACTAACCCCGCAGATAAACGTTGAAGAAGATCGACTGCTCTGCTGATGCAGTGGGAGCTGTACTCGCTACAACAGCAAAAATCCAAACACTCAACTCAACTCCTTTTAAACCAACCAAATCTTTAAAAAGAAAAGAAGAAGACGCCCAACGCCGCTACATAGAGAAAATTTTACCATACAGCACAAGGCATCCACTGTGGAGGGCCCATCGAAAACCAAGCTCTCCAATAGAGTCATGGTTTAATGGACGCTAGACGGGCTTATGCACAAAAGGACAAAGCTGCTGCCACAAAACCCCCATAACCTGCTCTACAAAGGAGACTTTTCCGTAAGAGGTAACGCAAGCACGCATATGATCATATAATCGAAGCTGATATTTTTTTTGCTAAGTTATCTCTTGATTTATTTTCTGGTGCTCCTTCTGGATTTCTGGCCTTTCTCGAGTAATCACCTGAAGATTTTCCATTTGCCTTGGGCGCTACAGTTGGAACTCTCCTTGCCGACCTAAACGGAAATATCTCGGGATTCCCGCAAGATTCTGGTTTTCTTTGGTCTTATACGATTTGTAAGTTCATTTTAGTTTCATTTAATCATTTATATCTATGTAAACCATTTGCAATCGCAGTTAATCGATAAAAAAAAGGAAAAAGAAACAGTACATATTTCTGTTATTACTTATGTAACTCAATTACAATCTTTATTTGTTGAATTCAAACACATACATGTTCAAAATCTGCCGTTTGGCATTTGAATTACTTTTCTTCTGGTTTGCTGAAGACAAAGGTCAAATTGCATTTTCCGCAATAATGACGATCTTCGTGAGCAGCCATGAAAACTCCAGCCCCACAGTTCTCTCCAGGGCACTCACGGCGCAGACGATGAATCTTTCCATTCTCATCCACCTGTTGAATATTAAATAGAATTTAATAAGATTCCAAGATAGAATTAATATAATGTTGAGTCAACGAGCGCAAGACCAAGACTCAAGAATTCCAAGAACAGATCTCTTTTATATTTTCCAAGTCAGCAGAACTATATACCTTGTAGTACTTCAAGACCGCGAGCTTGACCTTCTTCCTCTTGTGCTTAATTTTCTTAGGAGTGGAATAGTTCTTCTTCTTGCGTTTTTTGGCTCCACCACGAAGCCGAAGTACTAAATGCAAGGTTGACTCCTTCTGAATGTTATAATCAGACAGTGTTCGGCCATCTTCCAATTGCTTGCCAGCGAAGATCAAACGCTGTTGATCTGGAGGAATTCCTTCTTTGTCCTGGATCTTGGCTTTGACATTTTCGATGGTATCCGACGGTTCGACCTCAAGAGTTATGGTCTTGCCCGTTAGGGTCTTTACAAAGATCTGCATGGTTTAGTCCAGTCACCAAACTGAAAAAAAAGAATTTAAAGGGGAAAATTAATATAAACCTTTAAAACAAAACAAAAAAAAAAACTATTATAAGTAAAATAATTAAACGATCTTTTGTTGTCTATATATGGGTTTATTAACGTGAAAATTTCAATTGAAATTAAAAAATTATTTCTTGAACCACTAAACCAGAAGTACTGCATTAATAACACCATCATTTTCCGGGTTGTTTGTAACTTGTGCATATTTTCCCCACACAACTTTTCCAGTTTGTGTCACCAATCCCAGCTCAGAGATATTAACTTCTAGAACTGTGCCTTTTGTGATAACACCTAACGATGTAAACATTGGCGAACTGGGATTTTTCTTTACACCAATAATAGGTAAATGGAAGGTAGCTTTCAATTCTGGATGGGTTACATGAGCTTTTTTCATTCGTAGTCCCATTGGTCGAATAAAACGTTCAAATTTAGGTGGTTTTCGAGTAAAATTCTCTCCCACAAATGTGACTTTTGTAACCATTCGCTTCCATGCTTTGCGCTTAGTTTTTCCAGTCTTTAGAACCTTGAAAACTTCAGCATCCGACTGGGCGCGAACTTTTGGTATGGGCACGTCCCACTTTCCAGCTTTTTCCTTGCGTTTCTGCTTGATCATATTGGAAAGCACTTTAGCACTTGACTGGACTCCCCTGTCAAGCAAGTAATGAGGTAAAGCTCCATCCTCAACCTTTTCATCTTGTTTTTTCAGTTTTTTCTCCTCATGTGATTGAATATTCTTCTTAATTTGGATCTTTTCATTTCGTCGCTCCTTATTGAATAACTTTGCTTTAATTCCTCGTAACTTGCGTGCTTTACGGGCCCTCTCTTTTGGTAGTCGAGCTTCCTTTTTACGTTTACGTTCTTCGTAATCAAGACGCCTTCCGTACAGCTTTCTGTGGCGTTCCATATACTCATTTTGAGGCATTGTGAAGTTTACAATCCGAAGCGCTGAAATATAAGTTAGAAGATACATTTTGATACCATTTTAGGGAGAAATTTGCATACACTCTGAAGGTGGTCAGACTAAAATAATCCAAACAACTTGTGGAAATGTTAACTTACCTTGAATACAATTTTCGTGATATTTTAAACTGCTTGCAAATAAGATGTGGTCTTTATGTTACTGAACATATGAGTAACACATTCCACATGTATCGCCTAATACATATAACCAATAAATTATACTTCCGATCGTATTTATCTCTTAAAATTATCTTAGCCAGGCAACCGAATAAATTTATTTATCCCAAAAATTCGAAACTTATGGAGACGACTTACCCTATAGCGACGACAGATTTAAAAGAAAGAAAGAACCAAGCCGCAAGCGTGACCGGAAGTATGATGTTTTACAGGGTTGCAATTTAATATACCGCAATTAGGAAAACTTGATCATATTGGAACGGCGAAAATGAAACAATAATAGTTTTTATAGCCCTGTCACACAGTAGGACACATCTTTGGGGAACGACTGGAATATTTGTATGGATACAATACACCTGATATGACAGCTGTCATATATAAATATAACAATTAGTTTTTCTGATTTAAGAAATTAGAGAATGGTGCAATTAAAATTAAATTTTTGTATACATGCTTTTTAATAATTTATCCAGTCTTCTACTTTAACTCACTTAAAACAGCACTTAACAGTGAGGAGCCGTTTCAGATGGCAAACATTTTTCGTAAATTTTTTACTGCATAATGTTGAAAGTTTTCACATCATTTGAATTGCGAAATTTCAACATTTTTGTGATAAGACTGCTGCACTATATATAGATAAATAGTCGTTATATACTATGGCAATCATAACAGTATAACTGACACCTTTTACAGACCCATTCATGTGTAGTCTATGCGTTTCTAGATAATGCTTCTGACTATGAAGATGAATGCGATGTAGATATTAATAATAATCAAGTATGCATATGTAATATTATTAAGGTTTTTAATCATAGTGATTTTCCCCATAGAGTGAAGGTTGGTTGGTCGATCTGAAAACATATTAAATGAAATATAAGAGGCAAAACCGAAAATCTTATTTTGAAGCGCTGCCTTTTGCGTAAACACATTTTACATAATATGTCGATACTCATGTACAAAAATGTTTGTTAACTCTGACATTTTATTTAAAATCCTCTGTGATTGAAAGCGAACCATGAGCAATCGCGGTCCATCGAGTGTTTTTATGTTTTTGTTTTTTTTTTTAAATTTTAGAAGCATAGTCCTGTAGATCGAACATTTACCTTAGATATATTGAATAAATTAAATCTTAAATCATAAATTTACATATGTATATATTTACTGAGTACGTATGTACAAACTTGCTTTAAGTAAATGTTCTCGATATTGCCATTGCAATACATTGTGTGGAAACAACTACATTAATGAGAACGCGGGAATTTTGGTTTATAGGCTCTGCACTTTCAGCACGTCCCGGGGGATCGGTGGGATTTTTTGACAGGTGTGAAACACATTGCCACCATTTACCATCTATCATCCGTCAAAAAGCAGCTGATGAAAAATAACAATGTTATGGTCTGAATTGGTAAATTTCCACAATTTAAAATAAGTATATTGGCAATTTGCTGAGTTATCTCTCACGTTGTTTACTGGTGCTCATTCTGTAATTTCTGCTGCTCCTTTTGGACTTTCCATACAATCTCCAAAAGATTTGTCAGTTTAATCCCATTTGGTGCGGCGCCATGGTTGCAGAAAGAATACTAGAGATGCAGCGGTATCTGTCCTGGAGGACATTAACGGAATTATTTCGGAACCTTCCAATTTTTGGTATCTCCTTCTTGTATTGTGTATGTTGGTTTTTTTTCGTTTTATTTTTGTCTTCAACGATTTGAATATGTCTAGGCGCGTAAAATTTTTGTTTGATATTGATTGTTTTTTAGGGTTGTATGTGTAAACTACTGCTAAATATCAAGAAGAAGAAACATGCGAATAACTAAGAAATTTGCGGAACGTAAAAACTTTACGGACAATCCCCTGAAAGCGATTTAGAATTATTTAGCATTATCCATCTAATCAGATTTGACTCTTTTTTAGTTTAACGGCTTGACCGAAACGCTGTTGATAAATTTGTAAATCGCAACCATGTGCTTGTTTTATTCTAAATAGTTTGAGAATAGGCATGTATGAAATAAAATTAAAAGTAGAAATACATATGCACTAAATGATCCACAAAATTTTAATTAAAATCACCTACAGGAATACCCAATATATCAAATAATCAAAGAAACACTTAAAAGAATACCGGTATTAATTATCGAACTGAGTAAAAATAAATAGAGCTGCAAATGCATAAAAATATTCAGGTTGCATTGTCATTGCGTTTTGTACTTGATTTCTTGCCTCGAACTTCACACCCCCGGTTTTTTCGTAAGTAGTTCGTTTGATATTTAATGCACATGATTGACATAAAGTGTATATATGTATGTATTGTAAGGAATGAGTAATTAATTTTCTTTTACTTTTATATGAACATATATAACAAAGGATTACGAGACATGTCCAAAACTACTGACCTGAAGGCTTCGGCTGTATCAAAAAAGGGAATAGATCCTAATCTATATCCAACTGCTCGGAGGGATGAAACTGTTGAAGATAACTTCCATGGCAGTAAGATAAAAGATGTATACCGATGGCTTGAGGATCCGGATTCAACAGAAACGCAACAGTTTGTCAAGTCTCAAAATGATATAAGTCGGCCGTTCCTCGAAAATTGCAACGAGTGGAAAAAAATAAACTCTAAACTCACTAAACTATGGAACTATGCCAAATATGGCTGCCCCATGCGATATGGAAGTTATTATTATTATTTTATGAACACCGGTCTGCAAAATCAGAGCGTTATGTATCAACAAACATCTTTGAACGGAGATAGCAAAGAATTCCTCGATCCTAACAAATTATCTGATGATGGTACAATTGCCTTGGCTCAAAAGTCATTTTCAGATGACGGCAGCTATATGGCATATGGATTAAGTGAAAGTGGGTCCGATTGGATTAAGATTCTTATACGAAATACCGAGACTGGTAAAGACCTGAATGAAATACTTAACAAGGTTAAGTTTTCCGAAATATCATGGACCAAAGATAATAAGGGATTTTTTTATTGTGTAAGTAATAGTCTTTACGTGCTTTACATTGTTACGTGATATATGGAATTTACATTGCAAGAAACATTAAGGGAAGGTTCCCGTTTTAAGGCCCGAAAAATTGTCACACTCTTTGTCGTTAAGCTTAATTAAATTCTACGACACCCACACACACACATTTGCAAAAGCAACTTTCTGCCAACTTTGATCAACGACGTGTCTCACGTGAACGAATGCATAAAGAGACCGAGACCATAATCTCATTGGTTGAGCATTGGATTCCGTTTTGAGTGGGGTCAGAGGGCAGCAGGTTTGAACAACCTTCCGTAGGTTTTAATCATTCGCTTTCTAAAATAATTTTATTTCTGAAAACACTTGTTTGCTTTAAAAACAACTCATTTAAAATAATTTGTGATTTTTATTGTGTTATTAATAAAAAAATAATTTTATTATAGAGATATTCTGAGCAAGATGGAAAAACTGATGGCTCTGAGACAAAACAAAATGAAAATCAAAAACTGTACTATCATCGACTGGGAGAAAGTCAGGATAAAGATACTCTTGTTGTCGAATTTCCCGATGAACCTTCATGGCGCATGTAAGCATAATTTATGTATATATTCTTTTATATGGTAATTTGTTTTACTACATTTTTACAATGGCACTAAAAGTAATTTTGATCAAAACAACCAGAAAATTACTATACTATACTATACTATAGTACTATAAAATTACACAGCTGTTGCATGACACATACAAAAGGTTTTTTTGGTTCGGGGGCTTACAGCACCATGAAAAAAGCTTGAGTAGTATTTTGTTTTCTCGTATCATCAAAATTACGAATGCCACAGATGTCCGTCCTTTGTGTGGGCGGAAGGAGGAGGTGCGAAGTTTTACAATACACTTCTAAAAGTATGATATCGGAAAAAGTGGGTCTGATGCTAGGGTTTTTTTTTTGCTTTTAACTAGCTATCTGCAAGTTTTGCAATCAATTCTTATATTTATACATAAGTATGCAGATAATTAACCCTGCAATTTTCTTTTGTTTTAGTCAATCTGTAGTATCTGATTGTGGACTATATTTAATACTGGCTATCGTTAAGGATTGTCGAGACAACATTGTGTACTACGCAGACCTTGAACCTGGTAAAGAAATTAATTCAAAACTGAATATTAAAAAAATTGTGGAAAAATTTGAAGCGGACTATGATGTAAGTGAAATTTTGTTATTCTTAAGCATATTAAGTTACTAGATTACGTCTATACATCCCAATCACTTATCACAGAGATTGCTGCTTGGCATGAGCAATGGAGCAACTTAGCATTATGTGGAAAAGGGATCTTTAGCAATCACAAAACAGGCTTTCCTTTTCGGTATGGATGTAAAAAGGGTTTAATTTTTTCGTAAGACAAATGATAACACTATCCAGTCATAAATCATCCATGGAATATTTGAACACATTCTATTTTGGTTTCGCCAGGCCTCGAGTGAGGAGCATCCAAAATTTAAGTTTTTATTTCCGGAAAACAAAAATTCAGTAATTCAGTGTACAAAAAAAAAATTGGTTTCAAGTTAAAAATTTGTTTGTTACTTTTTGGACACACGAACTCAAAGAATGACTTTTGGGGAGGGAAGGCGGCTCTTCAAATAAAGAAAGGCGATCGTGATGGTACCGGGATATCCGAGCAAATACTCCCCCAGTTCGGATTCCCAGTGGCTTGCATCAATATTAATAATCACTATATTAAGCACTATATTAAGCACAGAGAAAGGGAAGGAAGGAAATGGAAGGATGGTGATCCTTCAGGTACTCAGACGAAGGAAGGACATCGTGATGGTACCTGGAATATCCGATCAGTTATTCCCTTAGTTCGGATTCCCAGTGGCTTGCATCTTGTACTTGATGCTGCCGTAGCTGCCCTTGAAGCTGGAGGGCAGCTGCCGGCCCAGGGCCACCTTGAAGATGAACGTATGCTCGCCGGCGGAGAGCTCCAGGCCGCGCGGCTCAAAGTCCGGCAGAGGCGTCTCGCTGTGCTCGTATATCTCCTTGCTGGTGTAGAACAGACTACGCGTGTACTCATTGTTGTTTGAGTTCTTGCGCAGTATCTCCATCCACTTGCATTTTCCTTTCCCAGTGACTTGGATTTTAATGGCTGCAAAAAAAAAACAGATGATTATTTGATCAATGTGAATCCAAAGAAACTAACTAATTAACACCTACAGATCTTCTGGTGAGTCTTCTCCAGCTTAGTCGTCCACGTAAATATCCTTAGCTAATGATTTTTAAGCAAAAGGGTATGTGTTATGTATGTATTTGTAGGTATGTGGTATGTAGGTATGTGTGAAATAATGCGGAATTGTAGGTCTTGACCTAGAAAATGAGAGAGTGCTTCAAGTACTATGAAGTGCTTTAAAGTATGACATTCCTGAACAGATTTGAAAGGGAACACAACACTAAGACGACCCGAGGGCAAATGAGTTATGTTTTTTATGAATGACCAATATGACAAAAGAAACTATAAACAAAAAGTTTCAGACAACTTAGGTATGAAAAATATGGTTTTGTCTTTTTTTTTTGTTAATGGAACACACTTTTAGGGAGCACACTTATTCCAGTGATTTTCCAATTTTTTGTTATATGCTCCTTCGCGGCATCGATTATCTCCTTGCGCGAGCTCAATTGTTTATTAATGAGCCATCTCTTGACGTTTGGGAATAGATAAATGTCCGAGGGTTAGGATGCCTTTAAAAAATAATGCTGTATGAGAGAACGAAAATCGTTTTTTTCCAGACGATACGATAAACAGTTCAACAAAAATCAGCTGTCAAAAGAAAACTATGGGTAAATTGCGCTGAAATTTGACAGAATCTTATAGAGAAAAAACACAAATATTTATTTAATTATATTATATATATTATTACCTATGTACATACATATGTAAAACACGCTTATGTATTTTGTTTCATGTTTTTTTACTTATATCTGCTTTTTAGTATGTTACCAACGAAGGGTCAAAGGTATATTTTCGTACAAATAAATTGGCACCCAATTATCAAGTTATAATTATTGACTTCGAGAAACCAGAGGAAAGCAATTGGAAAACTCTAATAGCAGTAAGTACTTCATTAGCTTAGGCTAAAACAACATTTAACTCACAAAAATTGGTATTTTAGGAGCACAAGACTGATGTGTTAGACTGGGTTAGGTGCGTGGACGAAGACAAGCTTCTAGTATGCTATATAAGAGACGTAAAAGTAAACGAACTATGCCCAAAAAATTAATATTAGAAATAATCGATTCATTTTTGTTTTAGACCGTTTTGCAAGCCAATTGTCTTCGAACTGGAAAACTATTGCGTGTATTCGACTTAGATATCGGTACCATTGTAGGAACTTCAGGCGAGAAGAAGTATTCAGAGATTTTTTATAACTTTTCTTCCTTTTTGAGTCCTGGATGTATTTATCAATATGATTTTAAGACCCCAGAGATCATGCCAAAAGTGTTTCGCGAAATCAAACTCAACTTGGAAGGTTTCTGTCGAGAAAACTACATTGTCGAACAGATATTTTATAAAAGTAAAGACGGTACTAAGATACCAATGTTTATAATTCGTATGAAACGAGATACTATTGAGCCCCGACCTTGCCTTCTCTACGGTTATGGAGGCTTTAATATTAGTATGCTTCCATGTTTTGGGCTCACTGGGTATGTATATTAAAAAGCTGATGCATTATTGAGATTATATCTAACCAATCGTACAGACTTATGTTTATAGATACCTTTGATGGCGTGTTGGCTTATCCAAACTTACGTGGCGGTGGAGAATACGGCGAAAAATGGCATAATGATGGTCGTTTGTTTAATAAGCAAAATGTGTTCGACGACTTCCAAGCATCAGCTGAGTATTTAATTGATAATAATTACACGTCGAAAGACCGTTTAGTTATTCAAGGTGGTTCGAACGGAGGTCTCCTTGTTGGAACTTGTATTAATCAACGTCCTGATTTGTTCGGAGCTGCTGTAGCGCAAGTTGGGTTCGTATATAGTTTTACGTGCAATACAAATTATTTGCTTTTGCATTTATTGAATGCATATATAAAAATTATTCGAAAGCAAGTCGATATCACCATGTACGTCTATCCGCTTGGGCTTTCTATGCAAAACGGTTACTACTCAGAATTTGTTCATATACCATTTTGTAGTGCTGCAGGCAGTATAGAAGTGGGACTGTATAACATGTAAATACAGTGCCGTTCAACTGAATAGGATTCATTAATTGTTCTGGATTCTGTTAATTAAGTTGGGCACATGTATTTATGTACATACATGGTTATATCCGCTTGGATGGACAAGAACATAATATAATATCATATACTTTAAGCGTCGAAGACGTATATAGATACGTTGTTTGTTTATAATAATTATACTTACACACTCTTAACTCTTCAACAGAGTAATGGATATGTTACGGTTTCATAAATTCACCATTGGACATGCATGGTGCTCAGATTATGGAAATCCATCTGAAAAGGATCACTTCGAAAATCTTTACAAGTTTTCTCCACTACATAATGTACACACACCCGGTAGTAACGAAAAGGAGTATCCGTCAACTTTGATTTTGACGGCCGACCACGATGATCGTGTCAGTCCCTTGCATTCATTCAAATTTACTGCCGCATTGCAAGAAGCTGTACGCAATTCCAAATTTCAAAATAATCCTCTATTATTGCGGGTTTATACAAAAGCCGGCCACGGTGCCGGCAAACCAACGTCCAAAAAAATTGAAGAGGCAACGGACATTCTAACGTTTATGTCTAAGAGTCTTAACGTTGATAAAATCAATTTAAATAGTGAACAATAAGAAAAATGCATTTTCAAATATTAACTATATGTAATAGAAATGTTTATGAAAGGCAGCAACCAAAGCAACGAAAGGTTGTTTGTAGTAATACATTTATTGGAATTTTATATATAATGTTGATTATCCACTATCTTGTGCTATGTGTATGCGTATGCGTATACAAACGTTTGAACTGTATTCAGTTCCGAAAAAGCCTTTTAATAAATATTTGAATGTTTCAAGAATAAGTTTTGTCTATTTGAACACCATATTTAGGTTTTGACCCAAAGCGACCTTTTCTGTTAGATTTGGGGTTTTACAACTTTTGATGTTGTTTTATATTACAAAATTTGTTAGGTATTTTTAATGTTGTTTTCAGAGTTGTGCTTCTTCGTTTCAAATAACTTAAGTATCTATCTGGTTGTATTGAACTTTGCAATTCGGAAAATCCTGATAAATTCAGCTATAAATCGGACCCACACCAATTGCCGTCTGCGGTATATTTTTTTAAATATATCTTGGGCTTACTTTTTTAGGTTAGATAGATACATTAATTAGGCGTCGTTTTAGGTATCGTTTGTAAAAATCTATGGATAAACGGCTAGGGTGTGTAGCCAAATCTTTGACCAAATCTTATAATGCCGCATTTACCGTAAAATTCCGTTACTTCCCAAATTTCATTTTACCGTTAAAAACTGATACAATTAAAAAATTCTGGTATTATTTCTAAAGAAAAAATTGTCTTATACCAACTCAGTATATGGATATGCATATATAATATAATATTATATATGTACTGTAGTAAAATTATTTATCTCAAATAAAAAAGTGATAGATGTATATTATCTGATACTTATGTACGAGTTTATATTATATAATTTTATATATATTAATACAATTATACCGATTCGCCGCTGGAAAATTAGAAATACAAATGTTTTATCGATTGCTCCGACGATTACAAACCAACCCCACAGTCCTAAAAACCTTAGCAACGTAGGCTCGATATATTTTTTGTTATATTTGCCAAACATTTTGTGAGTGACAAAATATCATTTCAAATATTTTACATACGAATATATTTTTCTCAAAATAACATAACAATTGCAAAAAAATGTCGGACACTGATGACTTGGATTCGTGCGACTTTGCCAATGTTTCGGAAATGGAACCTCATCGGGCTCCTGAACCGGAACAATTGGCTATACTTCCTCCGAATCATCCGCTTCTGTACAAGTTTCAGCGATCGTTAAAAGATCACCTGTTACGTACTAAGCAAAAGTTAGAAAATGAAATTGCCGAAATTAAGTACCAAGTTAAGGCAAAGGAGAAACGACGGGAAGAGCAGGGCCTTACATTATATGATATGCAGCAAAAAATGGGTTTCCAAGAAGAACAGATTCAAGAAATATCTGCTGAAATCGATAGACACGTACAGAGCCGTCAAGTGGCAGAACTTGGAGTGAACACAGCTAAGAAAAATTACGAAGAAAAAGAAAAACTAACCAGATCTCAAAAAGCACTATATCATGAACGGATGGTGGAACTGGAAGATCTGCAATGTTTGGGTAGTAATATTAAAAAATGGGCCTTTGATGTAGAAGATGAAGTGAAAAATGCAAAACGTATTGTTAGCAGAGATGCTCAACTACAAAGACAGCTATCTCAGGAGAAACGCAAATCCGACATTCTATTTTATCGGTTAGATATGGAAGTTAAAAAAAGAGAAAGTGAGCTACAGTCCATTTGTGAAGAGGAAACAGCAATGAAGGATATAGTAAGCATTTTAAATATGAGTATAGCTGATGCCAATACTGATCTAGAGGTATTACAAAATGAGCATAAGCGCCTTTCTCAAGCTTGGAGCGAAGTTATTATAGCTATACAACTTCGAGATAAAATATTATTTCAAGTTCAGGACAATATGAGGTAAGGATAAAATAACTAATTTAATTACAAAAGCTTAATTTAAAATTTAACACTAGAAAACACAAAGAGTCAATAAAGCTAAATCTGGCCGGCATTGAAGCAATTAAGAAACAAATTGGAAAGGAAATGGATCTAAATAGAAAACTTGAATCATTTAAGCAAAGGTTAGCCGACGATATGAGCTCTTTGCAACGTGACTGTAAGTTCATTTTAATTTCCGCTTTAATATGTAATGTTTTTTAATTGTCTGATATTAATTCAAACTGACGGATTGCTTTAGTACTAAGACTAGATATTTGGTTTAATGCACTGCTAATACACTTTTACTCATAGAATGTGCTACCGTTGAAAAGGTCTTTGAATTTCAGATCTGTATAACCATAATTTAAGATTTTATTAGTGTTAATCCCTTTATTATCCTTTTACGAAACCTCTAGTAGAATTGTCCGTCGGTGCCGGTGTACAAAACCAGCACGAGCTAAAAATGGGCAACAATCTAGTTTTGTTCGGAGTTTTAAATTCGAATTTAAATTAAATGAAAATATTTTCATATCTAACAACAAATTATTTCAGGTCAACAAGAAAACGAAACGCTTTTTCGGTTACAAGCTAAGCTGGATGAGCTACCAGACTTCTTAGGAAGTACTGAAGCCGATCTACAAGAAGCAATTCGTGATGGCAACAGATTATTCTCGGAAATTCGGAAACTTGACTATTCCTTGGAGAAGTACCACCAAAAAAAATTTCGAACTGAGGAAGCAATATTAAAGTTGGCGCAAGACCAACTTGTAGCGGATAAGGCTACTGCTTATAGATTGAAATTATTAAATAAGTCTCAAGAACGTCGTCGAAATATTGATTTATCATTTTCAAAGGTACAGAGTCAATTGGCGTCCTCTATGCTCGACGTGGAAAAACTAAGAAGTTCAGTTTTAAAAACTAAAACCCAAAATGATCTAATTACACAAAGTCTAAACCAATCTGAGTTTAAATCCAGCACTCTTGAGACAGAGCTAAAAAAAATGCACTCTAAAATTGAAGTTAAAATGAAATTATTTGAAAGGGTCAGCAACAAAATAGAAAACATGCAAAAGTTATTTGGTGAAGCCTCTGGTAGCCCTACTGAACTAAAGGTAATATAGTATTTAAATGCTAAAAACTTTCTTTCTTTAAACAAACTTTACCAACTCCAGATAAAACAAATTGAAAAATCAATTCACGCTGGTGAACTGCAAATCCGTGAGCACCAACAATTTTGGATAATGCTGCAGAATCATTTTGTTAATTTGTCGCAAAAAAGAAACGACCAGCTTAATGAAATTCAAGTCACTCGCAAACGTAAGTCAAAATGGTACTTATACCCGTATACTATAAAATATAAAAAAATGTTATGTTGGTTCGTAAATCCTCGAAAACTTCTCCACCGATTGAGATCAAATTTGGTACATTATGTGACAAGCTTGCGGGAACCGAAGGGCAGTGTTTTTTACTGGGCATCTGGAGCGATTGAGAATCGCGGTTGCTCTACGACTAGAGCATAACAGCTTTGTTATTTTGTGCATACATAGGTCAGTCAAGTCTCGGTCGAATGCTTGTGCGTCGTCTTGGAATAGTGCCGAACAATGGTCCCGTTGCTCAAATGCAGTACGTATCTTTGACATGATTCGGGCTACGTGCTTAATCGTCCGTGCTTATCTCGGAAGCGTAATTGATGTGATTGTTGCTAGTTGAGATATATGGACTGAGTAGGAAAACTTTGAAAGAAAAGCTTAAGTACGCTTTTTGGTCTGTTCGACAATGGCTGCGTTTTATCTTTTCGTGACTTGGAAATCATCGCGATACCAAAGTTTTTCGATTGCATTGGAGGGCTGCCAGATGTGTATAACCTTATCATACCTTTCTGGACTTTCGTTCACCTACCATTCAAAAATGGTAGGTGTAAACAAATGAATTAGGAGCAGGGGACCGAACTCATTTTAAATTTTTTTTCTTTATATAGCCCAAATGAGACACCGTTTGTGGTCCTTTTTTTATTTTTGCGATCGATTTGTACGTTAAGATTGCGTGTAGCGTCTTGACGCTTCTGTTTTTCACTATATCGTTCTGACTTTATATCTAGGTTCGTACAATGCTAGGCCTTTCCTAAGATCGACGAAATCATGGAAATGTTGGGTATCGCGTATATACATATGTATCGGCTAAAGTTTTTTATATTTATTTTTCTAAAAGCGATCACGGCCTTTTTTATTTATGACCCAGGTCGGATTGTCATTATGGCCGTTCTCAACAAACTCTGTTTCTGTGAGCTTTCGTAAGCTGGCGGGATGCGTATATGGTTCAGTACCAAAAAAGGACAGCGTTTTTTGTTGAGGGTGAAAGTAACATGCTTTCATTTTGTTCTTTACTTGTATGCGCCAATCTGAAAGCCATCTCTCAATTAAAATTAATATAAAATATTATATTGGAATGTAAAACATTACTGCACGAATGGGTCGAATGCCAAAAATTGGGTTGTCATGTATTGACTGGGAACAGTCAAATTGAGACATTTGCTTCATTTCTCTATACTGAATTATGCAAAGCGAAAACGTTACAATAACAAGTCTAGAGTGGCATAGAAAGACTTTTCGAAATTGATATTTATTTATCATTCGCCACGGTGTTTGGCATCGCGCTTTCTCTGTTTGAATAGTTTCTTAAGGGGTTCGGTCGTTTTCCCCAATGTTTTTCAATGTTAATTTAAAGAAGATATAATGGTTTACACATTTATTAGTTGCCTAACTGAAAAAACTTCGGCGCACCGAAGTTGGCTCTTCTGAACTATTTATTTAATAGCAATAATATTTGTATTTTGCAGAATTATCTATTATAAAACAGAAGTCTCTTAAAATTGATCAGGAGCTGGAAATTTCTGAAAATAAGACTAAAGACTTGTGTATGTATATACATAAATATACATCGAAATTAGAATTGCTTAACGAAAAAATGTACAAGAAGAGAATACACCATGATATGGAGGAGACTGAGTTTGAACACGAGCAGACTGAGCTCAGCCAAAAACTAAAGGTATGCCTATGCTCCCAAATTTACTAGTATTTTCAACAAATTTATCGTTTACTTCTCATCAGGAGGCCGAGCTTGGAATATTAAAGTTGGAGGGGCTGATATCGGAACTACGAAACGAAATTGAACTTCACAAAGACTTAGTGATAGAGAAACATAGAGAGGCATTATCTTGGGAGTCAAAATATAAATTACTTGAAGAAACAATTCAATGGTCAAAGACAGAGCGCTCATTAAATAGTGAAATAGGCTCCATGAAAACTGAAATTCATCGTATGAATATAAGATATAGCCAACTGAAGCGGGCACAGGAAAGACTGGTTCAAGACTTAGAACATTGTGTTATGCACCGTGAACAAATTTTTGTTAATGCAACTATTAAGGAACATGTAAGGGAAAAAATATTAAAACTTCAAACCGCCTCTCAAACTCAAGTACGACTTGATGAGGTTAACAATAGAGCAGTTCTAATACATAATGAAATAGAATTTCTAACAGAAACTCGTTTAATAGAAGATGTCAATAAGATTGAGCGCATGATTTTCATGTTAAGAAGAATACAATCAGACCTGAATAACATTAATGAAGATGATATCAAGATCAGAACTCAAATAGAGAATGCTCATTTGTCAAAGCATGCCAATTTAGAGCAAATTATTCGGAAACAGACTCGTGCTAAGGCTTATCGAAGGCTTAAACTGATGAAGTCACACCAAAGAATCGTTCGTTCGGAGATGACTGTTGATCAGCTTTCCCAAAAACAGTCCGATATGAACAGCAAGCTAATGGAAATAATTCAAAACTTGATAATAGAATACCCCGAAAAAAAAATATTCTTCACAAAAATTATTCATATCCTGAAGGAATAAATATCATGCAAGGTTATCTAATAAAAATCGATTTGTAACACCAACATTATTTAAATTAATATAATCAGGGACCGAAGTTAGGTTATGTTACTAAAATCACAAAATAATAAATGAATTAAAATTTTGTTTGATAATCTTCGTTGATAATATTTATTTGTATTAATTATTGATATATGTTCAAGAGTAAATCTAAATTGTGACAAACAAAAATTGGTTTGTTTGTTGGTCCGGGTACTAGACTTGACTCAAGACAGATCGCGATTTTTTTATCATAGGCATAGAACATTTACCAAGGTTTTTTTTAACTAACAGCGGACTTAGCTGGTTCATATATAACTTATGAAAAAACTCCTATTTTAAGGACCTGGACAAGTCCCATTTTATTGAAGGTGTTACAAACTTTGAGAAGTGTTGGACTAAGTGCATACGTAAACAATTTTGTATTGCCTACAGCTCTATTGGCCGAGACACTCTTTAGCCATATTGACCTTACCCCGCCAGTTAAAGTTATTATTTATTAGTTTACATTATTTAAGTCTTTCTTGAATTTTAGTGGGTCGCCCCTCCGATGGCCAGGAATACTTCGTTTACCAGGGGCTTCATCCTTCTAGTCTTCCGGTTCTAATGAGCGAGAGTGACCAACTGATATCGCGAAGTCCCCGCTGAACTGTGACCACGCACCAGCTCCTGGACTGTGACAGCCATGATGCCGCTGAGTCGACAATCTGGCGTCCCGTCCGAGGCAGCAGGGACCAGTGATGGACGGCGGAATTGTTGGTTCACGACCACGGGAAATAATATCGGCAACCGCCCATACATACGCCACCGTATCAAACACTGGGCTTCAGCTTCGAAAAGCGTAAGTGACTCAGTACTTAATTGTGGATATATTTTAAAATTTAAAACTTCCTTCACAGAGGACTGATTTACCCTACACTTTGCCCCAAATCGAGTCGTATCCGATTTCTCCCCGCTCCGGATCCCAGAAGGACAGAAGCGAGCCAAAAAGCCAACGTCATCCTTCGACCTGGCCATCGACAACAACGATTTTGACTATGGCAACCAAGGCAAGGGCTACGCAGGCTACTAGACTCTAGATAGACATCGTTGTTTTCAGGTTTAAGGATATACATACGCATCTATATGGATACAAATGTTTTCCACTTGCTTATTTATTTGTACTGAGCTAAGTTATGATAAATAAATCAAAATATCATCATTGCTGTATCCTGCACCGGTGAAACTATGCCGATTACAAACAAATAGCGGAGAAACTAAATATTTTGGACTGGGGAAAATGTCCTTGATCCTTGATAAATACTCCTTTAAATCAGGGACATTTGTTCCATCACAGGAAGCCATCGCACGCCTAAATCGGCCCACAGGACCCTTGGTCCTTGATAAGGACTCCATCAGATCCGGGACATTTTTCCGAACACAGGACGCCGTCGCACGCCCAGATCGGCCCATAAAAAGTGGAGAAAATTAATATTTTTGATCCTTCATATCCTTTGTCCTTGAAGAGGACTTCATAAAATCAGGGACAATTTTCCGAACTCAGGAAGCCGTCGACGTCCCGATAGGGCCTCAAATAACGGACTAAACTAGATATATATGTCTGTTGAAAATACCCTTGATCCTTTATCCTAGATAAGGACTCCATCAGATCAGGGATTTTATTCCGAACACTGGAAGCCGTCGCCCTTCCCGATCGGTTCACAAATAAGGGAGCAAACAAGATATATATATGTCTGATCCTTGGTCCTTGAAAGGGACTTCATAAAATCAGGGACATTTTTCCGAACACAGGAAGCCGTCGCACGCCCAGATCGGCCCATAAATAACGGAGAAAATGGGTATTATTTATCCTTGATATCCTTGGTCCTTGAAAAGGACTTCATAAAATCAGGGACATTTTTCCGAGCACAGGAAGCCGTCGCACGCCCAAATCGGCCCACAAATAACGGAGAAAACAAAGCAAAAATGGGCAAAAACTGGATGGGACACCAGGCCAACAGAAATCAGCAGAAGGTAACTGAATTTTTTTTTAAAAAAATTTTGTTCCCCCAAAAGTATGCACCATTTTTTTGAAATTGTTACAGTTGCTTGCTGCTGATTTCTGTTCGCCTGGTATCCCATCCAGATTTTGGTCATTTCACGCGAGTTTTTTCTTTTGTACGGTGGCGCCCCTATATGCGATTTCTTGAACTACATTTTTAAAGCCAGCTATAGGCCCGTTTTGTTTTCTCCGTTGTTTGTGGGCCGATTTGGGCGTGCGACGGCTTCCTGTGTTCGGAAAAATGTCCCTGATTTTATAAAGTCCATTTCAAGGATCAAGGATATTTTCTCCAGATATATAGATCTAGGCGTGCGATGGCTTCCTGTGATGGAAAAAATTTCCCTGATTTAAAGGAGTCCTTATCAAGGATCAAGGACATTTTCCCCATTAAAAAATAATTAGTGTTCTCCCCTATTTGTGAACCGTTATGGGCGTGCCACGCCTTTTCTTATTCGGGATATTTTCCCCCATACAGGATACAGCGAGGATAATTTTTCAATCGTTTTATTCAATATAACTTAGCTTAGTAGAAATAAATAAGCAAGTGGAAATAATATCTAGTATCTAAATATATAGACGCGTATATCCTTAAACCTAACAACAATGATACCTATCTAGAGTCTAGTAGCCTGCGTTGCCCCTGTCTTGGTTGCCATAGTCAAAATCGTTGTTGTCGATGGCCAGGTCGAAGGATGACGTTGGCTTTTTGGCTCGCATTTTGCAAGGGGTGCCCTTATGTCCTTCTGGGATACGATTCTGTCCGGCTGGCATACTTTGATAGGACTCCGTCTAGCGGGGAGTACTCGGATACGACACGATTTGGAGCAAAGCGTAGGTCAGTCCTCTGTGAAGGAAATTATATTTTAAAATATATCCACAATTAAGTATTGAGTCACTTACGCTTTTCGAAGCTGAAGCCCAGTGTTTGATACGGTGGCGTATGTATGGGCAGTTGCCGATATTATTTCCCGTGGTCGTGAACCAACAATTCCGCCGTCCATCACAGGTCCCTGCTGCATCGGACGGGACGCCAGATTGTCGACTCAGCGGCATCATGGCTGTCACAGTCCAGGAGCAGGGGCGCGGTCACAGTTCAGCGGGGACTTCGCGATATCAGTTGGTCACTCTCGCTCATAAGAACCGGATGGCTAGAGGGTTGAAGCCCCTGGTAAACGATGGTGGGCATAACGTTGTTCGCGAGCACCCAAGAAGTATTCCTAGCCATCGGAGGGGGACCTACTAAAATTAAGGAAAGACTTAAATAATGTAAATGAATAAATAATAATAATACCTGGCGCGGTCGCTATGTCAGGACCCTCTTGGTCCCAGCTGCTGGCGCGATGCACGCGATCGTAGATGCCGGATCCAGCAAATTTAAAAAATACCTTTTTTATTTGATTGTCTAAAATAAGGAAACGTTAGTATGAATGGAATGTAAATGTGTATGGAATGTATGTTTCACAACGTACCCGAAAATAGAGAGCCACTACCGATTCGAAGAGAGCCAATAACCGATTCGAAGAAAGCAGTTCGCCATAATCGGTAGAGCTGCGCTCCAAAGTCGTAATGTTTGAAAGTTAATGGAAAAAGTAAAATAAGTGATGCACGGAAGTACGATTTGGGAGATCAAAAATTAAAAAACATGAGTATGGAATATTCTATCCCCTATGTTCCTTAGTATATAAAAATTGAGGAATAACATAATAACAGAACGATTCGATTACAAATTAATAGTTTAAAACTACACTCCACGAAAACGATGAATCTTAAAGAATTTTAACGCAGTTTAAGTGATCTTGGTCTTTTTTAAGTAAAAATTAAGGATAGTATGGATGTGCACCCTTCTTGCTGTCCTGTTTAGAAAAAGGGGGTGTAAGTGGTCGAAATTCGGCTCTTCGTCAGTATATTCACGGTATATTTTGATAATGAAATGGAAATGCAACGAAAAAATGAGTCTTCATTTTAAATGGGATATAAATAAGGTTATGCACAACTGGCAAAAGCAGCCCAGGTAAATTGCAAGGGTAGCACAAACCTCACCTCGCCGTGTTTTGACCAACAATATGCCTTGAAGACAAAATCGCCTTTTTGTACCAAGGTATATTATGAAAAAGGGGTGTTTTTACCTTTCATGCGTTGCATTTTCCTGGCCGTTTTGCCCGTTGTCCATACCCTCTTTTTCCTCCCATTGTGTAGAAAATGTGTAGTTTCCAAGTAGCAAATGAGCAAATGTAAACATTGAAATAATCTAAATCACAAAGCATTGAAAAATTCATATAAATACGTTTTCGCAAATAAACAAGAATATTTGACGGAGACTAATTGAAAGAAAGATCCCACAAAATGGAACGTAATAATGGGTAAAGTTAAATGGAACGAATAACTGCGTGATGCAAAACTAAGTGTGCTATTGTGATAAACGGGGAAATTTTGACGTGTGTGTTTGACGGCAAAAACTGTTTACATACATAGCCACATAGGTATATACATTTGTATGTATGTATGTTTTTTACTGTTTTCTTTCACAGACGCTACCCATATATACGCCGCCAAGGCAGTGGGCACAACAATTATCACCATCACCACAACAACAATGCAAATTCCACATCATCGACAGCAGGATCAACAAATGCAACACAATATTCCAATCATAGCATTAACAACTCTCCATCCGTGGGCATGAGTACGGGGGCACACAACAGTAATGCAATATATGCAGCGGCGGTACCGCCATCACAAAATGTGCCCATTTCCCAGCATGACGAATTGATTCGGTACATAAGGGAGGCCTGGAACAAGGTAAGCGTAAATCAAAGCAGAAGATTATATGGAATACTAAATTTTGACAATGGATTAAAGCTTCTGCCCGCCGGAGCTACTTTTAATAAATTCGGTTGCTCATCTTGCTTTGCAAACATTTCTTCTAATATTTCGACAGGTTTATGAGCAGGGCACACCTGTTTACCGCAACGAATCTGATAATCAATTGAAAAATTTCAAGCCATTTAATTTGGAGGAGTATTGGGGACAGCGTCTGGTCCAGAATATACACGTGACGACGACAAATGCCAGCGGACATCAGTAGACCGAGAATCGAAAAAAGGACGGTGGCTTGTGTTACATGGTAGAAATAAAAGAAATTAAAACCTGTGTGCCTATTCCGTTTTTTTACTTATTCCCATGTTATTGAAATTCAAATCTACCACATTGTTTAAAACCTGCTTTTGGACCATTTGTGTGTATACAGATTGATTAAAAACACTGCCAGCTGAAAGGCAAATTATGTATTGAATAAAACTATAATTGGTATAAAGATCGCCCTACATGTAGCATGCTATCTGCATTTATGTAAGTGTTGTGCGTTGTGCGCGCTTTTCAGTTGTCAAAAACAACAGTAATAAACAGTTAGTGGCTAGGAAAATAATCGTGTTGTGTGTTATTGAATAGACGGCCGCTCGCTTAATCTCATCGCAGGTAAAAGTAAAATTGTTTATCTATAATTGAAACAGTACAATGGGAGCCAATTGGGTGTGGAGGATTTGCAGGAGGCGGAGTTGTGGTGGCACTGTGGCAGCTGTTTTGTGGTGGTGGTGCTTGTGATAATAGTGTGGTCCTGGCTGTTGTTTTTTTTTTTTGTTTGGGGATCTGTTGTTCTTGTAGGTGGCAGGCACACGACATTAGTCATATATATATTTACCTGGTGCGGGTGCTGCTTGATTGGTGCTGACACTGCGTGGATTCCGATGAACAGCCTTTCCATTTTCCAATTTGGCATACCTTTTTGTGGGCAACTAAAACACTGTAATTTTTTCTGCTAATTGAAAGCATCCTTAAATTTGAGTTTCCTTTTTTAACATTAAAGTAACAAATGAAAACGAAGCGAACACTGCTTTTTGTATTGAAGGGCATTTTGTAATTTATAAAATTATGTTTTATTTTTCGTTCACTGTTTACATGCCCGTTCTACTCCAAGCTTTTGTTGTTTAAACTGAAGCTTAGACCATTTTGCGCAACAGTCGGTTGATGTGGTCTTCACGGTTGCCGAAATCACCTCCGTTAACGTAGTGATTGGCCTTCTTGCGCCAGCCACCGGTGGGGGTGTTCAGCTTAAACGGCCACAGGAAGTTGGAGGCGTACTTGAAATTGGGTCCAACGGTGAAAATCTCATGGACCAAATCCTCAACGCACTGAATATTGTGAGCCTGGCGCAGTTTGCGCTCAATCACAAAGTTGTCAGTGATGGGGACACGCTGACGGCTGTGCTTGACATAGCCGCGCTTGTAAATAAGCTCGCGCACCGACTTCAGGTTGGGGTAGCCCCAGGTGATGTAGGGCTCGGCAATACGCAGCATGTTGATGGTAGCCTTGTTCAACTTGATGAAGACACCATTGTTGATTTGGCGCAATCGGAACAGCTGCAAAACTTTGCGAACCTTGGGGGCAACCTTGTTGATACTGGAAGATAATTAAAGGTTATTAAATAAACAGTAGAATAATAAGCAAAACATTACATACCCACGGATACGCACGACAAATGCCAGCTTGGCCTCTGCGGGCACATAAAACTGGTTGCGCTTCTTGGCCAGGCGACGCAGCTTAATCTCACGCTGGTCAGATTTGATGTACTCATTCTGGTACTTTTCGGCACGGACCAGATTTTCCTTCTTGCGCAGCGCAATCACAGCGGCTCGCTTGAGACGACGCTTTGACTCAGCGGCACGTTTGCTGATTTGTTTCTTGCTGAATTTCAGCTTTGATTCCGGCACAGCCGGCAGCTTCTTTGCTGCAGGTTTCTTGACGACCGTAGCAGGCATCTGTTAATGACACAAAATAATTGCATTTAAACACAGTCTCTTTCAAATATTATGTATATTTCACAGAAAATATTACTAACCTCTTACTTGACACTGCACACGTTGGTAAAAGAAAGGGAAAGAAAGAGCGGAAGCATGTACTACGCCATGCTCCAAACGTCAAATTTCGATCAAAGCAACTCTGCCTTGCAGTGCTGTAAAATGATTCGCTAATGTAGAGTTGCATGGACGTGAAATATCAGTAATACGGCCACACTAGAAAACATCGATAAGTGAACTATTTTTACAGAATTACCTTCTCTAGAAACGTAGAAAAAATAGGATTGCGCGAATTTTTTTGTATTTTGTTTGATTTGCTTGCTTGCATTAACTTTGTTCGGTTCTGGTTTTATATTTCGTTTACAACACGTGCGGGACACCTAACACATAAAGAACCACGACATACTTGCGAGCATAGCATATTATTCGTGTAACCCAGCAAATTAACTCTGCCTTTATTTGCAATTCGACTGTAATGAGTTCTCCACAAAGTCCCGTTTACCGTACCCCAGTAGAACAAAAGCGACATGCTCAGGATGTGGCCAAAAGACACCGTACGGGCATGCCAAAACTGCGTGATATGTTGCGCGAGGTAATGTATAACCCTTTTCAGCTTTGCAACATGCATATTTACAGTATTCTCTCCTTGCAGAAGTACCGCAAACGTATTATAGAGACTCGCACAAGATTAACAGATGCCAACCGCACAGTGCAATTGGTACGTGAATGCCAAAGACTCGGGAGCTATGTATATTGAATCATGGTTTTTCACAGGCTGAACTTAAAGAATTTCTTCGCACGGAGCTAAGCGAGTTTGACAAAGACTTGGAGTTGGAACAGAACATTCTGGACGAATTACTTTCTGATGTAAATGAATGGTATGCGTTGGGCGAACAAAATTTGGAAACGTACGTGGAATCAGATGCACCAATACAGCAAAATGTTCTGTGCCCTGTCTGCCTTATAAAACCATTGCAACGTCAGGAAACTGTCTACCGGTGTGAGTGCGGAATTCAGTTTGAGCATACATCTAACATGGAACAACTGGAGAGGAAAATACACCAGCAAATTGCATCACATGAAACTAAGTGTACTCAGGCACTGCGTTTCTTTATAGAGCCTTCCACCGGTCGCCTTTATAATATGTGTGGAAGTTGCGATTATTTCTCCTCCATTTAGTTTATATTAAGATGAACTTTTCAGATGTCTGCGCCCAAGAACGTACATATTTAATACTAATGTTAATTCATATATAAACAAGCAACTTAAATAGATTAAGGAGATCATATAGGAAAATCATTACCCTTTTTGTTTCTGGTCCAATTGATAAGTATTTTGGAACTGATCATAGATCATTTGGCCTATGACTCAAAAAATTGCTCCAGAATCTCAGTATCGGAGAAGCTTTTTCCAGTGCGCACGTGCAAGATCCCTCACGTCAGTGCAGCATCGTCTCTACTTCGCTACTTTTACGGCGGGTGATCATACGTTTAGTGTGCTGTCATGCTCCGCCGTAGACGGTTGTCCGATTCTCTTATTCTCGCAAAACGTGTGCATACCTAATTATCTCTTATTTTGTTTATATTAAAAAAAAAAATTACTTAAAAGTAATTGGAGACCGAAAACGCTCCCTTAAAACGAAATTAATTTTGTAAACTACTCGCATAACACATATTGCGATAGCAGTAATTGCAGTGCATATTTTCGAGTGCGGAATAATTTGTTTACTTTAAACATTTTTCCTGGTCTTTACCTTGTACAGACCATTTTAAAGTGAATACGAAGGGAATCGAATTTATTTATGGATAAATATAAAAGCGTCGAATGTGCGCATTTGTACGATAATGTTTTAAAATGAAACAGTTCTAGTGATATTCTTAAAAAGATATCTCTACGGGTCTACGATATCTAATACGATCTACTTACTATATAAAGTTCTGAAAGGATTACAAATACTGTAAATAATTTGGATATTTTGGTCGATATGACGCAGTTGTTTAATATTATCCACTGCAATAATTTAAATGGCCGAGTTCGCTCCATTTATGAAAATTTAAATACAAATGTTTGTGGCATTGACCGCGTGAAGCTTCTTTTTACTTGTCTAAGCATATTGATATTGCTTTTTGCCTGTTTTTTCCTTTGGAATAAGTATGAAACGTGAGTATTGATAAGTTAAAGACAAATTTCTTAGATTTAGCTTATGCGCTAATCAACTAAAAAGCCATGGAATGATAAACTAGACTACTATTATTATGATTAAACGTTCATAACTAAATATAACTCTGTTTTTTCTTGCAATCAAATGATGTTTCAATCTGGATGGTTTTCAATATGTGAATAGACATACAAAAAACGAAGAAGAGGTTGTTAGTACAGAAAGTTGTTAGGTTAATTTATGATTTTATAAACTCCCACTATACTTAATATCTTAATTAACATTACTGGTAAATTATTATAATTGTTTAATATTTCTTTACGACTTTCTATGAAGTACATATTTATGTAGTTCGATTCTGTTGTATTTGGTTTTTTTTTTCAATTGTCTATGTATTTCAAAATCCACTTAAACGTCAATAATTGATATCCGGAACTAAAGAGCATATGATATCAAGTATGTACTCCATGAAATCGAAATCATGGAGGGTGCAGTACCTTTAAACTCGTCGCGTGGCATAGTTTTTTGAAAGAAATATCTCAATTGCATCTCCACTTCACTTTTCTATTTGTGTCTGTGTGAATGCACCGGAATTCTTATGTACTTATGAAATGAAATAAGGTATCATTAGGACAACTTTAATATTTAGTAATACTAACTAATAACAACTAATACTTTACGCAAAGATCACGAAACTTTATCATGTGCCGCCTTTTCAATGCAGGTGTCATAAAACATTACTAAAGTTTCACAATTTACGTGCAGCTGTGTCACTGCTCATGTTGGCTGGAAGTAGCCTGGATCTAGCCAGGAGCTTACTGCCCCAACGCAGTGCACGGCAGCTCAGTCGTCTTTTTGACTTATGGAATAGAGACACAAATTTTCTGGTTATAATAGGAGCGGGAGAAGCGTGGAATGCGCTTGCTTCCACGATATTGACAATTTTGCTAATGTGTTATCATCGTGTTATAGAGCGCAAGAAGAAGACAGGTGAGTGCCTTCGAATGCCTTTGGGTTGTGCAAGGTACATGATATAAAATTCTCGCATTAAATAATCGAGCATATTTTCATCCCTTAGTGTTTTTGTACGCGAGCATGGCCGTGGAGGTATTGACTCTCGCTCTGCGTTCCAACGAATTGACAGAGGTTGCTTACTACGAGGAAGTACTAGAGCTTCAGACGTGCCTTGTGGGTATGTCTGTTTTATGTCTGCTGGTATTGGCTTCGTTGGATGGTTACACTATATATAATGAGGTATAGATTAAACTAAGCTGCAGTAGAGCATATTTAAGTTAACTATCTGAAATATGGCCGCTAAAAACTAGAGAAAACTTGACGTTAGCATGTCCCTCGCCAGCAATTACAAACGTTTTATTAAAATATTTATTTTATTCAACAAGTAACTCGCTAAACAATGGCACATAACAGAGGTGGAACAAACATAGTAATGTGGTTTGCAAGCTTACGTTTTTAAATAGGTTAATCGCAGATTTTAAGCTTACGGACTTCTATGCTTGGTAAATTGTTTATTCATACATTTGTACAAGTGGCCTTGCACAGCCATAGATTTGAGCATGTTAAAAGACTACCTACATACGAGTATGTGTTTCTGGCCAAAGGAAAAGTCGCAGGGAAAACTGAAGTTACAGAGGACATAGTAGCTAGCGTAAACGGGCCAAAGATTAGCACTGGAGTCTTTGGTTATCTTTGATCACCTATGTAGAAGTACTTTCTAAACCTATTTCAAAAATATGAATACTCTAACCTACTATCGAAATTCGTATTCAATGGATTTTGCAGCACTTTCGTGACAACTACGTGGATGACCATGGAAAAATAGGCTATAAACATTCACTTGCAACATTTTATTCAAAATCTTGCTTCTGGTGGTTGACTCCTTTGCTGAGGTTGGGCTATACGGAACCACTAGAACTTGAGAACTTGGGTGCAATGAAACTAGAGGATAGCGCTAGATCGCATTACGATCACTTTTTGTATGTTTACACAGATGAGGTGGTAAGTAGCACGCCTTGAACATGTACTACCCATAGCACATATGGTACTATTTGAATACTTTCATGGGTTTCTCTTCATTTTTCTTGATCAAACGTATAACAGAAAAAGTCAAGTTCCTCCCCATCCTTATGGTATTGCTATATAAAGAACAGTTGGCGGATGTTTGCTTTGGGCGGCATTTTAAAGCTGGCGGGAGACCTATTTGCGTTGATCGGCCCACTTGCAATACAGCAAATAGTACAGTATATAGAAGAGCTTTATGCTACAGCGACCAATCCATCAAAACAATGGAATGCGAAAGACGAGGGTCAACCACTAATGTTGGCCTTCAATGTGAGCGATATTCATATTGGCCAAGTAAGAGTTTACTATGCCACCTGGTCGGAACTGCTAACAAACGGCTGGAGCATTGCTTGGATTGTTCTACTAGCTGCAATTACTCAGGGAGCCTTGTCCCAGGCTTCTACTCACATTCTTAATATGACGGGTATCTGGATAAAAACATCCCTACAGGGTCTAATTTATCGAAAGACCCTGCTATTAAATGCGACCAGCGGCTGTTCGGCTAATAACAGCATACGCCAAACTCCATTATCCTCAACTTCTACTCCGGTAAAAACGAAAAAAAACAACGCCAAAGATAAGATGAACACGGATTCTACCTCTAAAGAGGAACCCCCTGAAGGACATGCGGGATATATGAGCGGTGAGTGAAATTCTATCTCGGTTCCGTTTTTATCAGAGTAAAATGTTTTAAACTTTGAAGCTCTTGATTTTATGGCTAAATAGTTGATATGTATATGCATTTGAGTGGTTCAGCTTATTGTATAGCTTTGGGGTAAAAGAATAAATAAAATTAACATTTCCAGAAGTATCTCTCTATTATATAAAATAGTTTTGGGGTTGCGGTTGGCTTTCTGCTAGTATACATAGATCAAAATATCCTATTATTTCTTATTTGACAGATTTAAATCCCTCTAATGACATTGGCAGCATTACCAATCATATGACGGAAGATACACTAAACATAATGCAATTTTTCTGGATCGCCCACTATGCATGGGCTATACCATTTAAGGTATGTACTGAGAGTTGGCTCCTTAAAATTAAAATCGAGGAATTAAAGTAACAACCTTATCGTTCTAGATATCGGTGGTCATTTACTTGCTGTATCTCAAGTTGGGGATAAGTGCTGTCGTTGGAGCCATTGTGTGCATACTAATTATGACGCCACTGCAATTTCTCATTGGAAATGCCATGTCTAAAAACAGCGAAGTTATTGCGGTATGAACATATTAGTAGCTTTACTTATATATAGTTTCCATATTTAAAGTTTTCTTTTCGATAAATCCACGCAGAAATATACTGATGAGCGATTGAAGAAAATACACGAAACATTGATTGGTATCAAAATTATAAAGCTAAATGCCTGGGACGAGGTTTTCTTTAAAAAGATTCAGGTGTCACGCAAAAAGGAGCTCACATATCTCAACAAGGATGCCCTATTTTGGACGTTAATGAGTAAGAGTGCAATTGCGATATACTTGGATAGACTTTCCAAACTCATTGCTCTTTTTTTAACAGCTATTCTTACACATATTTCGACGGTGTTGATCACTTTTGTGACCCTCGGTGTTTATGTGTTGCTACCTAGGGAGGCGGACCTTAATTTAAACGCTAGTCGACTGTTCTCTGCACTGGCCCTTTTCCAGCAACTAACGGTCCCTCTGTTGATATTTCCGATTACAGTCCCAATTATTATAGCAGCAAGGGTTTCAACGCGTCGTCTGCAGCGATTTTTTGAGGCAAGCGAGATCCAAAAGCAGTTTGAGGGCATTCGAAATATGGCCAGGATATTAAGCAAGAGTGATGCCTCATTGGATATGTATGAAACGCAGGAGAAGTCCAACATGACAATGCGCACAGCACAGGCAGAAAGCATGCTGAATGAAAAGCACATTGCACAACGAACAGCAACGTTGGAACGGCCGATATCGACGTCAGAATCAGAGGACAATTCTGTGCAGACAACCAGGCAACATGATCAACAGGCAGCAGCCACCTCTCCATTGTTTTTTCAAGAGGTGGGCCATCAGAGGCTCGTACAGCAGCGCCGTGAACTGCTTCGCAACACACCGTACGTAGCCATTAGGCCACCGAGGCTGCAAGGAACCGTAGTGGAGAAACATCAGGAATTCTCACTGATGCGGGCCAGGAACACGGATAGCTGGAGACGTGATTCTCTCCTGCTAAAAATGCCCGATGACATTGCGGTGTCGATCAATGACGGTCTTTTCACATGGCATCCAGACAGTCACATTCCAATGGTGCAATTACACATTCAAGGGATAGTTATACCGAAGGGAAAATTGACGATTATTGTCGGAAAAAATGGCAGCGGAAAGACATCCCTCTTGTCGGCCTTGCTCATGGAGATGCCACTGTTAGCAGGAAATATGTTTTGGCACAAGTAAGTAGACCATTGCAGCTGGTTTAAACTAATTCATAGTTTAAAGATGGTTTTTAACAGAGTCGCATCCCTCTTGGCAAGCTTATTTTCCCACCCGAACACTTTGTTCTAGTCAAAACTAGGCTGCTTCTGACGATGCCATTCACGATGTTCTTATTTTTAAGATTAAGCACGTTTCCTTGTCTGCTTACACGGTTCACCAACAGAATGTCCTTTCATGCAAATTTGTTCAGCTATTTATGTGCTTATTTTCAGTTCTGCCAACAGCAATACCTTTGCGATAGCGTTTGGTGGATAAGTTTGTTTGCTCATTTATCACATTTAATTGCATAATTTGCACCTGTTTGCGTAGGCAGTTTACTCCGATACACACAGCTTTTTGTACACCTTGAACGACCGAAGGAAGTTTTTGTGGCATGCTCAGATTATCATGGAGAATGTTTAGTTTTGCAGTGTTAAAGAAGCTAAGAAATAAATTAACCTGAGCCTCCAGTTGAGCATTTTAAATGAGCTCCTCATAGGTAATGAAGAATCCTTGACCATAGTCACAGGGTAGTTTTAGTTGATGCAGCGAAAGAAGTCACAGCAGTCGTTCAACTTACTTTATCAGTCGTTTCAATGCACACCACGTGATTCAGTAATTTATCACAAAATGAATGTGTACGTTGTTAATTTTATTGCGCATAAAATAAAAATGGCATCGCCCTGCGCCCACTCTGCGCCATTCCTGAATCAAGCAGTGTCCCCGTAGTGGCGGGAGGGTCGATTGCAAGCACATAAAAATGCATTTAACAAGTTAAAATCGTGGGCGCAAGCCGCCAACGGGTGTGCACTTGCCTTCACAGCCTGAACCAATTCGATCTTCTGGCCTCTAGTTTTTTGCTTCCCAGTTTTCCTGGCTTCCTCCGGCAAACGGCAAATGTGCAATAATTTCAATTACTATAATAAATGTCTGTGCTAGTTTGAAACCGTTTTGTTCTGCATTGGTGTCTTCACCGTTCCACTCTCCACTTTCCACTTTCAATTTTTTCCTTTTGCAGATATATTTTTGCTTATTTATGTACGTTCAAGCCCACACGAATTTGAGACTTTTTGTATGTGTGCATTCCAGTACACATATTTTGTTGCCAATTTACGGGCTTAAGCTTCAACAAGGAACAGCGGAGGCGATACCAGTGCGATAGAGGTCCATTGTTTGATTCCTGTTCTAAACAGTCTCCTGAAATTATGCCTTTCTGGTGTTGTCTCCTATGCGCTTATGCAGAATAGGAGTATGCCAAACAAAATGCCTGCATACAAGGACACAATGGTCTCGCTAAAAGAATTCGTGCTATGAACCCAACAATTTTAAACATGTCTCAAATGCATGAGCCCAAAGACCTGACCTGTTTTTACGTTTACTGACCGTCCTGCATATAATCACAGCTTACGGTGCATGGAAAATTGATCGAAATTAGTATTGGTCCAATCACTAAACAAAGTTAAGTTAAGTCAAAATTGGTGAGCATAACGGGGTATATGAATTTCGACCAGGTATATGTAATATCTTCCCAAGAAAAGACTTCAAAAATAATCAATACCATTAGGATCTTACTTAAAGGCCCTACTTAAAGATTGTGCATGTAAGAGGTACCTTTTTTTCAATTGTCCATACACATAAAAAGTTCATCTTATCGACCTTTTTTTTCCTCCAGAACATGTACGATTTCTTATGTGTCTCAACAACCGTGGCTGCTCAATGACACCATCCGGGAAAACATTCTTTTCGGCGAATCCTTTCGACCCAGCCGTTACGATTTCGTGATAGAAGCATGTGCCCTTAAGCCTGACATTGAAATAATGCCAAAAGGCGATTTCACCATTATCGGAGAGCGCGGCATCAATATATCAGGCGGACAGATACAGCGAATTGCTATTGCGCGTGCGATCTATTCATCGGCTAATGTGATCATAATGGTAAGTTAGTTCAAGGTAAACTATCAAGAGTGAAACCGTAAATCCTTCATAAGATAAAAGACAACCAAAGGTGAAGAAGGGCTGCAACCTTTTGGTACTTTGTTTCATGGTAAACAAGTTTAGTGCCACTGTCTGTTATAGAGAATACGTGAAAAGGAAAGGGAAACTAGGAAAGGAGAGGACGCGAAAGGGATTGGGTGGAAATTTGAGAAAAGAAGACTGATGGCCTGCAACGCAGAGAAGGAACAACTTTGGACTTGGTCCACCTATCTTCTGCACGAGGAGTATTTATTCGTGACCATATATTATGGTGGCTATAATAGGAATTATCGATCTAGAGACTGGAATTTCTTTCCTGTTTTTAACGAATCGAGTAACCATTGACTGGCGTGCCTGTAGTTTAGTACCGCCGGTAGTATCCCATCAATTATTCATCGTTATATTTTTTGTTTCTTCCAAAATGTCGTTTGATCAGAAAGAGATTTTTAGTTTGATGTACAAGCTGGCGCGGCTCATAGTGCCTGATACCCGTGTTGAGTATGATTCAATGGGGGCAATTCACGTGCCCCTCGATCGTTTGTATGGGCCGCAAACAATGCGGTCCTTACTGAAGTTTCCGATTGGTGGAGTGAATGAACGCATGCCAGTAGGGCAAATGCATTTTTGTGAAGTATTTATAGTTAATAGATTTACCCTACAGCGACCCATTATTATAGCATTGGCCATTGTGAAAAAAGCCGTTGCTGAGACCAACAAAATGTCTGGCCTAGAGGAGCGGTTGTGCGATGCTATCTCTAAGGCTTGCGACGATATCATATCTGGCAAGCTCTACGACGAGGACCATTTTCCACTAGTTATCTGGCAAGCCGGATCCGGCAGACACACAAATATGAATGTAAATGAGGTTATTTGTAACCGTGCAATCGAGATACTCGGCGGCCAGAAAGGCACAAAGACGCCTGTGGATCCCGATGAGCATGTGAACCTATCACAAAGCTCCAATGACAGCTTCTCCGCGGCTATCAACATTGCAGTCGCTATGCAGTTGCGCGATAAACTGTATCCGGCGTTGACGCTGATTATTGAGCTATTGAATAACAAGGTAAATCAGTGGAAGGACATTATCAAAATTGGACGAACCCACCTGATGGACGCTGTTCCGCTGACGCTCGGCCAAGAATTCAGCGGCTATAAGCAACAACAGGCCAACTGCCGGGAACGACTAGACACAGCTCTGACCCGGCTATACCAACTCCCTCTTGGCGGCACCACAGTCGGAACAGGGCTAAACACTAAAAAGGGGTTTGCCGCTGAGTGTGTGAAACGTGTAGCCGACCTAACAAGTCTTCCCTTCGTTAATTCGCCCAACATGTTTGAGTCTATCTCCTCGTGTGATGCCCTGGTGGAAGTGCACGGCGAGCTGAACACTCTAGCAGCCAGCACAATGAAGATGGCGAACGATATTCGTTTCCTGGGATCGGGTCCGCGATGCGGTTTGGCTGAGCTGAAACTCCCCGAAAATGAGCCGGGAAGCTCGATTATGCCAGGCAAAGTGAATCCGACACAGTGCGAAGCTCTCACCATGATCTGTGCCCAGGTCATGGGCAACCAAGTAGCGGTTACATTAGGCGGTTGCAATGGGCACTTTCAACTCAATGACTTCATGCCGATGATTGCCTCAAATGTGCTTCGCTCGATAACACTTCTGGGAGACGGAATTAAATCTTTTTGCAAAAACTGCCTCAGCAACATCGAACCAAACACAGACAAGATAAATACTATCATGAGTCAGTCCCTGATGCTGGTTACTGCCCTAAGCCCTCATGTGGGGTATGAGCGGTCAGCTGCAATAGCCAAAGCAGCACATCAAAGTGGTACCACGCTGAGGGAGGAAGCCATAAATGCAGGCATTTCGGCGGATGACTTTGACGAGTGGGTGCGACCTGACAAGATGTTGGGTCCCAATTAGCTGTTCCTACAAATTTGAAATAAAGTCGTCATTATAATTATGTCTGTAACAAATATAACGAATATAATTTTCAATATGAGCTTTATTGTGTATTCTCGGAACAGGATGATCCACTGTCCTCGCTGGATAATGAGGTCGGGTCCCAAATCTTTCAGCGTTGCGTGAGCCAGATGCTGCTGAAGTCAAATCGCACCTTTATACTTGTGACACAACAATTAAATCTCATAAAGGAGGCGGATTACGTACGTTTGTGCCATTTCCACGAAGAGGCTCTAAAGTACCCGTAGCCGAGACTATTTTCTTGTTTACGGCTACACATTTAGAGTTTAGCTTGGACAGAAGATGGAAGTTAAGCTAGTTATTATTTTTATTACATTAACTGACAGGTAATCGTCATGAAAAATGGTCGCCTCCAAGCTTGCGGCAGTTATGGGGACATAGAATCGAAGCACCCGCAGATACCCGCCAAATGGAATTCTATAATAGCAACATCAAATGCAAAGAAACAGAATGATGCACAAAAGTGAGTATGTTATCATCATATATTAATTATAGTCCAGTTTAATACGCTTCATACATACATGCTTCATATAAATATTGTGTTCTTACAGCCATGTTGAACGAACGGCATCTGAGCGCTGGAAGTTGCTGAAGAATGTTAGCAAACTGGGACTTCAGCGCTCGATTTCAGTGACCATAGATGAAAATGGTGGAGGCAATACGGATGGACACGACGACAGCGTTTCTTTATCAGTGACCCATATGCACGACAACGACATTGAGGAGGATGAAGAAGACAATGAGATATCGGCGGTAAGTGCATAGTAAGTTAATGTTATATCCGGATTGGTTTTTGAGCAGTTCAATTTATGTTTCTATCTTGTTAGCCGTATCTTCTTTCCAATGGAAACTGCTGCAGCTTCAATTTGCAGCGAAAGCGATCTAGCGTCTATGGCTCACGACATCTGATCTATGATGTGCCCCTACCAATCGATGAGTGCCAGGCAGATGATGTCATTATGCGTCCACGTCGCCGGCAAATGATTCATCGTCGAGGCAGTAGGACTACCAACTCTTGGCATAGATTGAGCGGCCTTAGCACGCTAACGGCTACCTCAGCTTCCAGTTCTAATAGCGGAAATCCAATTCATCGCAGCGGGCTAACTTCCAGCGGTAGTAGCTATGCAGAGAGCAATGCAGACGGGATCGAGATGGATATGCCGCCGTTGTTGCAAGACCCACGAATAAAGTCATGGCAGCCGACGAAAAACCTGCAGCATCAGCTGCTGGCTCGGAATGCGTCTTCCCCGCCGGCCATGGAAGTGGCGGTTGATAGGCCTCAATGCGCTGAGGTGGGGATTGAACGGGTTACAAAGACAGAAGCAACGTCGGAGGATCAGGTTCGTGGCAGCTTTCAGCAGTTTTTGCGGCGAATGTCCATGCGGCGCTCTAATAAGCCCAAGCACCACCATCAGCCGCTGAGCGCCACCAACTCGATTCTGTGAGTAATATACTGACCGCATCGTATATTGCAATATTTGTGTCTTGCCCTTATTTTCTTTGGTTACATGCATTTACAGGAGCATCTCTGAAGAAACTGCTGCTACTTCTGCTCTTCAAGCCGCCGATCGTGGATCCATACCCTCCTCACCTGCCTGCATATATAACTCAGATGCGAATGATTCGGAGGGACAAATGGATAAACAGCTGCCATTGATGAATGCGACCACGAAAAGTAGGCGATACCACATAGATAAATAACTAGATAGTTGCATATATGAAACGAACTTTAATTCAATATTTTAAATTTAATTTTACTTTTACTCAGGTGTAAATTTAGACTACAAAGACGGCAACCTTATCAACGAACCCCACAACGACTGTGAAATATCAAACGTGTCGTCGGTGAGGCCACTGGAGCATTGCGAGGGCAATGAAGAAGCACCCCCAGGTACCGAGAACGAATTGATACCAATGTCTGAGTCTGCAATTGATGCTGAGCGCAAATATGGAAAAATATCGCATCACATATATCTGATGTATATACGCGCCTCGGGCGTGCCCATAATCACAGTCTTTTTTATCACCGCACTAATTTGGCAATGTTTGCGTGTCTACACGGACGTTTGGCTGCGGCATTGGAGCGATGTCCACATCCAGGCACAGGACGTGAGCAAAGAGGAGGGCCACGAAGTCACGTACTATTTCTGCATGTATGCCGCAATTTCGTGTGTTTGCATTATAATGGCCATGATATCAACACCGGCCGGACAATGGGCCGGCTGTAATGCCCGTCGTAATTTGCACGATAAGCTGCTGCAATCGATTTTGCATAAAACGTTGCATTTTTTCGAAGTCACACCGCTCGGACGTATTGTTAATCGTTTCAGCAACGACATGGCGATCATTGATAAGGTACGATTTGTTCTTTTGTTATCACCCATCGTCGCCGCTCTTCATTCGTGGCTAGCCCTATGCCTTTCACATATTTCTCCCATTGGCTGCATAGTTTTTCTATTTAAGTATAAAATATAGGCACATTTCTCCCGCTGATATACTCGTATATTGTTTCTTTGGCTAAGATTTCTCTGTGATAGGCACGCGTCGGTTTATCTTTGGGTTTGTTTATGTACATACGCATTGTATATAGGTCAACAGTGGGAACAACAACTATTCAACCCACTATCTATGTATATAGTTTTGACAGAAGTTACAGTTTGATCATTTTTATAAATTGACGGAATAATTAATGGAAACATTTGGTAAACAGAGAATAATTGTATTAAGTTTAAGTTTAATTTCTTTAATGCTCAAATTTATATTCGTATTTTATTCACAGAAAATTGCCGCAACTTGTCAAAGGCTGCTGCAATTTAGTTTTCTCTGCATTTCCGCCGTTCTGATCAATTTGACCATTACTCCCTGGTTTCTGGCCTTCACACTTCCTATCTGTGGAGCCTACTACATAATACAGAAGTTCTACAGGTGTTCAGCGCGGTAAGTAATGGCAGCGATCCGCTTATTATTATGACGAGTTGCCGTGTTTATTCGCTCCATTTTATGATACCTTTTCATTTGTCCTCTCCAGGGAGTTACAACGCATTGAGAACTCGACTAACTCACCGGTTATCTCGCATTTATCGGAAACAATACAAGGTGTGACCACAATACGGGCGTACAATCAGCAGGCACGTTTCACCGAGATACTCTTCAGACGTCTTGAGGCCAACACAATTGCATCTGCGTTGTTGAATACGAGTAACCGATGGCTTGGCATATCATTGGTAATTGCTTTAACTATGTGTTTCCCGTAGCGTCGTAGTTCGACGCAGGTGCATATGTATTCGAATTGAGTTTTGTACTCTTTGCTTGTGTAGATTTAATCCAATGGCAAAGGACACATTGTCCTGCAGAAAATAACACTTTGGTTTTTATAATATACAGCCTTCGAGAAAGTTATCATAGCCACTCATGTTCTCGTTTATTTGCTTTCTCTCTGTCTTCTATCTTCACATAATTTTATTCTTGCAGGACTATTTAGGTGGGTGCATTGTTTTTGTGGCCATCGTGACGTCACTGGCAACGGCAAGCATCAGTTGCAGCAACTACAGATATGCCAGGGACGTAGCAGAAACTTATGCCAACAATAAAAGCATGCCAGACCTCTCTTCGGAACTGAGACCAACGCCATCGCTTGTCGGGCTGGCCATAAACTACACGTTGTTGGTGCCGATTTACCTTAATTGGGTTGTAAAACTTTTGGCTGATATGGAGATGTATGCGGGCTCGGTGGAACGCATTGCACACTATGCCAAGGGACAGGAGTCCGATTTGGAAGCGAACGAAGAAATAAGCAATGAAGTCGATAGCTCGTCCTTGCCCACGTCGATGTCGACTGCCGGTGACAAAGTTTACCCAGGCGCAACGACAGCTGCCGTTGATGTTGATGAAGATGGAGGTGAAGGTGGAGATGGAGACGGAGATGGTGATGGAGCTGGAGCTGGGGAAAATGCTGATAAATTAAATGCAGGCAATGCAACCGGCGACGGCAATCACTTAAACTTCCACTTCCACACGGCGACAGCTGCTGACAAGCTACAGAAGGCGACGACAAAGACGTCGGTGATTAAAAAAGATAAGAAACTGCCGCCACACAGCGGGAAGGTCGATCTGCCTAATGAGCCAGCTAGAAGGCGTGAGTCTTGTCAGCTTAAACGATGTAAGTTAAGAGTGTGCAGAGTGCAGTGTGCAGGACTTCTGGTCATTGGTTTCAGGCATTAACTATCCGAAAACGGGGACCAATCGAGTTATTTTGTATGATTTGGCTTGCATAAGAAAGAGTCCTTTACATAATTTTTAATTGCTTGCTTTTGTAGACCAGAGCGTTCCCATTTCTTGGCCGCAAAGAGGCGACATCAGCTTCCAAAATGTCAGCCTGCGGTATGAAGGCCAAACACAGAATGTTATCAGCGACCTAACACTGAAAATACCAGCGGGTCAGCGGGTGAGTGTTACAGCTTTTAAATCTGTTTCAATTAAGAATACTCTTGCGTTCACCAGCTTATTGACTCTCTTTTACTCTGGACCCTGTCTACAGATTGGCATCTGTGGCCGCACTGGCAGCGGAAAGTCCTCGTTGGGCTTATCTCTATTCGGTGTATTGCAAACGACGAGTGGCCACATTCTTATTGACGAGGTGGACATTAAGCAAATCCGACCAGAGGAGCTGCGAACGAGATTATCGATAATTCCACAGGACGTGCATTTGTTCAATACGACGATACGCGAAAATCTTGACCCACATGGGTATTACTCGGACTTACAGCTGTGGAACTGCCTCGAGTTGGCGCAGCTAAAAGAGTTTGTCAAAGTGAATCTTCCGCTGGGTTTGGGTACGAAGACTGCTCGTATTTCCCTTGTTTACTTCGTTCGGTGCATACTTCACGTATCTTTTCATTGCTTTACAGATACAGTAATTACTGACGGCGCCATTAACTTGAGCGCCGGCCATCGGCAGCTGCTGTGCCTTGCACGGGCCATTCTACGCGGCTCCGTTTGCCTGGTCCTGGACGAAGCAACAAGTGCCCTGGACAGTAGCACGGAGGCAGCCCTACTGAGAGCCGCAGATAAAGCATTCCAGGGACGCACAATCATAACCATTGCCGTGAGTTTTTCTGTGATTCCAATATACGGGTCTTGTATCGATCATTTGTGTGTATTTACAGCACCGGCTGATAACTATTCTGGACTATGATCGCCTAATTGTGATGGAAAATGGTCGCATCATTGAGGATGGAAATCCAAGGAAGCTGCAACAGCTTCCAGGCTCTGCTTTCCAACGCCTACTTCAGAAACATCCATGACAAAGCGAGTGCGCATATTAGATACTTTAACTGTGTGGAAATTTGGTTGAAAACTATTTTTCTGTTTCGTACATTTACCTGTATGTAAATTTGCTTTCATATGTAATATATTAGATCGAATAAATGTCTATGCATATGTCTATGCACGTTTTCTATTGTATTGTATGTTATGTTAGTGTGTTACCCAAAATGCCTAGCCTAAAAAACATGTATACCAAGCCAATTATAGTTAGAGTTGAGTCGAAACGTGAATGAATATTCAACGAGCTTGCAGGATTTATAAATTTATGCCGGAAAATAGCACTTGGCAACTTTTTGTAATACAGCAGGAGTATAAGGCTTTGGAGTACACAAAGCCAAAAGTATGGCAAAATAAATTGATTGTTAAATGGGTCCAGAAAGCGGGGCCCATTTTGGAGAATTCTGCGCTCACTTTGTATGCATATTTGAAGTACTTGGACTTGTGGCTTTCCGCCGTTCAGGCAATTAAACTTAATTGACGACGGGGAGCATGAATTGGCAAGTTGACTCTGGATGTCGAACTACTTTTTGGTAAACGGCTTTCATGACAACCTGAAACTTGTGGGGACATTTGCCATTACCATTAAGGCTAGTTGGAGTGAAGGATGTAGTACAAGTGTTAGGACAATTATTTGATCGGTTATGCACATATAAAGACTGTATGTAGTGTGGTATAGGGATTTCTTTGCCATCCTTTTAGGATTTAAATGCGCTCAAGTGCATAACACGTTTTATGACGTCTTAATACGCACTTTGAATTGCCTCTGGACTGTCCCTGTTGCGGTTTGTTTCTATTAAATTCTTCTTACGAGTATAACATCTTTCCCGTACTTGTACCACAATGGCTGCAAGCCACGCTTGGATTTATCACGCATGGCCGCTTGCCTTCTGTGCTGCTGTCAGTCGCTCTAATAAAAGAAATCTGTCAAATTCAAACGGTCGTAAACGTCTTGTACAGGCAGCCATCCAAGCGACGGCATGGCTATGATGTCTTGTAACTGTTTACCCCGTGCCACATCTGTGCCAGAAAGAAGCTGTACTGAAGTCGGTTGAAAGTCAAAAGTACGTTCAAGTTTCCAACTTTAGTGCATGTTTAAGAGTTTTTAAAAATACATGTTTTGCATAAAAGGCCAGTCGAGATACGCCGATTTGTTGTGCGACGCCCGGACATTAAAATGTTTTAGAGCGTTTCCCCACCACCAATAAAAAATGTACACATACGCGAATATGCAATAACAACCAAAAATTACCCCGAGAAACTGACTGTGAGAGCAAATTTGCACAGTTCAATCAATATAACGTAAATGGATGGGTAAAATCAAAAATTGAATCAAAAAGTAATCCACAAAGCCGGCAAGGCATATGCCGAGCATAGACAGTGTGTGCTAATGTGCCTCGCACACATGCGGCCACATACTCGTAGTACTTGTTAGACGCTGACCTACTGAACGAGTGACTGAGCAATCTCTCGGCTCTCTTGTTGGGCACAAGGCCTGTAACATAGTTCTAGGCGCTGTATCTGCAAATTGAGGAGAGAGCGAAATGTTGTTCTCTATACAGCATCCAGCCGAAGCAACGTTCGGAACGAGTCGGAAGCAGTCGTTTCGGCTCGTATCGTAATACAACCCTGTCTAGCGAAATGGGATGCTGTTGCGCTTTCTCGCTGAGGCTACGCTCAAAAGTTCGGTGTCTGGCTATTCGTGCGGTCGTCCTGCGGATTGTAAATTCTTCTCCCTCATAAACCGTGAATCCTTTGCGACGCGCGACTTTGGGCCGCTTGCGATTAACGGAATATATCACTTCCTCTGCCGGAGAGTGATAGTTGTGCTTCAGGCTATACATTCGCAGACCAAATTAGACATGCGAATAAATTGTGTTGTGGCCTATAACTGAACCAAATGTGAGTTGATGGTTATTTCGCAATATTTTGTTTTAAAATAACTGAAACGTTATGCCTATGTCGCGTCCAAGAAGTTAAATCTTATGATTTCCGATCTGGTTAGTGTGGTTGATTCCTTTAATTAGTGTTGAACAGTGAGCAGTAGGCACAAGTGTAGTGCTGTAAAGATTTGTGCTTTCTAATTATAGCTGTGTCGCTTCCAATTATCATGCAAATCTTTTGAAACCATAGTTGTTACTATTAACCGGATACGTTGGAAGACGATTTAAGTGAGAAAAGGGGAAAGTACAAAAAAGTAGGGAAACGTGTTATCTTGCTACGGCAACAAAGCACCTGCTGTCAAGTGCGATTTGGCCAAATCATTAACGACTTCCTTATACGCAAGTCAAAGAAGAGGTTTTTACCCTTCAGCATAGAAACCATGAAAGTATGTATGAATACGCGTATGTGGGTGTTGCTTGTGTTTCGCATTAGCATAATTAAAATTTGCCAAATGGCTGACGGCAAACACTAGACGCGGAGCAGAGCTCCATTAACTGGGTCTTCCAAAGTCAACATGGAGCGACTTGACCCATCGCAGGCCTTGTGCCACCGCAAAGCATGAAACAGATTCTAATACGAGTACGCGTGTGTATTTAAGCACATGTGAAGCCCACATGTGTGGGGGAATTCGTGTTTGTAATATCCTTGAACTTTATTGTTTGTACATCAGTGGTTTGCGCGCCCAGTGCGGGCTGGCATCCAGAGCCACCGTGCCATTTCCTTGGTCCTGTTCTGTGGCGAATGTTTGTGTTCGTTCGCGTACTTTTTTATTACAAACTGTCAGTCGCAGCGATACATCGTTTCACCATTGAAAATATATGTGCGCATTTTTCAGACAGTTTTCAAAAAATTTTACTGTTTTTAGTTTATATTGCAACTTTTTTGTGGTACCCATAATACTGAAAACTTATGTCTGAAAAGTTTATCTTTTGTGTGGTTTGTGTCGTTAAATAGTAGCGTGGCATTATATTTGAGTTCTGGTCTTTAGTTTAGCTTGTTAAGGCTAGATTGAGCTATATTTCAAGTTGAAACTGTCAAGTTTGTAACCAACTAACTAACTAAGAATAGAAGAATACAAAACTAAGAAGGGCCATGATTTTACACATTTGAATATAGGGGACTTACATAGTATACCAAGTGAATATGCAAAATATCAACAATAAGCTTTAGATAACAGTTTTACTCACTTAATCCGGAGATTAATGTTACCGTTTTCCTTTTATAATTTCATCAGTGAGATACAATAAAATTTTTTAAATCAATAAAGTGGTAGACGAAGAAATATATAGAAAGTGAAACTAAAACAAGAAACAAGGACGTACTCACCGCCGGCGCATAACAGAACAGATCGAAAGATGGCTGTCGATGGCGATGCTGTCTAGATAATGCCACATGGAGACATTTCCTTCGAACGTGCCGTAACGTAAGTAGTAAGCCTTATTCTGTACTGTTCTTCGTTTGTTTTCATAAACTGTATTCACTGTTCTGGAACCTCCAATTGACTATTGCAACCTGGAAGTTAAATAAACTTTAAATATTAACTTAAATGTCGCAATTTCATGCAAAAAGTGTTGGTATCTTTTTTCCTATTTTCTGTGTTGTAAATATCTCACGTTTTTACTGAAAATGTTGGTTTTTTTTTACTTTCACATAGCCCTGGTGATGTGTTTGTAACTGATTTCACTGCTGGCCTTTCATCAGTCATGTTATCTTTGATCCCTTGACTTTTTGGCAGTTCAGAGACACTGACACAAGAACCGTTAGTTCGGCAAACAAAAAGTGAAGGACCGAGGAGGTCAGCAAACATAATAAAAGAATAAAATGAAAAATGTTTAAGTACATTCGTGAGAAAGCGAACTCTAACCTTCTGAATACCCTTACACACTCGCATGTTGATTAACAAATACAAATACCTTGTCTGTATATCCTTCCGGGCGTTTTGATCGCGAAACTATGTACATATTGTTCATATACTAGCCTGAAAGTTTAGAAGCTGAAATGCTCCCTTCTGGGCATTGCGAACTTTCAGATAAAACTCAAACGCCCTTCGGCAGGGTATAAAAATAGAATCAACTTCAAGCAAAATGAGGCAATAAAGATTTATCTTGTACGGACGGCCGCCAAAGCCAATGCAGCAGATTTGTCAAGGATTTGCGGCTGGAAGTTTATTTCGTTGGCTTTTGCTTTGCTCTACTTTTTGGTGTCCTCTGAAGGAATAAAGCAAACAGTAGAGACTTTACACATTGATTTCTTTTTTTGTGTGCGCTGTAAATGTAATCGATGATATCCCATTCAACGTGCATACATTTTAATTAAAGAAATAATGAAACACACTCTGAGTTTGTGTGCCTAAGGAAGTTGCACAGAATCCAAGCACTTTAAGAGAAATATTTCCCAGGGAATACGCTTGGGAGCTCAGAAGTTTAAGGTTCGCTTCCAGTCGCAGGCTCGAGGGTGAATGTAGGCACATATATATGTGTGTATATTCTTCTAAATGCTGCTGGTATCTAAATGCACCTACATATGTGTGCTTGTATTTCAATTTATGTGTTGCGCCCTGGTCCGTTTTAGCATTATGAAAGTTTTCTGGAAAAGTTGGCCAAGCTTCGCACAAATATGACAGGGCCGGCAGAGCTGTGAGTTGACTGCTTATGACATCACTTAGGAAGAACTTCAAAACTCCGGTTACATTGGCAATTTCAGTTTCCAGTTGTAAAGTTTTCTTGCCCGGCTTTTAAGGCATGGACCAATACGGCTAGTAAATATTTGCCTCTCACGGAAGAAGCCCGAATGTAGTCTCCCAGCGATGTGCGACAGAGGCCAGAGATCTCATGCCCATCATAAGCCTGAAAGCCAAAAGCTCAGCCAAATTTGCATCCATAAAAGTACAGCCACATCAAATACCAATATGGGATTTATCGGCTAAGTATTTGCAGGTCAGTGGCAGGCAATTTCATTGTTTCCCTTGAAATATGTCCTTCCTATTTTTGTCTGAAGGACCAACGAACATGTTTACGTTTATTTATAGTAGGGGGTACAAAAAGCGGGGTACGTGAAACCAAACAATAATCTCTTGTGTAATAATATGCAGGTATGGAATAAACTATTGAAGATATTTTGCTGTGTGGCAGGCGGGTAGCATCATAAATCAAAATACCATAGTCCAGTCTTTCGGCGCATGGCCATAGCTAAGGAAATAGTTTTTGTTTTGACTCAGAAAGCCTCGTTTTGTTTTGCTCATTCGATAAGAGAAGCCCAAATTCTGTGAGGCTCAAAACAAACAGACCGAACCACAAACGCGTTAAGAATTATTGATGCCTCATTGCCTATTTGACACATTATCTAAATGTTCCTAGGGTAGTCGTACTGTGGCCCCCTGGTCTGGGCCTCAGCACAAACTACAGCAAACCCCAGAGACTGACAATAAGTGAAGTTATTTGGTATGTCAGGCGAGTGGCTGACGCACAGGACGGTTTTTGACTCTTGTTTTGCTGTTGCTATGCTCGGAGATTCCTTAAAGATTTCCCAACTATTAATACGCGTTTCACGTCTGGTAAAACAATAATACTTGGGCTTGGGCTTGGGCTGACTTTAGTTTGGATTCGTGTGCAAATGTACTTGGCGAATTCCATACAAATGGAATATGTATCCTTTTATCCCCTCTTCTATCTAACTGTCTTCTAAATCAGTTGCTTAAAGTACGAAATCGATGGGTGAAGATACTTTAATTCATGTCATCGATCCTTGGTATGCCTCACATTTACAGACGAGCCTAATTATACGAATAACCAATTTTATTTGCATAGTTTATTATGATACAAGTTATATGCCTTTGGGGCATTCATTTAATCAGTGGTGCATTTTCTGAAATCTTTTCCCTGGTATATTCATAATTTGAAAGGCAATACAAGAAAATCTGCATACAAAGTTAGCTGATTGAGGCTTAGGAAATCAATTTCCATTAGACCTGTAGATTAACTCTGGTTGAGTATTCCTTGAGGATTTGGTCGTTAAATGATAGTTTGCACCATTGAGGAGCTAAACGTGGCATGGAGTGTGAAGCATCAAGGGAGACATTAAACCACAGCTTAGCCAAAAAGAAAAAAGGCCAGCAGACTACATCGTTCTTGTTGGTTTTTTGTTTGCGGTATAAATGGTTCATTGTAATACAAGTAAGCAGCTTACAATGCCTCGAACTCCGTCCGCTTGGTTTAATTCTTATCGCCTCCGTACAGTCTAGCGATTACGTAATTGTCACGGAATATAACTGGGTAAACTGTGTCAAAATAACCCTTTTCAGGGAAGGTATAGACAGTTCTTTCGGAAAAAATACCATCCGAAAACGTGCGCAACATACGTGGGGGAAACTCTCGTACATAAGTACATATAGATGTACGTACATATATGCGGTATTTTCTACATACCTGTAGTATATATATATGCCAATTTCTGATTTGTATTTTATAATTATTATTCTTGATTTTTTATTGAATAATTATTATTTTTACTTTTATTGAATAATTCTTATTATAATTTGTATTCTTGATTTTTATTGAATAATTATTATTTTTACTTTTATTGAATAATTCTTATTATAATTTGTATTCTTGATTTTTATTGAATAACTATTATTTTTGATTTTTATTGAATAACTATATTATTGAATAACTATTATTATAATTGTTATTTTTGATTTTTATCGAATAACTATTATTATAATTGTTATTCTTGATTTTTATCGAATAACTATTATTATAATTGTTATTCTTGATTTTTATTGAATAATCGTTATTATAATTGTTATTCTTGATTTTTATTGAATAATCGTTATTATAATTGTTATTCTTGATTTTTATTGAATAATCGTTATTATAATTGTTATTCTTGATTTTTATTGAATAATCGTTATTATAATTGTTATTCTTGATTTTTATTGAATAATCGTTATTATAATTGTTATTCTTGATTTTTATTGAATAATCGTTATTATAATTGTTATTCTTGATTTTTATTGAATAACTATTATTATAATTGTTATTCTTGATTTTTATTGAATAATTGTTATTATAATTGTTATTCTTGATTTTTATTGAATAATCGTTATTATAATTGTTATTCTTGATTTTTATTGAATAATCGTTATTATAATTGTTATTCTTGATTTTTATTGAATAATCGTTATTATAATTGTTATTCTTGATTTTTATTGAATAACTATTATTATAATTGTTATTCTTGATTTTTATCGAATAACTATTATTATAATTGTTATTCTTGATTTTTATTGAATAATCGTTATTATAATTGTTATTCTTGATTTTTATTGAATAATCGTTATTATAATTGTTATTCTTGATTTTTATTGAATAATTGTTATTCTTGATTTTTATTGAATAATCGTTATTATAATTGTTATTCTTGATTTTTATTGAATAATCGTTATTATAATTGTTATTCTTGATTTTTATTGAATAATCGTTATTATAATTGTTATTCTTGATTTTTATTGAATAATCGTTATTATAATTGTTATTCTTGATTTTTATTGAATAATTGTTATTATAATTGTTATTCTTGATTTTTATTGAATAATCGTTATTATAATTGTTATTCTTGATTTTTATTGAATAATCGTTATTATAATTGTTATTCTTGATTTTTATTGAATAATCGTTATTATAATTGTTATTCTTGATTTTTATTGAATAATCGTTATTATAATTGTTATTCTTGATTTTTATTGAATAATCGTTATTATAATTGTTATTCTTGATTTTTATTGAATAATCGTTATTATAATGGTTATTCTTGATTTTTATTGAATAATCGTTATTATAATTGTTATTCTTGATTTTTATTGAATAATCGTTATTATAATTGTTATCTTGATTTTTATTGAATAATCGTTATTATAATTGTTATTCTTGATTTTTATTGAATAATCGTTATTATAATTGTTATTCTTGATTCTTATCGAATAACTATTATTATAATTGTTATTCTTGATTTTTATTGAATAATCGTTATTATAATTGTTATTCTTGATTTTTATTGAATAATCGTTATTATAATTGTTATTCTTGATTTTTATTGAATAATCGTTATTATAATTGTTATTCTTGATTTTTATTGAATAATCGTTATTATAATTGTTATTCTTGATTTTTATTGAATAATTGTTATTATAATTGTTATTCTTGATTTTTATTTATATTATTATTATTATAATTGTTATTCTTGATTTTTATCGAATAACTATTATTATAATTGTTATTCTTGATTTTTATTGTATAATTGTTATTCTTGATTTTTATTAAATAATTATTATTTTTGGATCAAAACATTTATTATATAAGTATTATTTTTCCTCTACGACTCTGGGTTTTCTGTTATCTCGTATTTCTAAAGTTGTGGATGATTTTC